AGCAAAGACAATGATTAATAATAACAATAACTTGATTGACTAATACATTGCCCCAGCATTTTTCTGAAAGTCCTGAGCTGATTTAACGGCTCTAATCTTATGAGAAGAAAATATGAAGTCACTAAATCCCAGGGGTTCTCACTACCTCCCATCCATCCCCGGGCTCCATTCTTCAGCCACCGCCCCAATTCGGAGAAGCAGTGGTGTTGCTCAGATTAAATCACCCAATACAGCGATGGTTCTTGGCTTGGGGAAATAGATTTTGTGCCCACCCCTTACCCCCCACCCCGCTGACATTTGGAAAAGTCTGGAAACATTTTGATTATAACAGCTGGGGCGGGGGGTACTAGCCAGAGGTGCCACTCAACCTCCTCCAGTGCACAGCACAGCAGCCCCAAATAAGGAACTTTCCAGGCCCAAATGTCAGTGGTGTCTCCGCTGAAAACAGTGGCCGCAGGGAGCCAGGGGAATGGAGAAAGGGAGCAGAGGGTGGATGAACAAGGACACGTGGCCTTTCCCCCCACGATGCTGCCTTCTTGGTGGGTTCAGCTCAGGTTACCAGATCCAGACAGTCCAACCCCAGTGAGAGTCTAAACCACGGTGGGGAACCTTTTCCTGCCGGGGCCATTGGGATATATGCTAGTATAACACCATTTTCGGGCCGTACAGAATTATCAGCTTAGAAATCAGCCTGCTGTGTTTTGTCAAACATTTCATTCACTCACCCCAATGCCCTAGCAGGCCCGGACCCGTGGCTTCTCAGGCCTCGAAGGGCCCGCGGGCAGGACGGTCCCCACGACTGCTCCAAGGGACAGTCTCTCCTGTCCTTGGGCTCTTTGTACCGCCCCCATAGAAGCCGAGTCCCCACATCTTCCCACCTGGCGAACTAGGGGCCGAGTTCCTGAAAGGGCTGCTCTGGAAACAGAATGTCCAACGTTTTAACAAATCTGGGCAGCTGAAACTGGTTTGGCTCAGATAGAACGTCGGCCTGTGGACTGAGAAGTCCCAGGTTTGATTCAAGTCAAGGGCATGTACCTTGGTTGCGGGCACATGCCCAGTAGGGGGTGTGCAGGAGGCAGCTGATCGATGTTTCTTTCTCGTCAATGTTTCTAGCTATCTATCCCTCTCTCTTCCTCTCTGTAAAAAAATAAACAAACAATATATTTTTTTAAAAAGAAATCTGGGCAGAAGGAAGCAATGTGTGCCTTTTTCCCACACAAGCAAATACACCACCTTTTCCTTCCCATAATGAGCTCTCTGTTTAAAACGAGTTTCTCTTCTAAGCGTCAGGCCCCGAAATTCATTCCCGTGACGGAGCAACATGTTTCTAAGGGAAGGAGGGCTTTGGGGTGAAAGAAGGAAAAGTCTGAGCAGCAACGTAAGATGAAATGTTGTTCAGTAAACACGTAGGGCAGAATGCTGCCATGACTCGACTTGTCTTAGCCACAGCTAGCAGACAGCATGCAGCCAGCAGACAGGGTGCACGTGGCTTGTTAACCATTTTCCATGTGCTGCAAATGAAATGCCATCCTTGTGTTATTTTGCTGTGTGTTTCACTTCTTGGTTGTACCGAAGTTGTGCATTTAGTATGATCATGTTGTTTTCAGTATTATTATTATTTTTTTAAGTGCACTGCTATCTGGGGCCACAACATGCGAACAATGGGAAAGCAGTTTTTCTGTAACAAAGCGAACCGCGTGTCTCCCTCATGACCCTGGCGAGACTCAGGTGGAACCGGCCCGCTGAGCTGCCCTGCCAACCAGATTGCGTGAAGACGAAACTCCGAGAACAGCTGGACACCAGTTCCTCTCTGCCTGCTCTTGGTGACGCTTCCTTTTGGGGCTGCGATTCATGCCTCAGAGCCTGCACACTCACTGGGCCCTCCACAGAGACCACTCAGCCACCTTCACTGACCACTCAGCGGCTTGCTGAGTTTTCAGGGAGAGTGCTGACACCTGGAGAAATGACCTTGTTGTCCACAGTCAGAAAGTCCCTCGTTAACGTGGGAAAACACACGTGAATCGTTTGGAAAAACTTTCCATTTGCTGTAGAAAAAGCTTTCCCTTCATTGTTAGGTTCCTACTTTCTGCTTGGTCTCTAACCAGCCTCCCACCAAAGGCAGACTAAGGTCACTCAAAGGGATTGCAGGCACTTCCATCCTTAGTCAGACAACCTCACAGTCATATGAATGCCAGCATTCTTCCCTTTACAGGACAATCTGCATATCCAACCCGGTACTTAAATCAAAATGTGTTCTATGAACAATTTCTCCGGTAAAGCCAAATGGGAGTGTATGTTCACAGCCAAGGTAGAGCTGGTAATAATTGTATTGTGCTGAACCAGAGACTGGAAAGTGAACCAACGATTTTTTCAATGTTAGCGCTTGCTGAGAAAGCAATAGGTTTCGGTCTGCGAATGAGAAAAAATAAATAAATTTGAGTCAGCAATCCCGGCAGGAGCCTATGGCGGGGAGGCCAGCCTGCTTCTTCCTTCTCGGAAGCCAGGGAGTATCCGCCAGCGACCTCTCTGGGATCTGGTCATCCACTCTCTGACTTCCTTTAAATAGCTTCACAAGCCATGTAACGGCTGTAGCCACTACTAACAGTGATGTGGTCATGAGCCATGACCACAGTACTAAGGAGGCCCACTTGGTTCTGAGGGTATAAACTCTGCCAGGTGGGAAGTCAGTTTCCACGCCCTGAAGACTGCTACCAGAGACATTTTCTACAATAACTGGGTGGGGGTGGGGGGCTAACTGCTCAGAAGTTTACTGAAGGCCTACTGTGTACCAGGGACAGGGAGACAGGGTCCCTGTCGAGTTGGAGACAGACATGTCATTCAATTCTTAATACTTTTTGCTCAAAAACTTTAAATATTAAACAAATTCACATATTACCTCCCTCTAGCTTATCCTATTGTCAGTGATTCTATGTCATCCTGCAGAAATCAGATTATGGGGCTAAAATGTGGGGAAGGGGGAGCCCAGGTGGAGGGTGTTATTTTACAGCCTTAACTTTGCTAAAGCTCGTCGTCTTGATCTTTAAGGACTTGAAAGAAGAGCTGTAGTATGTTGTTGTCTGAAACTAAAAAGCATAATGAACACGAGGAAATGAAATATATGAAACTACTTTACAAACTGCAATGTAAGGCAATACTGAAACAAAACAGCTTAAAAATATACACAAAACGAATCCTTCAGTAGGTAGGTCCCTATGGCCAGCTGTAGGCTCTCCATGATATAACTAACCAGTTTTAAGTGGGGCAAACCAGTGTTCAACAGAGATTACCTGGAAGAGCATCATCAATGATCTTTTTTTATATGAGCAATCCCTACTATCCTACTTACCATTAAGAATTTCTATTGTGTCCCCTGATTCAACTACTATATAAACTTAACCCCCCCTCCCATCGAAAAGTAATGATACTGAATTATTCTTTATAAAGCATGCTTTCCTATTATTAATCTTTATTTTTTCCAGGAAGAACAATGGGTTATGATGAGTTACCAACCCTTTCGTGTTTGTAGGGTTGTTAGGAAAAAATGCGTTTTCCTGTGAAATTACCGTACACTCCAGGGAATCACATCCAAATAACGTATTGTTCATGTTTCTCCAACAGTCTGAATTTGACTTTGACTCCTGATGAACAGGATGAAATAAAAAATATGAAAATACTTTATAAACTGCAACATAAAGTGATATCAAAACAAAAACACTTAAAAACCAGCTGCACCACAGCCCAGCAGTTATTCCAAAACCTCTCTTCCTAGAAAGACTAATGTGGTAAGTAGCCTATCCCTGAAGCCACCTGATACCAAGAAATGAAGGCCATTGACTGAATCACCCATGATTAATCTTCAAGATGTTTCCTTTCCAGATAAATGTTTATTAGGTATAAAGTAAGCATCACACGTTTATTAGTAGTATCATATTTTCTTATATGAATCAGCGATTCAGTATGTCCTAGCTCAAGCAGTACTAACAACGCCCTCATTGGAAGTTCTCAAAAGTTCACTGTGGTCTTTGGTTTTCGGGATGCCTGCATTCTCTATAACAGTATTTTTCAAAAGGAACTGCGCATTTTATATATTCTACAAGGGAATGTCACCCATCCCTCTTCAGTTAAATATTCCATTTTTAGCCAAATAAGCCACCTATTTTAAAAGGCTATCTGTAATTGGCTTCATTATTTCATACATTACCTACCCAGGAAAGCAATTTTGTAAGCAGAAATAGATAACCCACACAAACTGGCAAGCTTTCAAATATTGTACTAAAGGGCACCAAGGCTTACGAATAAGTATAGTAATAGAAAATGTCTCTTCTTATGGAAAAGTTTCACTTTATTTTGTAAAAAGTAACATTTTGAATAGTCACTTTACTCTCTCAAAACAATGCAACTACAAGAAGCACTGAGGAGAAAGCACCCGCTTTGTGAACTTGTTAACACACGGACGCAGCCATATGCAACCCAACTGCAAAACAAAACATGGATGAGTAAACACACACGACTGAACAGCTGTGAAAAAGAGGATTAACCCAAAGATTCTGCTTAAAAATATTAAATTCAAGTTATGTGGATCTTATATGCATAAAGATCATATTGTATCATCAGAATGACTCTTCAAAGGTCAGTTCTGGAAAACAAAACTTAACTCTAGTTAGAAAGTTAAACTGTTACATTCTCCTTTTCAAAGCATTTTCAAAAAAATATGCTCTATAGTTCTTATTCCAAGAAGCCTTGTTGTGATGTACAAATACACCTGCTAATGGAAAAAGTAAAAAAAGCCAACCTAGGTCCTGGCTGGTAGCTAGATTGGTTAGACTAACCGTTAGAGCATTGTCCTATACACCAAGGTTGCAGGTCTGATCCCATCAGGGCACATACAGGATCACTAATGAAAGCATAGGTAAGTGGAACAACAAATGGACGTCTGTATGTGTGTGTGTGTGTGTGTGTGTGTCTAAATTTGAAAAAGGAAATAAAAAGAAAAGCCAATCTGGAAAAGAAAACAGTTTAATTAAGTGAACGTCAAAGTGTGGTCTCTATCTCTTGCCCCTTCCCATCTTTCTCCTCCTGTTGCCTTGGAGACTGAGAGTAAGTTTGGGGGAGGTCCCCAGATCTGCATTCCCTCCACCCCTCTGGGCTGTGCCACCACCCGGGGGCCCTGCAGCAGCACCCCGGCTGGTCCAAGGCAGGAGGATCTCAGCCGGACCCACTCCTCCCCCGGGGCTGCTATGACACATTACAAAGTGCCTCCAGCCCACAATTATTTCAGCAACGTCAACTTCTCTGGTGATGATGTTGCTGTACTGGTTTGTCGCCCTAATACCAACCAACCATTAGAAAAATTAAAAACCGGAAATTCAAACTGTCTATAGACAAGTAATCATTAAAAGTTGGGAAAATGAGAAGTAACTGTAGTCCCAACCACCTGAAGTCTCCCCTCCTCCACTCTTACGTCCCAGGTTCTTTCCCCCGTAATTATCCTGAATGCCAGCATGACGCTGTCGCCTCTAGAGCATCGACAGTGTCACTTGTGCATCACCGGTTGGCAGCCCTGGGAGGCCAACAGGGTGTCTGGCGCCCAGCGCTCCCTTCAATCGGTCTTGCCCTGCCTGTTCTCAGTCCGCACATCCAAGGTGGGTGCTTGGGGTGGTGGCGGGGCCCCCTCGGGGCTGGCAGCTGGGCAGGCGGGAGGGGGAGGCCCCGTGGCACACAGTGGAGTCCTCTTCAGCTTTATCACCCGGGGTGGGGTGGCCTTCTTGTCGCACAGCAGGACCTTGGCTGGAGGGGGGGGTGTGGCCCCATTTTCAGGACCCTCAGTGCCCACCAGGGACAGGGCCTTAGACAGTGCAGAGTGCTGAGCGGGCACTCCGCTTGGAGACGGGGACACCCGGACTGAAGCCGAGTTCTTGACCTTGATTTGGGTGCTGGTGGAAGGGCCCGAAAACCTGACAGGTTTAGGACCAGCCTTACAGTTCACGCCTTCCTCCCCTTCGTCCAGCGCCATCAGCCTCCTGCAAACACAGAACATGCCCGTCAGCACGTACACCGTCAGTAGCTAAAGAAACCGGCTCCCAAACTCGCCTCTAAGGCGAACAAAAAGGTTTCCGTCAAGAATGTGAGCTAAGAGGTGGATGCTACCAATCTGCCTCCTTTCTCATGGGCAGTAAGTACATCGGCCAGTTTATAGGAGATTGTTTCAACTTGCATAGGAACCCTTTAAAACCCCATATAATATGAACAACTTACAATGTGGACATGAGATGTTATGTGAGAATTACACAACATATCATTCTGTTCCCAAGAACCCTGGTGCGACCCAGGGACAGCCAGGCACATCCCATCCCAAGTGTTTTCCCAGGCTTCCTGCAGAAGAAGAGCATTCCCAGCCCAGCAGACTCCAAACCCAGGTTTCTCTATCTTGGCACTACTGTCACTTCGGGTCAGCTAGTGCTTTGCTTTGGGGGCCGCCCCGTGCATTCTAGAACATTTAATGGCAATCCCGGCTTCTACCCCACTCCAAAATGTGATAACCCAAAAGGTCTCCACACCCCGCCTAACACCCCAGGAGGTTCAATGGGCAAAATAAATAATGATAACAAAACGAGAACCTTTAGGAAAATAATCTGTTTTAACAAGAGATAATTGATTACTAAACCCTGAATAAATGCGGCATTTCTGAGAAAGATCCAGAGGGTACATGTAAGAGAGCATTCTAGAATTCCACAGAGGCTTTGAATCAAGTTCTAGAGCAGAAATCCAGAAATCAGAACACCTGCAAGCCATGAATAATTCCCAGACGATAACAAAGATGATATTTAAATGTATTTAAAGCACAGCGAACAGATGTGGACTGAGTTTAATGCTGGTAATTTTAAAGAACACAAGACAATACCATTAACTTAAAATGCTATTTGTGACATTGGGAAGGAGAAAGGAATTCGAATAAGTCACGGGAAATTTCAAATGTTAAATTTAACAAATAACATTTTCTGACTATTACCAATAAAGCCTGGATTTCACTTCTGTGCGGAAAACTACTTACCACAGAATTCCCTATCTCCACTGGTGTTGTTAAAATCACTCTCCCCAAAAGAGCATACTCTAACTCCGTTTTAGAGAATTATTTGTGCCTTTTACATAGTTTTGGTAAATTTGCATTTATCGAGATTTATATTTTGGTGGTAAGGCAGAATAGTCATCTATGTGATTGATTAATAGGCTTTTAGTAAGGTCAAGAACCGTTATTCATTTCCCCAATAAAGTCAGAAAAAATACGGGTCACGGATAACAAACCTCTTCCGAAGGGGGGCCGCGTGGCGCAGGCTCCCCAGCAGAGGCCGCTCCTCCAGCGTCCAGCACTCCATCAGCTCGTGCGGCACCCGCCAGTAGCTGACGCCTGGGAGAGAAAGGCATCGTTGAGAGAGTGCGGGGACACAGTCTCCTAGAAGAGGAGCCAGGGAGAGCGTCCGAGCTTCATGCCTCATTTCTTTCCCTCCTAAGAAATCAATTATTGGCTTAAATTTCCTTTTAGTTTACTATAGTTCCATTTTTCATTCATAAATCTAACTGGGCTAATTTTGATAAATGATGTGAGGTCAAAGATGTTCTTATCTCAAACATACTTCTCAATTACATATTACATAGCCTGTCATTTTTTTTTTCACTTATAGTCAATCAACTCTGTGACTTTCTTGTTACTTCCTAATTTTATTCTTATAACTTTATTGCTCTCTGCATCTATTCTTACACCAGGAACACATGGTTGTTATTACTATCTACATCATGTTTTGTTTTTGTTGTTGTTTTTAATATGTTTTTATTGATTTCTGAGAGAAGAAGGGAGAGGGATAGATAGAAACATCAATGATGAGAATCATCGATTGGCTGCCTCCTGCACGCGCCCCATTAGAGATTGAGCCCACAACCGGAATCAAACTGGGGACCTCTTGGTTCATGGGTCAACATTCAACTCCTGAGCCACGCCGGCCGGGCTATAGCTAATTTATTATCAAACAGTTAGACTCATCCCTCTAATAACCTCTACTTCCCAAAATGTTCTTGGTTATTTTTCGTTTAATTTCTCAAAGGAATTTTAGAATCATTTCAAGATTCCCAAAAAGTCCTGTTGATATTTTGGTAGGAATTATGTTAAATTTACAATATAATCTCAGAAGAACTGACATCTTTATAATATTCAGATTTTCCTTTCAGGACCATGGCATGTCTCACCATAGCATTCATGTCTTCATTTTATATGGATGGATGGGTGGCTAAATACATTCTATTATTAGCAGTTTTCTTCACAAAACACTCAAGCATTTCTTGGTAGGCAATCCTAGTTATTTTTGTTTCCCCTATACTTTCTAATTAATGTATCGTAAACAAGTTGCTCTTTGTTTACATATATTGTATACAGCTAGTCTACTAAACGCATCACTTAAAATACCATTAGTAGATTCTTCTGAGTTTTCTAGAAAAACATATTGTTCACAAATCACAATAAATGTCTTCTTCCTTCCCACTGGCCTTTCTCTTACTTCTGCTTCTTGACTTAGAGCTTTCCACAGACCTTCCTGAACTTTATTCAATAACAATGATGCTCCACTACTCGCTCTCTTAAAAGCTAAAGGCAGCTGCACGCTTTGTTACAGTCGGGGGTCACAGCTCTCTGCTCCAGCTTCCTAAGTCAGCAGAGAGAGAAGTCCGCCAGGCCCTCCAGAGCAGGACAGCCCGCCAGGCAGGGGCATAGAAGGAGGCAGGTCACCATGGGCTTGTTCCTCAGCTTTAAGCCCAAGTGTCTCCAAGTCAGTTAAATCTGAAAGAATAAGCTAACAGCATTCCTTTCATTCTACTTGATCCTGTCTGCGAGAGGGGTATGAGAAGAAAAGAAAAAGGAGCAAAAGTGAGGGAAGCAAAGATGAGGAAGGAAGAGGTTGGTACTGGCATCCGTCTAAAGAAGAAACAGCTGATGTAGTTTTTAAAAGCCTCTTCCACTCTTTTTATTCCATTTTATAATGACTTGCAATCTCTGTTTCTAATCCGCTTTCAAGATTATTTGAGGACTAAGATGTGTGCTATTTATCTTTGGGCCCATTTTTAGGATTTAGTATAATGGCTGCACTTCACACTCCAAAATGCTTACTAATTGGGGGGGGAGGTGGGGAAGCATCTTGGGCATGGAACAGTTAACTATCTATGATCCTTAAGCAAGTGGTATGGCCTCTCTGAGACTCAGTTTCTCACCAATAAAGTGGTAAAAGGCATAGGAAGTTGTTTTAGGATTAAATAGCATTATTATCATCAATTCTCCTATCAGCAGCTTGGTAAAAATGGCCACATTTCAAAGTGTGTATTTAAAGATTATTTTAATTTTTTATAAGGGTCCTTTAGGAATCTTACCAGTGTTATTTTTATTTCCTCTGTCTCTTTTTTTTTTTTTTATGCTTATACATTTTATGCTTAACTTAGAGATACACTTCCTAGGACAGTGCTAGGTACACATAGTAGGTGCTAAGCAATCTCTTGTTTAATTGAACTAAATAAGCATAATTAATAGAAGCATATTTTCAGTTACTGAATTATAAATTATTAACCATATCTAGCAACTCACAAGGTTTAAAGATTTGTAAGTAAATTTATCTCATTGTTACCATGAAATGACAAATACCTAGATCCATATAAAAAATATTTTCTCAAAAAAATGCATATCTAAGCTTAGTTTGTCTTACTAAGGATCATTCTCCTTCTGCCATAAAATAAAAAAACTGGACTGTACCTTTTCCTTCCCAGGCATCAAAGGCATCCATCATTTTCTTCAGTTCTGCTGCTGAATAATAGCTCCAAATGTACTGAACATTATTTCCCGCCTCTCTAGGAAGATTGCAAAAGATAATGAAAATATACCACGTAGGTATGAATGTGTGTGTGTGTGTGTGTGTGTGTGTACAGCTAACAGACAGGAAGTGCTTGTTCATTAAGGAAAAAGTTTGTTCTGTGACAGTTAAGCACATATATAATTCTATATACTATATGAGTGTTATGTAGTATATGAATATACTAACCCACATTTGATCTCTTTTTACAGTAGTAAAATACTTGTTAATTTTACTATATATAAACCGTGCAGACAAATCAAGTCTTAAAAATAACTTTTCTAAAAATCACCTAACTCCAATAATGTCAGAAAAAACTCAACTCTGACTAAAACTTTATTAAATAACAATGAAGTTCCACTACAACTTTCTAAAAAGTTAAAAGCAGTTGCACGCTTTGGACTTTCCTAGCACTTTGCCAGGCAGTTATATATCTCATATAGAAACATCTCTGCCGTAAAGAACTCAGAAAATGGTGACATATTTAACAATCTAAAAACAAACTCATGTGGTCATGCATTTGTCACTAATATGTGCCCTAATTCAATATCCCAGAGAGTTGTTTTCTTTTTTAATGGCTAAGTGAGTTGACCAGTGTAAATGAGATTACAGGGAAAATATTAAGAGAATAACCCGTAAGAATTGAACATGTTCAAGTCATAGAATTTTAAGGCTGGAAGGGTCCAGGAAAGTCTCCAATCATTTCTCAGAGCGAGACACCAATGCACAGGCCAGTCGGGGGTCACTCAGTGGGCCTACTGGCTCCTTGGCCAGGGCTTCTGCCCTAAGGCTATGGCTGAGATACCCAGGCATCTGGCTTTGCTTTTCTTTTTTATAAAGTTGTACAGGGAATTCTGCTGTCCATATCCAGCTGAGAAGCACAGTACTAAACCATATAGAAAGCCCACAGCTTATTTGTGAAATTATCTTAATTATAACTTCTGTCTCGACAGCCCAGAACGCTCACTCTGTGTGTTGAGAGATGCTGATGGTCTTTCCTGGTCAATCACATATTCCATTCTGTTTAGGGCCTCCTAGGAAGGCATATGGACATTCTTTAAATTGTTCAGCTGAGTCCAAGGCGACTGGCAGAGCTGCATCTCAGATACACATTCCCCAAGAAGGTGGAAAGTGTTATTCAGTACTGGCTTTTACCTTTGTCCAGGTGTCTGGAGGGGGTCTAGATATGTAAATCCAGGCAAGCACCAGGAATGCTGGGGCCTACTTAAGAATGCAAATAAGCTCCTTTGATCCTAAGTTTTGGTGATACTTCCTGGTATTTGGGGTATAAAATAAATGTGCTGTGTGGGCTCAGGGTCCTGTCCCTCCATCGTGGCAGCATCCCACCTGGCTCCCAGCTTATTTCTATTTCTGTGTCTTGCTTGTTTTCTTTCTTTTATTTCTTAATCCCCAGCTCCTCCACTCAGGAACCAGACTCATTCTTTTGCTGTGCTGGACTTGGAAAAGAGAGAAACACCTCTACACCATTCAGTAACACCTCTTAGAAAAGATCAAGACTTAATTTTGTTCCTTTTTCTTTTTTAAATATGGACATACCTTTTAAAAATGCTTTTACTGTGAATTCTTCCTCCTAGCTGCTTATCAATAGCATCTGTTCCATCCATTTTTGTGGCATATACTCCAATAATTCTACTCTCACAGCTTGCACCGGATGTGTTAAGATAGTGAAGAACCCAAACTGTTGGTTTGGTGCAAACTAAACCATACGAATCACAGAAGTCTGTTAAAGCCTGGAGCAAAAAAATATATATACATCAATTTGAATTTAATTCTGAAGAGTAATTTTTTAATTAAAAAATTAATTTGCTGTTACTTTCAAGGAAAGCTGCAATTTCAGTTGGTCATAACACAAAAAACAAACAAACATACAAAAAAAGATTATTCCTAATCTTTATGCCTTTAAGAACCAAACACGCATGTGTTGAACTTGGAGTGAGGGGCAAATCACAAAAAAAGCATCACCCAAAAACCCAACAGTATTTCACCGAGAGAACCCTTTTCCTGGTAGAATTTCCATTTTATTTCTCCTTCTTTAACCTCAATATCAGCATTAATTTTAATTTTTAAATCTTCACATAATAACTAAAAGTAGACCTTTTTACTTCTCCCTTTAATTTCCCCCAAATTTCTCACTTGACTCAATCTTCCTTTTATCTCCTACTAACCACCCCCCACCCCATGATTAATGCTTATTTTTAAATCCAAATCCAATCATGGATTAAGCAGATGACTTTTAACTTGCTCTTTTGCACTGAAAGGTATGAATATATGAACTAAATACAGACTGTCTGAACTCATTTGGCACTTACTCCCCTGTTCATTCATTCATTCACTTGAATATTAAATAGCTACTATGCGCTGAGCACTGTCTAAAGTTCTGGAGACATAATGTTGAGCAAGACAGGGTCCTGGCCCTCCAGGATTTATGGCTGACGCAGAAGACAGACGTTAAGTAAGCAAGCAGCACACAATGTGGTAAGAGCCACTAGGTGAGCCTTTGCAGGGCTGAGGGGCACAGAGCAGGAAGGCTTTGCCCAGCGGGGTGGCAAGGGCCAAGCCGCGGAGAAATTGCATCATTATTGCTGTGAGCCTGAGGAAAGCACTTTCATCTGTTACAGCCCAAGTGCCTGCAGAGTGCCTGAGACACCGCCTGACACAAAGGAGAGGCTGGATAAGTACTAACTCAGTGAGTGAAAACGGGCCCTGCCATGTCTTGCATTGCCATTTTATGCCGCTAACTCCTGTATTGGTTTTTAACTTTACTTGCGCATCTATGAGAATTCCCAACTACATTATAAACTGTTCAAGGGCAAGAACCCTATGTTGTATTTCTTTCTGTCCCACACAATCTCTAGAACAGTGCTCCCTATGCCTAAAACATCTGAAGTAAATGTGTTGGTGAGCAGAATGAGTGTATGCGTGCTATGTCCTTTTTGCTTACAAACCAGGAACAAAAGACTAGAGTTGGGACTTCAAAAGATGAATGTTAACCCACCCAACCTTCTAGTCAAGTTTTTTTTAGGCTCATTCTGCAAATGTGGCAAAAAAGCACCAAAAAACTATCTAACAACTCATTTTATAAAGAACTTCAGTAACAGAACACATACAATCATGCAAAATCCTGAAGGGGATCTGGAACCAAGTGAGCTTTCTCTATGCTGCTCTCCCATGCCTCAGATTGCTGTCCTAAACACTGATATCCAAATCAAAGAATTCATACTAATTCAGGTCCGTTTTCACTATCAACAATTATCTAGATGTCCAAATGTGCTAATTAATAGAAACATAATATTTATCAATAAAACAAAAGCAGATAATTAAGTAATAAAGACCTTTAAAATGTGATTTAAAATAGAAGCATCTTTAAAAAAAATTTACTGATCTCAAAGTGAATTAATCAAGCTGATGTTCTAACTTAGTAACAAACTTTATACTCACTAATTCGGGTAAGAAATTTTATAAAATCTTTTATATACAATGACCTTACTTTAAAAACAACAACATTTCAGTAAACAAAGTAATACCACCATACCCTCACTACTACAGTATTGCTCTTAATTCAAAAAGACCTTCAAGAGAAGAAGAGTTCTATAAAATAGCCATTAAAGTGTTAAATCTTTAATGAAAAATAAAAGCTCCATAAACTTTCAATTGATGTAATGCATTTTCCCCAAAATAGAATTCTGGCCTTAAAAAATGACTAGTAGTCATTTAAAAATGTGTCTTCTTCAAAATTATAAAAAAGTAAAACTGCCTCGTGTTGGTTTATGTGACAGCACAGGCTATGCAAAATAACACACATTGCTTTGTACAGAACAAATAAACATATGTATATATATGTGTGTACATATATATATTTTAAAACTTAAGAAAATGCCAAGACCTTTTTAAGTTCTATATTTGACCTTAAAGAATATGTCTCCATTTCATTGGCCAAGTGGTCAGACAGGCTGTACGGATAAGGGATGCCAAAGTAATCAGCCTCTTCCTGCAGAGCGACTCGGGTTTGCTCCCCGGTGGGAATGTGAACTTCTCCGTGGAGATAATCCAAAAGGTACTTAAACAGGTGGCCATCACGGTCAATAACACAAGCCCCTAGAAGAGATTCAGTTCCAAAGTCATTGCACAGATACATATGACCACTGACAACATTTCCGCATGTCGAACTAAGGCCAGATAGAGGTACCGTGTTTCTCCGAAAATAAGACATCCTCCGAAAATAAGACCTAGCGCATGGAAAGATAAGACATCCCCTGAAAATAAGACCTAGCGCAACTTTGGGAGAAAAAATTAATATAAGACACTGTCTTATTTTCGGGAAAACAGGGTAGGAATGTCTCTCACAAGAAAGTTTGCATCTAGTTTCAAATAAGTTTAGCCAAATGTGGTGATCCTCTGCACTCCCACCCTCCATATAAGAAAATGCATGCTCTGAGCTCCATTTGGAATTTTGGGTGCAATGACCCTCATGCCACTAAAGCCCCTGCAAAAGCTGCAGAGACCTCAGACTGCTGGCAGAGGTGGAAAGTTACCCCTAACTTCAGGCCGGAGAGGCCTGTGAGTTTCTCTCTAATGAGGGCTTGCAGGGGCCTGTTACTATGTCCAGTGTTTGGATTTATCAGATTAGTCCCTTTGTACTATGAAAATCGAAATTTCAAAAAGCAAATGCGCCCGGCTGGCGTGGCTCAGGAGTTGAACGTCAACCTATGAACCAGGAGGTCACAGTTCGATTCCCCATCAGGGTACATGCCCAGGTTGCAGGTCAATCCCCAGTAGGGTGAGTGTAGGAGGCAGCAGATCAACAATTCTTATCATTGATGCTTTTATTGCTGATGCTCTCTCTCCCTCTCCCTTCCTCTCTGAAATCAACAAAATAAAATAAAAATTTTTTTAAATGCTCTGCTGGTACTACTTGATGATAAAAGGCTTTTCTTGAGCAATTTAGCAGAATTTTTTAAAAAACAACACTTCTATGTGAGTTACTCAGTAATTTCTTTTCTCCCTTGATTAGTTTAGAAAAGAAGGGATTAAGAAGGTAAAACTTGGGGACAGAAAAACCCCTCAATCTCTGGTTATCATCTTCCACCAGCAACCTTCCTGTCCAGATGGACGCTGGGCCCCAGCCATCGGTGACTCTCCGTGCTTTCCACTGCCATTCCGCTGGCAGAGCCATCTCTCCGGCCCAGGGCTGACTAACAGCCCCTCGTGCCCAAGACCCCGCAAGCCCTCTCTTCTAGCTCAGAAGCAAGAATGGGTGCCAGGAGCCCCGGGACCTCTAGGACATGCAAATTCCAGCTGCACCAGGTGACAAGTTTAACACTGACTCTACACTCACAACGACGGCCCTGTCAGCTCTGAGGGCATCTGCTTTTCCAGAAATACATATTTTTTAACTTGAAAAACACAGAGAGAAGCTAATATTTTTAATTGGCCTCAATACCTTTACCCATGGAATTTCATGAACATAACAACTTTCAAAATATAATCCCCGTAAATCAAGTCGTGATTGGCCTTCACACACTCTCGCTGTTTTGTCAACTTTTAGCGAAAGCATCACAGATCCTAGGAACTGGTGTGTAATTTCTTCGTGTATTAATTAAAATTTATTAATTTTAATTAATCTCCATACAGTACTGATGATCTCACTAATTAGCAAGCTAATCTAATCAATGTCATTGTAATTAGGAAAATCAAAGGGAACTTAAACTAGACTCCTACTTTAGTGAATATGGTAGATATTTACCTGACTCATCTGTTTTTAGAGGAAAACGACCACTGAACATGGAAGCCAACATGGAGTCTTTAAATCGGCACAGGGACTCGCGCCTGGCTGTGTAAACACAGCCACCCACGTTCAGTCGCAGGATATCTAGCATCTCTTCCTGCTTGTGCTCTTCCATTGCTCCCTCGACACCTGACTGGTGCCTTGAAATGCTTTCAGAAACTGCAAACAACAGTGGTCCTGGACCCCTCTATAAAAACAAAGGACAATCACACTGACATCTTCAACAACAGATAATAAACTAAATACATTTTACTGCGATTTCAAATAAATCCCTCAGCATTGGCAATACTGAATTGAAGGGCTCTATACAATATGAAAGAAGTCTGAGATATGCTGAGAACCTGGAAAACTCTGGCTTAGAGGACGTGTAAATAATAATAAACTATTACGGTACCAATGAAATCATAGCTGTGGAGGTGACTGCTTAAATAATTAAACAACATAGTGCATTGTCTGTCATATAAAAAGCAAGGGTGAGGTATGCTTCTGATCCTCAATATTCGCATATCTTTTTAAAATACAGTAAGTCTGGCCATAGCTAGTTTGGCTCAGTGGATAGAGTGTTGGCCTGTGGACTGAAGGGTTCGATTCCCGGTCAGGGCACACACCCTGGTTGAGGGCTCCGTCCCCAGTGTGGGGCGTGCGGGAGGCAGCTGATCAATGATTCCCTCTTATCATTGATGTTTCTCTCTCTCCTTCTCCCTTCCTCTCTGAAAACAATAAAAATATGTTAAAATAAAATAAAATACAGTAAGACTGAGGGGGCTGTCTAGACCACAGAGGTCACAGTGGACATGAAAGGGGGCTGTGAGGCTCTTCCACGCACTAACTCAGGGCCTCAGGCAATTCTGCCCTCCCTGCCTGTGTCCTCATCTATAGAACGGAGGTAGAGACGGTGCCTCCCTCCAAAGATCAGCAGAGGAATAAGTGACAAGCATGTGAAAAGCATATAGAACAGCCACTGGCTCAATGTTAGTACTTAATAAATGGTAAATGTTACCGATAGTGATATACATTTTACTGTAAGGTGTATACTAGGGACTTGATATTGGCTCTGCAGATATAAGGACACAATAGGACAGAAAGGTCTAACAATAGTAATTGTAATTCCTAAATTGTGTAACTAAGGAAGAAATAATTTATCAACGGGGATCAGAATTCCATGTCTGCCAGTAGCTAGACTGGTCCAGAAGAACAGATAGCATCTCTAAATCACCTGATTTCTGCCTGGCTGGCATGCCTCAGTGGTTGAGCATCCACCTATGAAACAGGAAGTCATGGTTCGATCCCCCATGTGGGGCATGCAGGAGGCAACCAATCAATGATTCTCTCCCATCACTGATGTTTCTATCTTTCCCTCGTCCTGCCTCTCTGAAATCAATAAGAAATGTATTTTAAAAAATAAAAATAAATCACCTAACTTCTGCACTCTGAAATGCTGAAGCTTTATGCACATGCCATAGCCAGGGTAACATGGCTGCCAAGAGGCTTGACTACATCCTTGGCAATTCACTTTACCACGTGACCAATTACGATCCTTTCGTAGATATTCCCATGTATCCACTTTCCAATGAAAGGGGGACAGGAAACAACCAAGTGTGTCAAACGCGGTCAGTGGACAGAAACCATCATGGACCAAAAACCACCGTGGGTGTGACTTCTTGCACTGCCTGTAGTTCCTGGGGGCAGCCCCCAGCGGCCCAGGAGAGAGAGCCACCTGGGATGGCGCTGGTTCACACTGCGCGTTACCAGCTCCTTGGAAGCCCATCTGTTCTCCAAAGCCCCAGGCAAACCTCACTGTGCCTTCACAACCTTCCCAATCACCCCGAGTTAGAGCCGGGCACCGTTCTCCAAATAACCTTTGCACCCCTATCTACATTCTACCTCATTTGCTTGATCCCTAGGTTGGCGGACTATACGCCCCTAAGAAGCAGGACCTGTGTCACTCTTAATAATTCCCATTTACTGGGTGCTTCCTGGGTGCCGGCCACGGCGGGAGACACCTGGCAGGCCTTCCCTGGTTCACAGGAGAGCCCTGTGGATGGGACTCACTGCCCTTATGGACAGAGGACCCCAAGGAAAGCAGTGGAGGGATGTGTGCAGGGTCCACGCGAAGGCTGCCCTGTGTGTGATTAAGGGGTGGGGACAGCCCCCCAGGTCTGCCTGCTGCACCCACACTACCTGCTCAGCACAGCTTCGCCCCAAGGCTGCCGGCCCAGGCCCTGCGCTCTGTGCACCCTGAGAGCCAGGAGGAGATCACTGGCCTCAGACAGGCTCCCCTAGGGCAGAGGGCCAGGCCGGCACCATTTCAGGCCCGGTCACGGGCCCGTCCTCAAATGCACCCGCTGGGCTCCCTGCGGTGGCGGAAGCGCCCTGCCCTCCGGAGAAGTGTCCCCAAGAGCGGGCCGGGACCACCTGTATCAAACCATCCGCACCGCCTGCTGAAAGGCGGCTCCCGGGCCGCGGCCCGGAGTGCGATCGGAAAGTCAGAGGACGGGTGGGAGTCCGCCCGCGGACCCACTCGGTGAAGCGCTGCTCGCTCGAGGGGTTCGCACTTCTCCCGCCAGGTGGGGAGGATGGAAGGGGCCGGGGCGCCAGGAGGCCCGGCGGCGTCTCCCCGGGGCCCGGCTCTCACGGATTCAACTCCAAGCCCGAGCCTACGGCCCAGGCCTCCCGGGTGATCAACGCGGACCGGGCCCTTTCTCGGGGCGCCCCGCCGCCTCCCGGGCCCGCGGCCCACCCGGAGCCCAGATCCTCCGCACGGGCGAGGCCGGATAGGCAGCCTCCCCGACTGACCTGCGGCCCGCGCGGCCCTCGGCGCGGCCGCGGGACACTGCGGGGCCCCACTCGGAAGGGAGAGCCTCCTGCGATGCTCGGCAACTCCGGGAGCAGCGCGGCCCTAGTGGCGCCCCCGTGCGGCCCCGCCCGGCAGCGGCGCCCGGGACACCCCCATCCCTCCCCGTCCCGCCCCCGGACTGGTCCCGCCCAGACAGCGCCCCGTCCCCGGATTGGTCCTACTGAGACTGCGCCCCGCCCCCGAGTTGGTCCCACTCATACAACGCCCGCCCCCGGATTGGTCCCGCCCAGACAGCGCCCCGCCCCCGGATTGGTTCTACTGAGACTGCGCCCCGCCCCCGAGTTGGTCCCGCCCAGCCAGCACCCGCCCCGGGCCTGGTCTGGCCGCTGGCTGCGGGCGAGGGGAAGGCGTGAGTCAGGGGTCTTCAGGCCTCAGCCCTGTGAGTTACATCCTTCAGGGAAAGGAAAGGCCGGCGTTGACACGGGCTGGACGTCGGCGGCGGCTGCTTTTAAATAGGAAGAAAACCGAAAGTGTTAATAGTTACAATGCATTAGGACGTTTTCGCACCCCTGGGGGAGGGCCCTTCCCTCCAAACCCAGCTGCTCAACGCCAAGATTGATTAACATATTGCACTTACAATAGATGCGCCCATTCGGATAGTATTTGGAATTTGCAAAGCTTTTTCACACGGAGCATGCTTGTTTCATATGTGAGACGGCCCGGTATTTTTATTCCCGTTAGAGCAAGCAAAATTGAGGCAGGAGCAACGTTTATTGAGCATTTCTGTACACCTGACATTCTTCCAGGCCTCTGTGTACTATTTCATTTTCTCTTTCATTTTCCAGCTTCACTGGGCATTATGCAAAAGACTGCTAGGTGCTTCAAGAAGAATAAAACACAGTTCTGTTTTCAAGGTTCTTTCCCCGAATCCATAATAATTGGTTCCTAATTCCCCTTCAGATATTAATAGTTGGGTGAGAGAAGGCAGGTTTATCCAACCTATAATTATTGACCACTAGCTATGGACTAAGCACTGGGAGTGAAGGACTGAATATGACAATGTCCCTGACCCATGATATGGGTGTGTTTTTTTTTTATTATTACAGTTCACAATGATTATATAATAGTTATAAATTCTATACACCAAATAATTCAGTAACACGTGTTTAAAGCAAAAAAAAATCATAGGATATTTAAAGACACATTGATAGAAATACACTAGTAGTAGAAAAGTTTGATATGTCACGTTTAGTACAATAGACTGGTCAATAAGATAGATCTTATGGATATACATACTTTATACCCTGAAAATAGAGAATACAATAGTAACAATGAAGATAAAATGTTGTTTCAGATTGAAGTTTTCAAGAAATGTGCAAATCTTATATGAGGAAAACTTGAAAGCACCCTTTAAAGTAAAAAAATAGACTTGAACAAATGGAAAAATATTCCATAACATAAATACATCCATTTTCTCTAAGGTGATTTCTAAATTTAACAAATACCAATAAAAATACCAAGATTTTTATGGAGCTAGACAAGTTGACATTAAAATTCATATGGAAAAATAAAATGCAAAAATAGCCAGGTAAACAGGAAAAAGAAAAGTTTATGAGCTAGTCCTATCCGTCATTAAAATACACTATAAATCGGATTTGTTTATCTACTCATGGCAACCGGTGAGTGAATAGACCAGTGGAATAAAATAGAAAGTCCCAGAAATATGTCTAAATGCATATGAAAATATAATACGTGATAAACATAGTATCTCAAATTACTTGGGAAAAGATGGAAAATTTAATAAGTATTGGTAAGGCAACTGGCTTATATTTGGAGAAAGATAAAATTAGAACCAAGTTCCACGCTATAATCAGGAATAAACTCCAAATGGGCCATAGCTATAAATGTCAAAAATGAAACCATGTAAGTACTAGAAGAAAGTATGTATAATTTTTTCTTTCATCCGATATTTGAAAAGACTCTAACTATGACTGAAAATTCAGATCCAATAAGCAATAAACTTGCTGAATTTGACTATGTCTTAAAAAAAAAAAAACCTTTTGAACAACAAAAAATAAGCAAAGACCAATTACGAACCAGAAAATATTCTCCCCTTCACGCACACACATTTCTCAAAAATATGAAAAGATGTTCAAATTCACTAACAAGTGAAATTCACATTAAATCTACTCGGAGAATACACCTCCAAAAGTATGACAAAGTTAGACCTTGTGTTACCGGTGGAAGTGGAGTTCTTGGGCTGCAGTGGGGGAAACAGTTTCCTGAGGGCCCCACGGGTGGACGTGTTTTTGTGGAAAGCTTTACTGATTATGTAAAATTAAGGGGGTTCCCCTTTGAGGTCCCATCTCTGTCCATCCCGCCAGGGAAAAAGCCCAATATTGTCTGCAGCAGGGCCAAAATAAAAACCAATATCCAGCCCTCGCCTTTTTGGCTCACACAGAGCCTGGGCCTGTGGACTGAAGGGTCCCAGGCTCCATTTGGGCCAAGGGCACATGCCTGGATTATAGGCTCGATCTCCAGCAGGGGGCATGCAGGAGGCAGCCAATCAATCATTCTCTCTCATCATTTATGTTTCTATCTCTCTCTGCCTCTCCCTTCCTCTATGAAACCAATAAAAACATATTTTAAAAAAAATAAAAACCAGTATCCAGAGTTTCTGCTCCATTTTACAGTATCATCCAGTCCAGCATCCTGCCCATGGAGTTTGAAGGGCCGTGGCCCACGCAGTGCTTAAGGTCACATGGCGGGCAAGTGCGGGTCATGGAGTAAGAGAGCAGGCAGGCAAGGCAGACCAAACTCTGTACTTGGAGATTTTAACTTTCCAAGATCTCATGCTCTTGCCAATGATCTTTTCCCAGGCTAGACTGACAGCCAAGAGCCATCCCTACATCCCCCAGCTTCGCTGCTCATGTGTCCATCTCCCCTGGGTGCCATCCCTTCCCCAGTGAGCTGCAGGGAGGGGGGCGCTAGTTCCCTGGAGTGGGAGCTGTGTCTTCCTGGTGAAGCTGCCCCGATGGCCATGCTTATAATGTCTGGCCTCCCCTCTGCTCTCTTCCTATTGTGAATGTTGATAAACTAGCTAATTGCCACGATAACGGTTAGGGTCGCTGTAGGAGGAACACATGAGGCCAAAAGGGGTACAGAATGATACATTTATTAGGTAATCTGGGAAACCAAATGGGCTGTGTCCCGAAATGGCGCCAGCACCCAGGAATGGGGAGGCAGAGGTTTTAAAGGACTCTGGGTAGGCTCTTTCTGGCCTGAGAAATCTCTGGGCGGGTCCGGATCCTGGGAAGGTCCAGAGGGGAAGGATAATGAATGGTCTTAGCAAGTGGAATGTGGTCCAAGAGAAAGGGAATGTCGTTTGTGAAGTGGTTTAAAGGGCAGGTCCCAGGGGAGGGAGTATTGTATTGCAATTGCAAAATGTAGTCTTGTTTGCAATCGCAAAATATCAGAGGGAGAAAAATAAATTTCTATAAATAGGAGAGTATGTGAATAAACTGGGACACATACACACAATGGAGTATCATGAATCTGTAAAAAAGAAAGAGGTCATTTTCTGTGGATTAATGTAAAATGATTCCTAGGGTATTTTTTAAATGACCAGCAGGGGGTATCTGTCACTGGTGCATCTGGGGATGGGGAGGTGGTATCAGTTTCAAGCTAGGCAGCGCCAGGGGCAGCCTGAGTTGGATGGAGTGGAGGTCCTGTTGGACTCTGCGCATGACCCAGGATAACAATCATGCTGCAGAGTCCAACTGTTCAATCTCTGAGTTCTTATGTCCCAAAACAGACAGCGGCCCCACTCACGTGTGTGCCCAGACTTGTGGTTTTGGGCATTCCGGGGCCCCTCCCAAGGGCATTCCCATTACACTCATCAGCTCAGCCTTGGGCATATTGCCACTTAGCACTCTGGTGAATGTCACGGCTGACGGCAACTCCATATCGGATTGTCAAAAGTGTTGGAAAAGTCTGCTCCACTCTTGTTCTATACACAGGCCGTACTGGTAGCATGATTGTGGCTCAGTCCTTCTCGGTTGCCATGGCCCCTCATTCTCGCTTGTTTTAAAGCCTATATTTCTACCCTCTCCAGTAATGCTTTAAACTACCCATTGTCCTCTTCTGTGTCTATCAGTCTGGGTTACTCAGTGAAATTCAACTTGCCAGACCCATACAGATGATCAGATCAGATGGTTTCCTGAAATGTAAGTCCACTATTTCTATTGTACTTTGTTCTATTAGTTTGTTGATTTGCAGTGTGTCTTCTATTTGGCTCCTATTCAGGGAGGACATTTCTCGGAGGATTTTTGTTTTAGTAATGCTGAGATGTTAAAGGACATTTTTGTTGTTGTGCTGTTTGGCTGTTAGCCTTCCTCTTTCCTCCCCTTTACTCCTTTATTAGTGTGGGGAGTGTGGATCAGGATAATCAAATTTTAATACACCAGACTCTACCTTTAGATAGAGGAAATCAGGCAACTAATGAGTGTAAGAATAAAGGAAAACGAAGGGAGAAAAGCAAAATCAGTTCTTTGTGTCAGAAAGTATCACAACAGAACTGTGAGTTCATTTAATTTAATTGGTTTATTTTATAGGTAAGGAGTTTGCAACTAAGAACATATCAATAATGTGTATTCAAGATACAAATGACTGCATCTCACACCTAGTCCAGGGCTCTATCCATAATAAGACCCAAATGACCTGAAAGCAAGCTGAATCAGGTTAAATTAAGTAGCCCAATTAAGTATACTTTTATGGTTGTATACGATAAGAATTTACATTTCCAAGAGATTTTGTAATTTAAAAAGCCCTTGGTTCATGAAATTCTCTCAACTTCTTTGAGATAAGATAATCAGCACTTTTAAAAATTTATTTTTTTTATTGATTTCAGAGGGGAGGGGAGAGGGAGAGAAACATCAATGATGGGAGAGAATTATTGATGGGCTGCCTGCCGCATGTCCCCTGCTGGGGATCCAGCCCACAACCCAGGCTTGTGCCCTGACCAGGAATCAAACTGTGACCTCCTGGTTCGCAAGTCAATACTCAACCACTGAGCCACAGCAGCCAGGTGATAATCAGCATTTTTTTTAAAAAGAGATGTTCATATTTTGTCTTGATGAAAATTTTAACAACTCTTCTACCTCTGACTGCCCTGTCTCACTTTCTATTTGTTTTGCTAATGAAATTGTAGCTACAAAATGAGTCAGGAAGAAAGCAATATTAATATATTGAACAAAAGGGTCTGTTAGCCAGGCTGCTGTGGCTTGGTGGTTGAGCATCAACCTATGAACCAGGGGGTCAAGGTTCAATTCCCATTTGGGGTCCCCAGTAGGGGGCGTGCAGGAGGCAGCTGATCAATGACTCTTTCTCATCATTGATGTTTCTATCTCCCTCTCCCTTCCTCTCTGAAATCAATAAAAATATTTATTTTTTAAAAGGATCTGTTGATTAGAACCATCATAAAAATATATTAGGTGCTGTTATTAATCTCCATTTTACAGATGAGGAAACCTCATCCTATCTAATAAAGAGGGAATATGCTAATTGACCCTCACACTGTTGCAAAGATGGCAGTGCCCACAGCCAATAAGGATGGAATATGCTAATTGACTGCCACGCCCTCAAAGCTGGTGGTATCCACAGCCACAAGATGGTAGTGCCCAGTCCCCTCAGCCCCCAGCCACTCAGGGCCGGCCTGAGGTGCAGGCAAGCCTTGGATGGAGGCTTCCCAGGCACCCACGGCCACCCAAGGCTCAAGTAACCAGGGCCTGCTGAGGATTGCGCTGCCGGCAGTGGCAGCAGCAGAGGTGTGATGGGACGTTGACTTCCCCTGATTGCTGGGTCACCTCCTGCTCCTGTGAGCTCCCGGATTGTGAGGGGGAAGGCCTGGCTGAGGGATCCCCACCCCCCTCCAGTGCATGAATTTTTATGCACCGGGCCTCTAGTATATATATATAAAACATATATAACATATGCAATATGTAACAGATCGAATGTTATACACATATATTATGCATATATAACATATGTGACATGTATTACATATATATGTAGTTTGTGTATAATGGCAAATGCCATTCTTGTACATTTAGCTAAAACAGACCTAAATATTGATGAGATCCAGAATTTACAACGAAATGTCACTGCCACTTTTCCTCAGAAGGTTAAAAGGAAAATGGGGCTGGGGGGGAGGCTTTTCAGTGAAAAGGAACAGTGCCAGCACCACAGGGCAAAGCAGCCCAAGCAATGCTAAGATGTGGATGGGCGGGCAGGCTCCCAGCAGCTTCAGAGACACAAAAACTTCCTGGCGGGCGGACTGGAGGCGGCGGTCAAGCCTTTCAGGCATCCTGCTGATGGCGGTAATTTTGTCCCAGGATTACCTCCTTCTTCCCCCGCCTGATGCCAGCGCCGGGACCCCAATCCAGCCCGCGCGGCGACCCTTCCCCTAAACTGGGTCCGCAGGCGCCCAGACCACGCCCCTCCCGGCCCGCGCGAGGCCCCGCCCCTTCCGCCTCCCACTTCCGGGTCCGGCGCGCTTTTGCGCCGGCTTCTCGGAACCTGGTTGGCTGGTGTGGCAGCCGCCAACGGCCGCGGCGTTTAAACCGGAGCCTGGAATGCGGCGCGCGGCTCCGGGACGGGGTGGCGCCCCTCTCTCGGGAGAAGCGGTAAGTCAAGGGCCACCGGCTTTCGGCCCGGCCGTCCCGATGGCGGCGGGATCCGCGTCTTTCCCGGGCGGAACCTCCCGGCGGCGGCGTCCTCTGGCGTCTTCGGTCAGCCCAGCCCCGCGCCCGGCGCTCATCGCGCCCACCCTCCGCCCGGCACCCCTCCGTCCGTCCGGCTGGTGGTTCGGGGAGGACTAGTTGGCATCTAAATCGCTGTCTCTAGTCCCCGGGATTTGAACGCCCGGCTGGAGCGGGATAGGGGGCGGGGAGCGAGCCGCCGGGTGGAAGGTCAGCTCCCTGCAGGGAGGGGTTTCTCTCTGGCCACTGCTCTGCTCCGTGATGGTGGGAGTGTGCAGCCCGTGGAGCGATGAGCCATCTGCCCAGGGAGCGTAGAGGCTGCTCACCTGAGTCCTCCAAGGAGCCCCCTCCTTCGGGCGCTGGTGCAGAAGGGAGGCTAGCTGCGGGAGGAGGGGTGGAGCCTGGGAGGACCTAGAACTTGAACTGGGGTTTCAGGTGCAGGGAGTGTTTCAGCAGGGAACAGGGACCATGGATTCTGTGGGTAGGGGGTTCCATTGAGAAACATTGGGTGTAGAGAGGAGTGTTTCTGCTTTAGAGATCAGCTGAGATGCAAGCCAGACAGGAGCCACAGAGAAATAATACTTAGGAAATGTTCAGGGAAGAGATTGAGGCTAGAGGTTGTTGGGTGGTTTTTTTTTATTTATTATTATTGATTTTTTTACAGAGAGGAAGATAGAGGAATAGAGAGTTAGAAACGTCGATGAGAGGGAAACAAAGATCAACTGCCTCCTGCACACCCCCTACTGGGGATGTGCCCGCAACCAAGGTATAATACATGCCCTTGATCGGAATCGAACCTGGGACCCTTCAGTCTGCAGGCCGATGCTCTATCCACTGAGCCATACCGGTTTCGGCGAGGCTAGAGGTTTGGATGGGCTGTGAGTTCCAGAGGACTCTGCGAGTTGGACTAGGGTGAGACAGGGAGACTGCTGTAAAACAGGACCACCTACTGGGTGGCTTAAAACAACAGGAATGTATGTCCTCACCGGATCCGGAAGCCAGAAGGCCAAACCGAGTGTCATGGAGCTGAAATCAAGCTGTCTGCAAGGCTGCTCTCCTTGGGCGCCCCCAAGTGAGCGTTCATCCCTCACCATTTTCTAGGTCTGGTGTGTGCCTGCCAGCCTTGGCTTCTGGCCACATGGGGGGGGGGAGGGGGGCACGCTACCTGGATTGTCCAGGGTGATCTCCCATCACAAGATCCTCAATCACAACGGTAAAGACCCCTTACCCACGTTATGTTTACAATGACATAGCTTATCTTTGGGGATCATTTTTCACCCTACTGAAGGGCCAAATGGGGGATGTGCAGAACTGGACAGGGACTGGGGTGAGGGTGCTGTGAGTGGCCTGGGAGTCTGGGGATTCTTGTGTGATTGACCGACAGAGCATCGTGAGACAAGTCCTGTGGACTCCATAGGTAGGCAATGGGAGAGGCTGAGTATCGGGGGTTAGGCAGGTGGGGGTGGCAAGGTTTCTTCTAGATCTCTGCAGGTGGAGGCAAGGAGGCTTGGGAGGTTGGACTTGTCCAAATAGGTGGCTCAATTTCAACTGCATTTTCTAAAAACATTTTCAGGTCCTTTTCCCTTGGACTAGGCAGAGTTCATCACTTTCTGGGCCATTGCATGTTATGTCTATCATTCCTGGCATGATCTGAATGTCTTCTAGTTAATTCAATAGACCATAACTCTAATAGACAAATAGCCAAGTTTAAATTCCCTGCCTACTCTTCCAACACCTCCTCCAACACTCCCTCTCTTCTGTGCACATCTCTAAGGTTAGGCTTCGTATATTGTATCAAAAAGTGCCCATACCCACATGAGATTGTGCATTCCATATTCTTATACAGCCATATCCTGTTTTCTGTCTCCAGTTTAGCCTAGCTCCTGGCATGAAGATAAAATAATACAGGTTTAAATGAAAAACAGTCACTTATCTTTTTTTTTTTTTTGGATTCTATTTTAAACCATTTTTAATTACATTCATAATCTCTGGTTTTATATAAGGGGTTTTATAGATATGTATGTACAGACAAATTATATAATTTGTCATGATTGTTACTTTTTAGAATGTATCAGTTACTCTTTTTTTTCTGTAATCAATACTATGATTTCCTTCTTTCTTTCTTTTTTTTTTTTTTTTTTTTTTTTCCAGAGATGGATTATCAAGTAACAGAAATGGGATCACTTTTCCCCTCAGGAATTAAGAGGCATGTGAAAGACAAAAGAATGTCAAAGGCCGCTAAGTTGAATGTTTCTCTTGCCTCCAAAATCAAAACAAAAATAATAAGTAAGTGCCATTGGTTTTACATATACTCACATTTTTACTTTTCCCTGAAGCATTGATGAGTTATTTTATATTTTATCAAGTATAGAAAATGACTATTTTTGTAAACTGATGCTTCCACTCCCCTCCCCTTTTATTCCTTTCTATTTCCTTTAACTCCTACTAGTTGAATGGTTATGATGATTTTCCCCAGTGGTGACAGCTGAATTCTCACCAGTGAGCTTGGTGCAGCCTAAGGCAGCTACCTCCTAAATGGCAAGGAAAATACCAGTGTGCCATTCCCGGAAAATATTTTAAAAAGTGGTAGATGGTTGTGGTATGCTATAGCCATTGGCTGATGGGTAATCTGGAGGGGTTGGCCCACGTAGGCTGCTGTAGTGGGTGATCTTATAGCCAAAGGTCATTAGGAGGCACTGAGCCCTTTGGAGATGGTCTCATGGATTCTGGAATTAGGATGTCAGAAGGCAAAGAAGAAAAAGAAAGAAAGGGGGAAAATTCCCAAGATAAGTTTTTAATGCTTTTGAAAATTGTCTCAGTGGGTCACACCCACCTTAGCAGGAGTGGGGAAGGCACCTGCCAAGGGTAACAGTGTGCCTGGGAAACAGCCAAACCTTCTGAGTGTCTTTAAGTCGTAATGTGGCTCCTGCCCGGGTGTCCAGGGCCGTGGGCTGTGCCAGACCACCTCCTGCAGAGCTTATCTCCTGTCCTCCGCAGGACCATGCACACCCGCTGCTAGGAAGGAGTGTGCTGACTTTGAGGCCTGCCACAGGAAAAAGCTATTCTCCTTTCGCTATGGAGTCCTGCTGGTGCTAGTGTGTTTCCGTCTGAGGTAGCTGTTGGAAACTGCTTTCTCAGTGCCAAAGAGAAAGTACATTTGGACTCTTGTTTTTTACATTCCCAGACTTTCCCTGAGTATTTTAAAAAATATTATTATTTTTCAATAAACATTTTTACATATATACACTTTTATTCAGTGGCATGTAAATCAAAATTATGAAGACATGAGTATGCTCTAAGTGTACACAGGGAACATACTATATTTAAGGTGAGATTTACCAAGGAATTCACAATTAAATTTCCTTCCTAACAACGGAAAGCATTTCTGACATAAATTATGTTTACACAATGCTTGTAAAGAGGGGGTCTGGTTTAGATTGTAGCAGATGCCCTCATATACGAGGGAGGATATTTGGGATGGAGGTAGAATATCCCAGGGTTTAGGTGATCTATCCCACGTTGTAGTGAGTATCCCACGTAGGGGTGTCGAACTCAATCAGAGAAGGGGCCAAAATCTAAAATCCAGCCTAAATCCCAGGCCGAATGGTTTACTGAACAGTCATAAACTGTCATTGTGATGGAAACGCAGTGGAGTGCAGTGATGACAGCGCGGTGCGGGCCACATTGCAAGGCCTGGCGGGACGGATTTGGCCCGCGGGCCTTGTGTTTGACACATGTGCCACAGGGTGTAAGTGATTATATTGTACAACATTGCAGTAGATATGCTCCCTTTCACTCGAGGTTTTGAGAAATGGACTCTGGGAGCATTAACTAATGCGTTCCATTCTGGAGCCATAGGAACTGGCTTTACAGTTTTTGCAGACTGGCCCCCTAATGTCTATGGGGCATCTCCAGTTAGAGCTGCAGGATCAGCTTCTCCATTCCACCTCCTAGCCAAAGGCAGAAAGGAAGGTAGGGCAGCAGAGATCAAGATTTAGTGGCTGGTCTAGTTGTCTAGAATGCTGTGTCTGTAGAAGAGTCCTCTGTTTCCTAACGCTGTATCCACAGACATTGTGCCTTTCTCATTATGCCTTTTATTCATCACCTACATGGCTTTTATTTCTTCAGTCCCGAACTCGTAAGTACACTTTTTTCAAAACTATGTCTGTATTGCCATTCTCTTCTTTTCCAACCTACAGTTAAAACTTATAAAGTGAAATGCATTTTTGTCTAAAAGTTTTACTAAGGAATAGGAAATTTTGTTAAGGTATATGTTCAATATTAATTATTAAATTTTTTTTACAGATAATTCTTCTATTTTCAAAATATCTTTAAAGCACAACAACAGGGCATTAGCTCAGGCTCTTAGTAGAGAAAAAGAGAATTCTCGAAGAATGGCAAGTGAAAAGATGTTATTGCAAAAAGAAGTGGAAAAGTTGAATTTTGAGAACACATTTCTTCGCCTAAAGCTAAATAACTTGGTATGAAAACTATATTATGTTTGAATTCTAAATTATAACTAAAAATCTTAACTATATTATTATAGAAGCTCTACATATGTTTTTCAAACCTCCAATTATGAGAAGTTATTGAAAGAGCATGCATTGCTCATGGGCAAACTGTAATAAAATAGGTGTCTTAAGTCTACATTCTAAATATTTACTGCACATTATGCCGAAACCGGTTTGGCTTAGTGGCTAGAGCGTCGGCCTGCAGACTGAAAGGTCCCAGGTTCGATTCCGGTCAAGGGCATGTACCTTGGTTGCGGGCACATCCCCAGTAGGGGGTGTGCAAGAGGCAGCTGGTCGATGTTTCTCTCTCATCGACGTTTCTAGCTCTCTATCTCTCTCCCTTCCCCTCTGTAAAATATCAATAAAATATACTTTAAAAAAAAAATTTACTGCACACTAGCATAACAACTTGAATAACCTTTGATTGCTTATCATAAGCAAAGCTTTGTGCATTACTTCATTCCTCAGTGAATGGGAAGGAGTGCCTAGAGTACTGGTATTCTCTAGCCTCCATGTTTCACTGACTTTACGCCAAATGGAATGAATATTGTAGACGTTGCTTTTCCTTCCAATTTGCAACTCTGTCCATAGACAGGGTAGTAAGTTCTAATTATAAGCTAGGCTGCAACTATAGATCTAACTATAAAATAAGCAGCAATTAATTTAAAAATGGAAAAATGACCTACTACAATTGAAGATTAAATTCCTGTGGCTGACAAACTATGTTTACTTGCCATATAATGTATTATCATAAGAAGATAAAAAATGTTTGTAGAAAAATTTATGACTGATAGTTCGAAAGCGTTCAAAATGTGTGCCTATTTGAACTATACAGTATAGTAACCTTTGTAATCTCAATTTTTAATCCATTGTTGTCTCTTATTTTTTTAAGTCTTCTCAGCTCATTGTATTCATAAATGTATGATTTCATAAACTCCACATCTTAATTGTTTAAAAGGGGTCTTTTTTTTTTTTACTTATACAGAATAAGAAGCTTACAGAAATAAAAGCACAATTGAACAATAGTTTGCTAACCGCACTTGAAATGAGCAATTTTTCTGAGGTAAGTAGAATTGTGTGTAAGTAGTGCAGTTTTTTAGCATTACTGAGAATAGTTGAAGTTAGTTAGGTAGCCTCAAGATTAGAGATTCATATTTTAACTTTGTGCAAAGAAATGATAATATTCATTTTAATGGGCTAATAGAACATCATTTGGTATAATTGATTATTGTAATTTTTACGTAAAATTTAATTTTGATTAAAAGTAACACAGGAGCCAAAACTGGTTTGGCTCAGTGGATGGAGCAGCGGTCTGTGGACTGAAAGGTCCCAGGTTCAATTCTGGTCAAGGGCATGTACATTGGTTGTGGGTGCATCCCTGAGAGAGGGTGTGCAGGAGGCAGCTAGTTGATGTTTCTCTCTCATCGATGTTTCTAGCTCTCTATCCCTCTCCTTCATCTCTATGTGATTAGAGGATACTTTCCAGCCCAATGCCTGGCTAAAGCAAACCTTACATCTGTCAGGAATGCTCTCTGGGTATTGTTCTTGCCAGGAGCTTGCATTCCATTGCGGTAGATGCAGCAAGGAAGCAATGGTTAGTGCATCTGACAGCTAACTCTGAGGACTGGTAGGAAAAACACACATTCCCCAGTCTCAGCTGTCAAATCTGAGTATGATGTAACAGTGTGTGCCTATATGACAGAGAGAGGCTTAAGGAAAGGCAAACATTTAAGTGTAAAGTAAATGATACTGCCACCAAGAAAGAGCACACTTAATTACACTTTGGACTTTTCACAGTCAGTAAGGACACTGGTATTTTGTGCTTTATGATTCACATGACCTGGTCATTTGAGTTGGGCCAATACAAACAAAAAGGCTCTGTTGGTTTTGGTTGAGGTAATAAGATTTCAGATTTCTTGGTTGTTTTTTCCTTTGCCCAAGTTCCCAGATTCCCAAAACTCTAGGATTAGTTTTGGGAGGGATGAGAGAAGAAAATATGTAAATACTCAGGAGGATTAAAATAAGATAGCAGGGTTTTTGAGTTGGCAAGTGAATCAGTTTGGGGTTTGTGAGCCTGCAGCCCCCCCCCCCCACCCGTGCATGAATTTTGTGCACCGGGCCTCTAGTATATTATAAAATCCAATATGTAGACAATATAGACATAAGCATATTTCATATATAGTTGACCTCTGAAAAATGTGTAGTTAAGAGTGCTTACCCCCACACAGTCAAAATCCACATATCAGTTAAGTTGGCTCTTTATCCAATCATGAATCTAAAACACTGTATATGTAGAGATATATGTGTGGCTATACACTGTGTATCTATTCGTATGCATAGAAGAAAATTTGGGAAGTTATATGCCAAAATGTTAGTAGTGATTCTCTTTGGATGACATGATTAAGGATGAACTATGTTTAAACTTAACACATTATTCTCATTGAACAATTAAAGATTAATGTAAGAGTTGTTCCATTACTATTGGTATTCTTGTATAATTTGGTAATTTAATAACTCTAACTTGATTTAATGAGATTAGAAATTTTGTTCTTTTTTATTTTCTGTATTTCCTCCCCAAAATAGTTCCACCAGAGTCCCTTTCCACTCCCAGCCAGCAAGAATAAACGGGTTAGTAAACAGTGCATGTCGATGCGTCTTCCATTTGCAAGGTAATTGCTTCAAAACTTGGTTAAATATTAGCCTGCACACCTCTAAGTGGACTGTGAAAGTTTTTATTTGGTTCACTTCCTTTAAACATAGAAAGCATTTTAAAAATTAATAATGAAATACTTGTTAAAATGGTACCAGCAAAAGAAATAGAAGACTAATATACCGTATTTTTCAGACCATAAGACGCTCCGGACCATAAGACGCACCAGTTTTTAGAGAAGGGAAATGAAGAAAAAAAGATTCTGAAACAAGTAGTGTCCTAAAATATTTTATGTGCATTAAAACCCAACATCACAGTCATAAACACATGTAATCAACCCTGTAAAGTAAACAGCAGCATTTAGAACCATTTTAGAGCCGGGCAAGCGCACAGAGACCACACAGAGCCGGGCAAGCAAAAAAAACTTTTTTTTTTTAAGTATATGTGTAGGCTATATTTGGACCATAAGACGCAGGGACTTTTTCCCCCCACTTCTGGGGGAAAAACGTGTGTCTTATGGTCCAAAAAATACGGTAGTAAAGTTTAGTTTTATATTTTGAAATAATAACTCAGCTTTTCCATAGATTCTAGAGAAGAAAGAGGCACAGATGGACCTTTATTACATGAGTTTAAATTACATTGATTCAGAGTACTTAGATTTGTATATAACACAATAATTTTTATGTGTTATATAATGTTTGGGTTTTATCAATCTATAGTTGCCTACTAATGTTGGAAAGAGATGGTTTGTAGAGTCTTGCTCAGATTATATCTTAAGGGCTCTGAAGAAACTTACCCTCATTCAATAACTAAGTTGTATTTATTAATCCACCTTTCCCTATGGTTACTACTTTCCGTGTCCTTTTAAGAAACTCTTTACTAATTGGAAGCTCATGATGTGTTGTTTTTTAAGCTCTATCATTTTCCCTTTCACATTTCGTTCTTCAGTCTACCTAGAATTTGGGGTGTAATGAAGGAAGACTCGATTTATTTTTTTCATATGGAAATTATACTAAGCTGCACCATTTATTTAGAAAAGACCATCTTTTTCCCACCTCATTGCAGTATATCATCTGTTTCATAAGTCAGGTGACCTGATATGTATGCATCTGTTTCTGATCTTACTATTCTAAGCCTTGGTTATTTGAAAGTGTGAATCTCCATTTCATTTATTTATGTTTTTGATCATGAATATTCTCTTGGCTGTTCTTGGCCCTTTTCATTTCCATGTGCATTTTAGAGTCAACTTGTCAATTTACATAATGCATGTGTACACACACGTATTTGATTTGGATTAAAAAGTTCATCACATTAATAGGGGAAAAGAGAGAATAGTATCTTTTCAATAGTGACAGAAAGACATTCAACAGCCATTTATGAAAAATCTTTCAGCAAATTAGGAGTTCAAGGGAACTTCTTTAATCTGATAAGGAAAATCTACAAAACTCAAGAGCAAGCATGTTAAATAATGGGGACACAATAAGAATGTTGTAACTTTCTCCTAAAGCCACAAACTATATTTAAATCCAGGGCTTCTACTAGGTACATACCCAATAGAAATGTGTGTATACATTTCAAAAGGCATATAAATAGCAGCACTATTTATAATAGACCAAAAGTAGGTAATATCACTAACTTGGGTTAATTTGCTGACCCCCTCCCACTTTCTTTAATTCATTCTTTGAATTAAAAAAGGTCAGTTTAACAATACATTTCTGTGGATTTCTGTGTCCCTCCCACTCACATAGACTTAAGTACTGTAGGAATATGGCTTCAGTTTACCTGGATGTTTTTGGAAATAGTCCAACTTCATCTCACACATACTTTTTATACAATTGTACTTGTCTGAAACCAGAGGAAGAGTTTTGGGTATTCCTTATAATGAATTTAAGGAATACTATAAATATTATATACAGGTGTTTAAAAGTATCTCTGGACTTTATTTATTTCATTATTATTACCCTAATAGCCCAACCAGTGATTATATCAGCTATCTCCTTTTGGTGCCGCTAGGGTTATAAAGATATGCATTCTTGTTTTACTCCAAGTTCTATACTATTAGATACTACCTACTTCCTACCTATACTTGTCTTCATTGAACACAAAAAGGTGCCCAGAGGGGTGGGAGAAGTTGTGGTTGGTTCTTAAATAGATTATAGAAAGGACTGTCGATGTAATTTTCTAATTTTTGTAAAATGCAAAATTTTTCAATCATTCCCACCTGCCTTTAGGGTTCCATTAACTTCAAATGATGACGATGATGATGAAGATAAAGAGAAAACACAATGTGACAACGATTTTATATCAAAGACATCATCTGATGTTCCTACTTCGGTATCAACAAGACAATCTTTATCAGTTCAGTATAATTTGGAGTTATGTCTTAAAGAAAATCAAAATGTGTGTGGTTTAGATGACTCAGAACAGATTTCTCCTATTATTGATATGCTTCCTAAAGGTGAGATTTTTAAAAAATTAATTTTGAGTATTAAATAGTTATACTTATCACATTTTCTTCTTGATATTCATGGTATATAAATTGTTAAGTTAAATCTTATGTTACAGATTTGCTCACTTCTATTTTAAAATGCTGATGAAAATTTTCATTTAAAAGTCAGTATGCTGACAAATGTCAGCTCCACAGTGCCTGATACTGTTACTCTGGAAGCAGTATTTAGAAATGAGCCAGCCTAAAGAGCTTTCCTTGACATCTTAGTTTATGAATAGAAAGATACCATATTAGTTTCACATGTTATTTTCATTTTCTCCTGTTCATAAATATGAAAATTGGGGGCCTAGATGGGTATAGTGACTTTTATAAGATCATAACCCATTAATAGTAAAGCAAAAATTTGAGCGTGCATAATAGTTGAACAAGAGAAAATGATGACATATTTTATTTAGATGGTATTTCAAAATAATTGTGTGGTGTAATCTGGCTTACGTATTTGCCATAGATTTTTCCAATTGATATATTGAATTTAAACCTTAGAATTATTTTTCCTTTCTAAAAATTTATATGTGTACATTCCATATATAATTTATAGGAACTAGCTGTCTGCTACTAGCCTTCTGATAGTATTTCTTACTAGAGTTATCACTGTTATTTGGGGTCACTTGCTGGCCCCCTCTACTTTAGAAATATATATTAATGACTCTATTGTTGACTATACTCCACTCAACTGTTGGAGCCAAGGCAGAGTGAATTCTCAGTATATATTCTCCATTGCTACATATGTAAAGTGTGAGTTAGGACTACTCTCATCATTTCTACTTTATTTTTTTTTATCAGCATAGATACTGTATCAGTAGTTGAACAGAACACATGGTTAGAAATCCTCTCTGTAAAACAGCTTTATTTCTAATCTAATTTGCTTTAAATTATAAACCTGCGACTATTTATTTCTGAATTTTGTTTCTCTTTATTCTATAGAAAACTATTCCCACTATGAACAAAGTTCCAAGAGTTCTCTAATGAGTGAGATGGAAAATTCCCAGCCTATCAGTCACAAAAAGGAGATACCATCTTTTAATAATGTAACTAAAAGGAAAAAGCGTTCATCATTTCTGGAATCAAATAATCCTTGTCCAGACGATCCTTGTGTGACAGATTTAAATCAAGAAGGGATTTCAAGCCCAGAATTAAATGGGAATAATAACATAAATGATCAGACTAATGAAAACAATATTAAAATGCAAAGAAACATACAGTGCCTTCCTGGCTCATCTGAGTCTGCAAGTGAACCTACTGCAGAGTACATGAATCAAGTTCAGGATAATGATGACACTCAGGGACAGAAAACTGTGTATGATACTGACATGGATTTAACTGCTAGTGAAGTTGTAAGCCAAATAGTTACAGTTTCAAAAGGCACTAAAAATAAAAGAAATAATAAACCAAATGACTGTGGAACCAAAACTTTCAGGAAAGTGAAAGATTCAAGCTCTGAAAAAAAGAGAGAAAGATCAAAGAGACAAATTAAAAATAGTTCAGAAATGAATGTTGAGGAAAAGATTGAAAATGAACCAGAAAAAAGAGCTATTGGCCTAAATAACAATGGGAATTCAGAAGATCCAAATTCTATCTTCAGTACCGAACAGCAGACTCAGTTGAACAAACGGAAGACAATAACTCTTCAAAATGACTTTGATCAAGATGACAGAGAAAGTACAGAGAATGGGAAGAAGAAGAAGAAGAAGAAAAGAATTCGTGTTACAAATGAGGAAGAAGAAACATATTCCTCCCAAAATTCAGATAAGTTCCAGCAGGAGAGTAAACTTGACATATGTCTGACATCTCTAGCTTATGATAAAAATAAAGCATCTAGACAGACATTTGTGATCAATAAGTTAGAAAAAGGTCAGTTATTCCTAAATCAAAAGGATCAAGAAACCATTTCTGAAAACCTAGGATTCACAAATGAATTTCAAACAGCTGACCTTGCCACCCAACATAATGGAAATTTATGTGATTATGAGACACAAAATAAGTTGGATTTGAAAAAGCATGTGACTGATTCCCAATCTGTTCAGCAACATGAATCAAAAATAATTAAGAAGCATAGGCAGAAAGCAAATCGGAAAACAGAAATAATTTCTGGAATGAACCAAATATATGGGGATAATAACCAAGATGTGCATGGCCTAGAAAAGGGTAACTTTTCCATCCACACCCAACCAGATAAAGAAATCATCTCTGGAAACCTAGATGTTTCAAATGAGTTTCAAAAACCTGCTCTTCACCCCAACAATAATGGGAATCTAAGTGATTGTGAACCTCAGAATGGGTTGTATTTTCAAAAGTTGGTTACCGAAGCATTTCCTGTCCAGCAAAATAAATCAAAAGCTAGTAATCTTAGGCAGAGAGTAAATCGGAAGACAGAAATAATATCTGAAGTGAATCATTTATGTAAAGACAAAAATATGTATTGCACAGAAAATGGTAACCCTTTTTGCCTAACCCAGAAGGATAAAGAAATCATCCCTGAAAACCTAGATGACCCAAGTGATTTTCAAACACCTGCCCTTTCTACCAAAGTTGATAGAAATCTGTCTAATTATGAGACTCAGAATATTTTGGAGGTGAAAAAGCATGCCAATGATATGCAAACTGCTTGTCAAAATGAATCAAAAATAGACAAGCTTAGGAAAAAGGTATGTCGGAAGACAGAAATAATTTCAGAAAACCTAGTCCATGAGAATGATAACAAAGATACGCATGACCCAGAAAAGGGTAACCTATTTTCTCTAGCCCAAAAAGATAAAATCATTCCTGAAAACCTGGAGGACTCAAATGATTTTCAGATAGTTAATGCTTCTCCCACAGGTAATCAGAACCTCTGTTATGAGACTGGAAACCTTTACTGGGAGAAAAAGCAGGCTACTAAGATGCCACCTGCAAAGCCAAATGGATCCAAAATAAATAAGAGGCTTAAAGATAAAGGAAGTAGGAAGACGGAAATAATTTCAGAAACGAACCAAATAAGTGAGTTTAATAAAGGTGTGCATGACCCAGAAAATGGTAACTTCTTTTCTCCAATCCAAAAGGATAAAGAAACTATTTCTGTAAACCCAGAAGTCACAAATGAATTTCAAACAGCGTATCTTTCTACCAAAGATAATGGAAATTTATATGACTATGACACCCTAAATATGTTGGATTTGAAAAGGTATGTAACTGATATACAACCTGCTCAACAGAATGTTTCAAAAATAAATAGGCAGAAAGTGAATCGGAAGACGGAAATCATTTCAGAAGTGCACCAGATATATATGGATAATGATAAAGATGTGCATGGCCAAAAAAGCTATACAAAAGACTTCAATCTTAAAGTAAGTGAATCTAAACAGAGACTTGAATGCCAAAGCATTATCAGTGGATATTGTATGGAAATCAATAGTAATGAAAAGGAAAATTGTGAGCAAATCTCCATTCCTTACAAACAAGGTAAAAATCACGGGAAAGAATCATCAGGCAAGACAAAAAACATTTTGGCAAAAAGTAAAAACAAATCTATTTTTCAGTTAACAGATTCTTCACAGACATCTCTCTCCTTAGAATCAGATTTAAAACATGTCGATAATGAAGCAGATTCTGATTCTGGTAACCAAATGGGACCACATAAGAATCCAAAGCAAAGCACAACTTTTAATAAAAAAAGTGATATCCCCTTTGCAGAAGTGATAAAAGGAGAGTGCCAGGTTAAAAGACGAAGTAAAATGACATCCAAATCAAAGAAAAGGAAGACCTTAATAGATCCTTCTCCAGAGAGCCATGAAGCAATGCACACAATATCTGACATCAGTCACGGACTGCCAGTTGGGTCTGAACAAGTAGATGAACAAAATTTGGAAAATGAGAAAACTAAGCCAGACTTTTATACAAAGATATTTAATTCCTTATCTCAGATCTATTCACCTAACGTACAAAATCCTTCCCATAACAGTGTTCATGAGGGTTCGAGACCTTTGCATATTTCTTCCAGTAAAATTTTGATTAAAGAAAATGTCCTGGAGAGCTCACCAGTCTCGGCAGTGAGTGCTGATCTGCAGGAGGATATGACAGGGACGGCAATTCAGGGCCCCCGGAGAACACACAAATCAGGAGCAGGTAGGTTAGTGCTGAAATGACCAGGTTTTAAAATGTATTTTTCCCCCACTTCACTGGTAAAGTGTTTTTATGGAATTTAGAAATTTGCCTTCTCCAAGAATTTAAAGAAAACTTAATACTTTGAAAAGATTCTGGTGAGAATGTCTTGGACATTTATGACTTGAAAAACAGATTGGGCTTTCCCAGAGAGTTGTCTGGTAATACCAGTAGGCAGATAATTTCCTGTTTTCATACGTTTGACGGAAATTGTGTGTTTTGCATATATATTATAAGGAATTGTGCTGGAATTGCAATTTGGTTTAGGATGGGATTTTGATAACAGTATATATTTAATGTGATTAAAACACTTTATGTATTTTAGAGAAATAAAAATAAATAGTACCAACTCCCTTTCCTCAGAATACACATATGTAAAAGTTACAAATGCAGTAGTAAATGCTTTACTAGAAGCACACAGATGCTAAGGGTTATAATGGGGAGTACTTTTGACTAAAGGAATTGGCAAAGGCATGAAATAGGTAGCATTTGAGGCCCTAAAGGATAGGTAGGATTTTTACCTTAAGGTTTACTTTTAGTTTTCTCCCAGTTATTAAAGTAACAGTTACTGCAGAAAATTGAAAGTAGAGAATCAGAAAATAGTAGGAAAAACAATCACCCAGAACTGCAGTCAACATTCTGGCATATGCATGCAGACTTGAATCTATGGTTTTTATTTTGTTTTTGTTTTTCTTAAAATCATACTCTATAAAACATTACTTACCTCACATTTCTCCCTTAACATTTAATTCTATGGATGTTCCTTTATTAGGATTTTATAACATTAGACATTCTCATATCAATTAAAATTTTCTAGTGGGAGCCTAACATTTTACTTCATGTGTGTGGAGCCAGGGATTTTTTTCAGTTTTACTAAGAAATAATTGACATACATCACTGTATAAGTTTAAAGTGTAGAGCACGATGGTTTGATTTATACATACTGTGAAATAATTACCACAGATTCAACTAACATCCATCTTCTCATAGAGATACATTGAAAAGAAAGAAGAGAAAAAGAATTTTTCTCCGTGTTATGAGAACTCAAGGGTTTACTCACTTAACAACTTTCTTACATATCATACAGCAGTGTTAACTATATCATATTGTACGTTACATCCTTAGTACTAACTTATCTAATAACTAGAAGTTTGACCATCTACTGCTCATTTCTCATCCTCCCTACCTCTCTGCTGGCTCCTAACCACAAGACTGACCTCTTCCTATGAGTCTGGGTTTTGTTTTTAAGATTCTACATAAGTGAGATCATACAATGTTTGTTTTTCTCTGTTTGACTTATTCCACTTAGCATTATGTCTTTAAGGCCAATCTGTGTGTCACAAATGGTAGGATTTTCTATTTTTTAATCTGGCTGAATAATATTCCATTTTATTTATGGACCACAATTCTATCCATTCATCTATCCATGGACACTGAGGTTGTTTCCATGGCTATTGTAAATAATGCTGTTAGGAGGGTGAGGATGCAGGATTTGATGGATGAGGCTATTCCAGGTAAAAGGAACTCTGAAGCATAGGTACAAATTACAGGACATACATGTCAGAGGTGTGAGCCATCTTTCATCTCTCTTCTCCATGGTGCCTTTCACGGAGCAGCCAAGGAAAGACAAATGTGAATGAATGTAGTAATTTGTGTGATGCTGTGAACTGAGTTGAACCATGAAGAATTTTTCTCAGCCTATAAGTGATTTCTGAATTAAAACTGATTTATGAATAATTGTGGTGCTACTATTATAATTAAAATTACAACTTGATTATTGTTAAGTTAAAAAAAATTGCTATCAGTGATTTTTTTGCAAACCACTAAGTGGTCCATCTGCATTTTCATATTCCTAAATATTTATAAATATTTGTGAAAATAATATTCTTTTCAGGTGCTAGAACACTACAGGACTTGACAAATACCAATTTTGTTTCAAATAACACTGCGACCTCTGAAAACAAATCAGAAGATCTTATTTCAGAGCTGCCAAAACGAAGAAGGTGCACTCCTCTCAATCTGAAAGAGCCAAGTCTCAGAGAGTAAGTGTTTCAGTGAAGTTAAAGCGATTTCAGTGTGATACTGTTATCCTCTTTCCAACATCCCTTCCTGAATTAGTGTTTGAACACTTCTGAATATCAGAAAAGTATATATTATTGACATGTAGCAATCACAGTATAATCTGAGTAAGATTTGGAGAAATGTCTTTTATTCTTTGAACAGTTTTTATAAAATGTTGCGTATAATTTACAAACTACTATTTACATATTTGTTATTCCCCTTAATTTATTTTCTACCTTCTTCCCTAAAAGTGGTTTTCAAAGTGATTTATGCGTCCTTTGGCCTCAAAAAATAATACTTTTTTTTTAAACTTCAAACATATTTCAGTGAAGAGAAATAGTACTTCCCCCATTTACCCATCCCTGAGATTCACCAGTTATTAATACTTTCCCATATTTACTTCATCTGTCTTTTTTTGTTACTGTATTTTTCAAGCAAATAAAGATATATACATTTCTGTGTATATCTCTAAAAAGTAAGAACTTCTTGAAGTTTTTGACAAAACTAGACAAAAATGATCACATCTAAAAAAATTATCAATAATTCCTGTTATCTAAGAGCCAATTTTTATTCAAATTTTCTTGATTACCTCAAAAAGGTTCAAATGCCTTTAATATGTGTTTTATTCAGAATTTCATTTTTAAAAAAGTTTAATGAAGTAGCCTGTTTTATAGAACTTGATGATATTTAGGATATATCCTTAATTTTTCTTTTCACTGTTTTATTTTTATGTATTTGTTCTTATTTATTTCAGAGAGAAAGGGAGAGGGAGAGAGTGATAGAAACATCCACAATGAGAGAGAATCATTGATTGGCTGCCTCCCCACACTGGGGATCAAACCTACAACTTGGGCCTGTGCCCTGACTGGGAATTGAACCCTGACCTCCTGGTTCATAGGTTGATGCTCAACCACTGAGCCATTCGGCCAGGCTCTTTACACTCTTAGTGCTTGCTTCTTTTATGAAATAAAACACATGGTGGCTTTGACAGGTATTTTAAAACAGTAACCAGCACGTGGTCAGTAGAACATCCCCATGGCAGTTCTTTTGAAAAAATTAATTAGGTTCTATCTAATTACCCAAAATACGGGTATCTTATTGGCTCTGAAGAGGAGAACAGAGAAGGGAAAGAAACCTTCTACCCATTAAACCCTTCTAATTTGGGACCATGTGTTACATATTTAATCAAAAAACATATAAATAAATATAACTCCATTTCTTACAACATTATATACTAGGTTAATAGATCAACCCTCTAAAGTAGAATTACTGAACAAAATATTAAAACAAAACAGACAAAACAAAATACTCCTTGAATGTATCTATTAGATAAAGAAGTGAGAAAGCTCGGATTAGAGACAAGCCAGAAATGTAAGTGGAGCCAGAAAATGGCTTTTGCCTGAAGGCGTTTTGCCTAAGCATTGGATTCAGAGCCTTATGGGGCTGGTGACAGAAGGCAGATTCTAGGATTTAGCTAAAATTAAGAGTCTAACAGTGGATCTCCCTTAGTAAAGTTGAGCTACTTTCAAATAAAAGAACAAACTAAAAATAACCTTCCCACCAGCTTTTTTTAAGCTCCAGGAAATAACTCTGGTACTGAACTGATGAGCAAAAACTGTTCTAAGAATTCGTAACCAAAAGCAAACCCTCATGTATAGCAGCTGTAATTCACAATTTCTGGAAGTCACACAAAACCATCAAGCTGAGGATTTAGTATCAGCCACTGGCTTGTAGTGCCCCCTGTTGTCTGTTAGAAGCAAATGCAAACATTTTTTAGAGGAGCCTTCCTTCATCTCAGTCCACAGGACATTTTCCACAGATAAAGCTGCTAGGGAAATGAAGCAGCAGTTCACAGCATAGAACACTGCACTCACAAGGGAACAAGAGACTAGCAAAAGCAACTGGTAGCGGAATCAGAAAGAGAATATACAATAAGAATGTTTAATGCTCAATAAAAGAGATGCTTGAAAATAAGTCAACGTATTTAGTGATAAAAGTTATAGAAAAGCACCTACAGAATGGCATAAAGATCACACATAGATTAAAGCCAAACAATATACATTTTAGGAGTGTAATAGTGTAAAGAAAAGCAAGGGAGTGACTAACACAATGTAGGATAGCAGTGACTAGGGGATTAGTGGGCTGTGGTCAGAAAGCGACACGCTGAAGGAGTCGGTGTGGTAATATTTAGCAGGTGGTACGTTCATCAGCATGTATTTAATTGTTTTAAAGTCATACTTTTTCATATATGCTCAAGTTTGTTAAAAGGAACTTATGGTAAGACATGTAATGTATAAAATCTGTTAATTAATATTTCTTACATTTTATTTATAATTCTCTCACAGAGAGTTTCAGATATATGTTAATTCCTCACATGCCACTAGTATGATATAGCAATTTTCTCCATGCTTCACAACAAAAGCATTTGTTTTGTGTTGTTATTAATTTTCTTTTCTTTTTTTTCTTTGCAGCAAAATGAGAAGATAAGGTGAATTTATGAATTCTGGTTTTTCTAAATTCTGAAACCTTGATGAGTCAAAACAGGGATATAATTAGAAGAGGAAATGCATGGAGTTTTTTTTTCTTTTCATTTTCTGCCTTTTCATGGAGTATTGATTTATCCATTTTATGTTTATATATGAGCATAATATAGCTATTTTGTAATATTACATTGTACTATAAAATTTAAAATCTTTTTTGTTATTCTATAACTTATACTCCTGCTCATACAACTTTTTCAATGTAATAGATTTAACTAAACAATAGTTGTTAACCTTTTAACCAATAAAATGTATAATAAATACTTTTGCAGTGGTTATCTTGAATATCAAGCTAACTTGTTTAGTTTTGTTTTCAAATTATTTAATATATGTAAACACATTTAAGATTGTAAAAGTCTCCTGCGCTGGCCAGTTTTCTCACCCTTCATTCTTTCATACTTTCAGAATAGTTGGTCTGTAATTACTTAAGTGTCAGGTTCTGTATTACTTCTGTTTTGTGTAACCTGATAACTTGGCTGAGGGGTTAGGTTAACCTTTCAGGCTCTCTTGAATTTGGTTTTTATAACTGTATTTTTAAAGATCACTTACCAGTGTAGTAAGAGAAAGAATTCTTACTCATTTGAGACCAATGAACATAGCTTATTGTATATTCAAATCACTAGTCCAATTCTAGTCTGCCTAGATGGGAAAGCAGAGTATCTAACAACTGACAGGGTAGACCCAGAAGTCTGTATTTTTAACAAATGTTTTAGATAACTCGGGGGCAGATGTCCTAGTATCAAACTGAGAAAAACTGCTGTAGGAGTGCAGAGTCCCACAGAACGTACTCATTATGTCAATAGTGTGGGTTGAATGGGGACCAGAGGCTTTTTTTTAAGGAACCGTTGGCACAGTGGTTAAGAGCTGGTACCCTGGCAATCTTTGTTCCCTTTCCTGTACTCCTATTACTCATTACTCAGTCTTTGGACCTCACAGTCATTCTCGGGGATTATATTTTTGTGCCTATTTCTTTTTTTTAAGAAAATTATTGTTGTTTAAAGTATTACATATGTCTCCTTTTTTTCTCATTGACCTCTCCCCAGCCATTCCCACCCCACCAGCATACGGCCTTCCCCTCCCCAACACCACCACCACTGTCTGTCCATGGGTTATGCTCATATGCATGCATACAAGTCCTTTGGTTGATCTCTCACCCCCTGCCTTCCCTCATAGGTTGGACAGTCTATATGATGCTTCTATGTCTCTAGTTCTATTTTTGTTTATCAGTTTATGTTATTGATTATATTCTACAAATGAGTGAGATCATGTGATATTTATCTTTTTCTGACTCTTATTTCACTTAGCATATGCTCTCCATATCCATCTATGCTGTTGCAAATGGTAAGAGTTCTTTCTTTGTGACAGCAGCGTAGTATTCCATTGTGTAGATGTGCCACCATTTTCTAATCTACTCATCTGCTGATGGGCACTTAGGCTGTTTCCAAATCTTAGCTATGGTGAAGTGTGCTGCTATGAACATAGGGGTGCATATATCCTTTCTCATTTCTTGGGATATATTCCTAGAAGTGGGGTCACCAGGTCAAATGGGAGCTTCATTTTTAAGGTTTTTGAGGAAACTCCGTATTGTTTTCACAGTTGGCTGCACAGTCCGCATTCCCACCAGCAGGGCATGAGGGTTCCTTTTTCTCTACATCTTTGCCAGCACTTGTCCTTTGTTTATGATAGCCATTCTGACAGGTGTGAGATGGTACTTCATTGTCTTCTTGGATTTGTGCCTCTCGGATGATTAGTGAGTTGGAGCATTTTTTCTATGTCTCTTGGCCTTATGTATGTCATCTTTCAAAAAGTTTCTATTAGGTCCTTTACCCATTTTTTTTATTATTGGATTGTTTATCTTCCTTTTGTTAAGATATTGTGGACCAGTACTTTTATTGCTAGCTTTACCCAGTGATCAAATAAGTTTCTATTGAACGAGTACAAAAAAACATTTTACATAAATGTAAAGGCATGCTTTAAAATTAAATACCCATTGCATTTTGAAGTTATTTATTGCATGTTCTTACAAGTTAATATCTTTTTAAAGTATGATACTTTGTAAAACACTGTGTAATATGAAGCAAGAATTTTTGTGAAACATCTGCAATGTGTTAAGATATATGAATCACCTATAAATTTTGGAGATTAAACCCTTATCAGATATAACATTGGCAAATATGTTCTCCCATACAGCTGTGGGCTCTCTTGTTTTGTTGATGGTTTCTTTTGCTGTGCAGAAGCTTTTTATTTTGATGTAGTCCTATTTGTTTATTTTCTCCTTAGTTTCCGTTGTCCTATAAGCTGTATCAGTAAATTTATTGCTATGACATATGTATCTCTGATACTGTGCTGCCTATGGAGTCTTCTAAGATTTTTATGGTTTCCCGTCTTATGTTTAAGTCCTTTATCCATTTTGAGTTTATTTTTGTGTATGGTATAAGTTGTTGGTCTAGTTTCTTTTTTGTTTCTTTTTTCTTTTTTTATGTCTCTGTCCAGTTTTCCCAACACTATTTATTGAAGAGACTGTCTTGACTCCATTGTATGTTCTTTCCTCCTTTGTCAAATATTAATTGAGCATAATGGCTCGGGTCGATTTCTGGGTTCTCTGTTCTGTTCCATTGGTCTGTATTTCTGTTCTTGTGCCAGTAGCAGGCAGTTTTGAGAACAGTGGCTTTGTAGTATAGCTTGATATTTGGTATTGAGATCCCTCCTACTTTGTTCTTCTTTCTCAGGATTGTTGCCTATGCAAGGTCTTTTTTTATCCCATATGAATTTTTGGAGAGTTTGTTCTAAGTCTATGAAATATACCATTGGTATTTTAATGGGAATTGCATTGAATCTATAAATTGCTTTGAGGAGAATGGACATTTTAATGATGTTGATTCTACCAATCCATGAACATGGTATATTCCATTTGTTTATGTCTTCCTCTGTCTCTTTTTTCAACATCCTGTAGTTTTCTGAGTACATGTCATTTACCTCCTTAGTTAAGTATATTCTCTAGGTATCTTAATTTTTTTGTTGCAGTGGTAAATGGGATTATTCTTTTAGTTTCTGTGAGTTCATTATTGGTTTCTAAAAAGGCCACAGATTTCTGGGTGTAAATTTTGTATCCTGCAACATTGTCAAATTCATTAAGTCTAGTATTTTTTTTATGGATTCTTTAGGGTTTTAATGTGCAATATCATCCTAGTCCTCATTTTTATTTTTCTCTTTCTGTGAGTTTGTCTTCTTTTCTTTTCCTATGCAAATTATTTTCCATCTTATGTAGTCAGATTTATCAACCTTTATTTTGTTGTTGGTGGAATTTGGTCACAGTAAGGAACAATTTTCTTGTTCCCGGAATATAAACACGTTTCCCTATGGGTTTCATTTTGTTTCTACATTTACATTCCCGATTCACATGTATTTTGTTGTATGGCATGAAGTATAATGGTATGGTCTGCAGTATAAATGCAGTTTTTATCTTTTTCCAGTTGACTTCCCATTAATTAAAAAGTCCATGTTCTCCACTACTGATTTGAAATGCCACCTTTTTAAATGTTGTATTCCCATGTGCACTTAAATTTATTTCTCAGTTTTCTCTCTGGACTGTCTTTCTGTGCTCCACTACCATCTCTTTAGATTATAAGACTTTAGGGGAATTTCAAAGTTTCCCTCATAGAGGTTTTATACATTTGAAGGTAGATTTATGCCTAGGTATTTTACCTTTTTTCTTGCTAATATATATGGGACCTTATCTTTGATTCTCTCTTCTAATTGATTATTGGTTTCACATATGAAAACTGTTTATTTCTGTATATTAATTATTATGTATAGTCTGTAGTATTCTCCAGACATGTCTCCTGAAACCCAAGTTAGCTTTTCCTCTTCTTTCCCCTTAATTTTTATGCTGTCTGCTCTTTGCATAATCTTGTCTGACTGGGTAGCTGTTTTCTTGAGTAAATATTAAATAGTAGAAATAGTGGTTTTCATGTCTGTTGTTCCTGATTTTCAGAGGAATGCCTCTGGCTTTACCCCAATGAATAAAATGCCAGATTTTGAGCTGATGTATATTTACAATCACATTGATGTATTTATCATTGTTACTTTATTGAGTACTTTTTAAAAAATCATGAATAATTGTTGAATTTTGTCAAATGACTTTTGGCTCTGATGGAGCTTCTACTATTATATTTGGGGTCCATCCAAGGGAAGAAACCACACTCGTTTTATAAATGGTTAACCAAATACTAGAGAACTGACAAGAACTGAAGAGGCAGAAGGGTCCAGTATAATATTGAGGAACAAGAGAAACGGAAAGGCTTGGAGGCAGAGTTCCAGGACTTGGGAAGGTGTGCCCGTGGCCGGTGCTGTCTCCCTGAAGGGGGATAGCAGGTCTGGGGAGAATGTGAGAAAGCTGCTGCTGAGGCAGTTATTCCTCCAGCAATGCGGCAGGAACAGGGAGCCACGGAGGTTGGAAGTTTCCCCCTCCTCCAGCTTCCAGAGTGCAGTTCGTAACACTAGCCTGGAAAATACCCAGTTTTGCTTGATTTGAATTTTTAAGAGGTGCTATAGCACAGATTTCAAAAACGTAGAGATAGACCCACAAAGTTAACCGGTAAACTCTTAAGTTGTAGGCAGGCCTATCGGTGATTTTTATTTTTATGCTTTTCAGCACTTGGCACGTTTTTTAAAAAACGTTTTCCAAGATGTTTGGCACCTCTTGATATTTACTAGATGAACTTTGTGGTTATTTAGTAACTAGATAAACCATGAATAGTGATAACACTTTTTTAAAAAAAAGTTTGTCTTCATATTAAGGTCGCCCTTGATTTTGAAAATAAACTTGGATACTGATTTAGAAAACGGAGATCAAGTTGCAAAACCATTGGTTGTCCTTCAGTAAGGGCTGGAACAATGTGATTGTTGATTAACAGGAGGGTACAGGCTGCCTGGCAGGTGGGAGGGGAAGCCAGAGAAAACCTGCTGCTCCCCGGGGCCGCTGGGACTGTCCTGCAGGAAGAAGCAGGAGGGGCGAGGAGGGACCAGCTCCGCCCATCAGTTTGGCCTGGACGTTTGTCTGGAAGGCGCTCACACAACTTCTGGATCTGAGTCAGGACTTTGTGCATCCGTCTTGGCCGGACTTCCCGCTGCAGCTGTCCCGGCTCACTCTCCGGGTCGGCGTCTCAGGGTCCCAGGGGCCAGCGACCCCCCCCTCCCCCTTTGGAGCCCCAGACCCGAGCCTGCGCCATGGACGGGGCAGGCGAGCTGCTCTTCTACGTGAACGGCCGCAAGGTGAGCGCGGACCCTGGGACCCGCAGGGAGGGCTCTGCGGGCACCCCGGCTCAGGGCACGCATCCTGCCCGCAGGAGCCCTGGCATGGCCCAGCCTGCGGTCTGCCGGCGGGTTTGCCCCAGGGGCAGGGAAAGCACAGGTTCTGACCACCCCACTTCCCCCCATAAACAAGGAGAGAAGTCGCTATTCTTACTCATCAAGGCCAGCACCCCCAGCTCTTCCCTCCCTCAACCCCCTGGAAAAATGTCTTTCAATGGATGGGAAACACCTCTCAGGGCTGAGCCTAGCTGGGGAGTTGGGGGGAGAGGGAGAGAAGGTGCATGAGCAGGGAGCAATTTAGAGTTGGGACGGGGCCAGGGAGTTGAACTAGTTCAGCCCCTCCCGTCATTCCTCAGATAAGGAAATTCTAAGTCACAAACGATTCCTGGCAGAGCTGAGACCCTGCTAGGGGCTGGTCTTCAGGGGGTTCACAGCTGGTGTGGCATCTGTCCCCGGTGGCATTGGCCAGCCAGGGGCACACCTTCCCTAGTCCTGGAACTCTGCCTCTGAGCCTTTCCGTTTCCATCCCATCCGCTTCTCTTGTTCCTCCATATCCTACTGGTCCCTCTGCCTCTTCAGTTCTTAGTTCTTTAGTATTTGGTTAACAATTTATAAAACGATTGTGGTTTCTTCCCTTGGATGGACCCCAACTAATACAATCTCCATCAGGGCCAAGAGTCACTTGACAAAATTCAGCAATTCATGATTTTTTTTTTTTAAAGTACTCAACAAAGTAACAACGATAAAGACTTCAATGTGATTGTAAATATACATCAGCTCATCTGGCATCTGTGGCGTTTGAAACTAGCTGGCCATGGGTTTGAATGTGCAGAACCCCGGGCCCGTTCCAGGCAGTGTCGAGGCCCCAGGGCACCCTTTAAGACATTTTCCCCTGAACTCCAGCACACAAGCCATAGCCCGTCACTCTTACTGTTATCCCAGTGTATTGGCCTCATTTTGCAAGGGGGAAACTGAGGCAGGAAGGTAAGGGGCTTCCTGAAGAGCTGACCACCAAGCCGTGCTACTTGCATTCCCACATGGGACTCCCCAGGAAGCAGAGGGAGGTCTGGCACCAGGGCCCTGCGCCTCCGGGGTTCTGTGTTACTCTCCTTAAAGGGAACTGCTCCCCACATGCAGATGGCACAGGTTGTAGCTCACATAGAGTCTCTGGCCCTGCTGTCTGCTTCCCACTGGGTGAGAGGAGCTTGTTGTTCCCCATCTGCAGAGTAACACATGACTATGGGAGCAAGTGTTATGTCACTTTCTTCTTTGGCATAACTGAATGGTATATTCAACAAATAAGGGTTCGCCCTGGCTGGTTTGGCTCAGTGAATAGAGCATCGGCCTTCAGATGGAAGGGTCCCCCCGCCCCCCCGGGTTTGATTCTGGTCAAGGGCACACGCCTGGATTGCTGGCTTGATCCCCAGTAAGAGGCGTGCAGGAGGCAGCTAATGATTCTCTCTCATCATTGGTGTTTCTATCTCTCTCTCTCTCTCTCTCTCTCTCTCGCTCCCTTCCTCTCTGACATCAATAAAAAATATATTTAAAAACAAAAACAAACTTGCCCTTGAAAGGAAGCTTAGAAGCCAATGAGCAGACTCAGTGGTGTAATTGGCCTGTGGCCTGTGGTTTTTGAGAAATCCTTCCAGGATTCCAAAAGGTGTGGCTGAGCAGGGGCTGAGACCATGGACCACTGGTCAGAGACTTGGTTGCAGAGAGATGTCTGGAGACCGCCTTGCTCTACCAGGGGCCCCCAGAACAGGCATCCCAGTTAACATGGAGTTCAAGGGGCAAGAGCCCCCGAGTGGATCACACCCCGGATGCCAGTCTCTAACACAACTCTGGAACCAAAGCACGGCCCTCTGTGTGGCAGTGAGGGGTAGCCATCACAGGTGTGGGCTTTGAAACCAGCTGGCCATGGGTTTGAATTCTGCCCTCTCTGCTCTGCCACTCAGTGGCTCGGGAGCCTCAAAAAGCTGTTAAATATCTCTGAGCCTCCATTTTCCTCTCTCCAAAACGAACCTAATAGCAATACAGTCTTCCTTGGAATTGGAATGAAGATTAAATTCCACGGAGAGTGGTTAGCAAGGTACTTGGCACAGAGTAAGCATTCCATAATGATTTCTAAGACCTGGACAGGAAAATCGTTTGTTTCACGCATAGAGCTAGAACCTGCCCAGAAGTATCGATACCAAGGTCGCTGAAAGGGAGTCGAGCATGATTTGCTCAACAAAATGTACTTGGGCTTGATGTGAAGATAAGAATTTGGACAGAGCTGTCCTGGGGTTTCGGTTGACAAGGCTGAGAGAGGACATTTTGGGGCTGCTGGGATGGCTGTGATAATTCAAAGAAAATCGGAGAGGCTGGAGGGGGCTATGGCAGGAAGAACCACAAAGTAAAATGAACTTTAGAGCAACCTGATGCTCAGGCACAAGTGTCCTCCCTGGCTGTCCTCTCGAACCCCTGCCCTCATGCTGCTGTGGGTTATTGTTCTCCGCAGTGTCCCTCAATACATACCTCGTTCTCCCTCTTCTACCTGTCCACCTGGTCCTCTCACAGGTGCCCCTCTCCCTTTCGTATTTCACTCTTTCACCTCCTTCCTCTCTCCCCCTGATCTCCCTTCTCTTTCTTCTTTCTGCCTCTGTCTTGGACCTGGCAAGGGCCCTCAGCCCGGCCCAGAGGAACGTGGTTTCTCGTGTTTGTGCAACGTGAACTTGAAATCTCCCAGAGGGCTGGTGGAAAAAAATGAGGGATACGATACACTCTGTTCTTGCAACACCCAAGGCTGTCCTGAGATGGGAATATGCAATGACCCTGACCCCGTCAGCGAGGACAACTGAGCCTCATTCCCTCCCCTAGCCAGTATCTTGGTCCTGACCTTCCTGTTTCACTCCAAGACTCACCAGGACAGGGTGTTCGCTGCATCCTTCCTCCCACTCCCTCCTCCAAACATGCCATGTACCAACTCAAGGAAAAGAAACCTGTTGAAAGCCAGCAGTCTCGGAGCCAAACTCTAATCTCTTGAAACATCCGGAACAAACAAGGCCTGCTGCTTCCATTAACTCCTTCCAAAAACCACAATGTGCCTCCAGCCTCAAATACCATTCTTTGCTCTCTGGGTTCCCCACAGCCTGTCTCTCCATTAAAACTGGGCCTCTTCATTATAAACTGATGAACAAAAAATAGACACAGAGACAGTAAAGCATCAAACAGACCGTCCAATTACAGCGGGAGGGTTAGGGAGAGGTGGGGGAGATAAGAGGTCAACCGAAGGACTTGTATGCATGCATATAAACATAACCAATGGAAGCAAAACAGTGGGGGGTGAGGGCATGTATGGGAGGGGAGGAGGGCTATGGTAAGATATGTACACATATAATACCTTAATTTAAAAAATGGGGGGAAAAGACCTCTGGGTAATTCTGATGCTAAAAAAAAATTAAAATATTAAAAATAAAATTGGGATTCTGTGGATTTGCCATCCTATCTCTTCTTGTATTCCAGGTTTGGTGTTTTTTTTTTTTTTGTTTTGTTTTGTTTTAAATATGCTTTTATTGACTTAAGAGAGGAAGGGAGAGGAAGAGAGAGATAGAAACATCAGTGATGAGAAAGAATCATTGATCAGCTGCCTCCTGCATATGCCACACTGGGGATCAAGCCTGAAACCCAGGCATGTGCCCTGACTGGAAATCGAACTGTGACCTCCTGGATTATAGGCTGATGCTCAACCACTGAGCCATGCCAGCCAGGCATATCCAGGTTCTCTTGAATGTAAATTCACTCAATAGCTACTCAGACCTGCTTCCCAGGGTGTCCTTGCTTCCCCTTGTATTACTTGGCACACACATTTTACCTCCTTTGTTTTTGTTGTATTTTGGGGCAATTGTTGGTTGTGATCTTCTTTTGGAAACTTGTTCTTTGAACATGATAAGCAAATGAGTCTTAAAAAAAACTATAGCAATTTCTCAGAAGCTATTCTATTCCAGCCCAGCGTATCTCTCTCTCTCTCTCTCTCTCTCTCTCTCTCTCTCTCTCTCTCTCTCCCTCTCTCTCTCTCTCCCTCCCTCCCTCTCTCGTCTATCTCTCCATCTAGCCCTCCCTCTCCATTTTTTATAATAATATATTATCCTTTTTTAGACTTTCTAGCAAAAGCTGGTCAGGAGTCACTAGTGTTCCTGCTAATACCGTGTTTCCCCGAAAATAAGATATCCTCTGAAAATAAAACCTACTTACAGGTTTCCTTCTGAGTGAAATATAAGGCATCCCCCTGAAAATAAGGCCCACCTAGGCTAAACATGAGAGATTTGGTCCACTGATTCTGAAAGAAATGGAGTCACAAGAAATTCACCAGGAAATTCAGGAATTGGATTGTTATGATGATGTTCCAGAATATGATGACATGATTGTCATTGAATAAATGAGTAAATTCTTGATACTGTAGGATTCACAGTTTGTCTGGTTTGTGTTGACAACTACCGTACTACCGTACCGTATACAGGTAATAAATTTCCTTTATTTTCATTTAACAATAAATGTGTACCGTATTCTTCTTCATGGAAAAATAAGACATCCCCTGAAAATAAGACCTAGCGCATCTTTGGGAGCAAAATTTAATATAAGACACTGTCTTATTTTCGGGGTAACAGGGTAGAACCAACCACTGCCTTGGAGAACAGTGTACAGGATGATTCAGGACCAAGGACAGTAGCAAAGTGGTGATGAGGCCCAAGATTCGGCCTTTACTAGTACACTTAAGAGAGTTATTTCCGTCAAATTATCATATGCCTGCTATAAAATGACACAAGGTCTCTCAAATATGTGTGCCTAACTCTTATTTTCCTTCCGGTGCAGGTGATAGAAAAAAATGTTGATCCTGAAACAATGCTGTTACCATTTCTGAGAAAGAAGCGTATCCTTTCCTTTGCTTTGTGCTTGAGTGTGTTTAGAGGTGGGGTAGGAGGGGGCGGGAGGGTTCTGAAAGCCTCATTAGGTGATATTTCAAATACCTTTTATAAAAAATATTTTTATTGACTTCAGAGAAGAAGACAGAGGGAGACAGAAACATCAATGAGAAGCATTGATTGGCCACCTCCTGCATGCCCCCTTCTGGGGACTGAGCCTGCAACCTGGGCATGTTTAACCACTGAGCCATGCTGGCTGGGCTCAAATATTTTTTTAAAGTCAGACTGAGTCATATATTCTCTACTATTGTGTTTTTATGTTCTTAGAGAAAGTCTTACATTGTAGTTTTGTAGGCAGTGCACGGTTGAGACGGTCAGAAGAACCAGCTTCTTTCCAATTTCTGTCTTGGCACTTAATATATTGTATAGATGGAGAAGCTAGTGGTGGGAATGAAAACAATGGATGTTGAAAGGCTTAATTAAGCATCCTTTGGAATCAAGAGTCACAATATTGACATTCTGTCTTTGAGGACTAATCATCATGCCCATCAGAAAAAGAGCACAGAAATCTCCTGAAACTAAAGTAAAAGAACAATGGAGAAATTATGCCTGAGAATGGTACCTTAGAAAAACTTTCTAAATTAATTATCCAAGGAATGGATTCTCAGCCTGGCAGGCATGAACTCCAGTGGGCTCCCAGAGTTCTGTAGACCTCATTAAATTATATACAAAATCGTGTGACAATGGAAGTTGGTATATTTCTTTATTTCCCCAAAGTGTACGCAACTCAAAAAGCATCAGTAACTATCTTCTGGAAGTCATTTAATATCTTTGGATGTAAAAACAATGAACACTGACTTACTGGTTATGCATGACGTTAATGTGTAATAGTTCATATTCAGTTCATTTGTGAGAATTAAGAATGACAGAAAATCCCCAATAGCAATAAACAAGATAGAAAAATAGAGGTTTATTCCTTTCTCATTGTATTAGTTCAGGTCCTCTAGGAAGCAGAGACTGAAAAAATGGGATTAAATGTGCAAGAGTCTTATTGAATGAAATGCCAGAGTGAAAGGAAATAGGGAGGGAGCCAGTGACTACTGGAGGGATAGATTTCAGAGTGCAGCAGCCGGGTCTCTTGGTCCGAACCCTCCCTGTTGAAGTAGGGGCGTGAGGCACATTCTCATGGCTACCACACTCCCATAGAGGGGTCCCACATGTAGGTAGGTCAGGGCTAGTAAAGCAGTGTCATGACGTAGTCAGGGAACCAAGCTCCTTATATCTTGCTGCTCCCCCTCGCCCACCTCAGCATGCAGTTTTCTCCTCCTGGTCAGAGATGAAGGTTGTGGTCCAGCCATCATATCTGAATTCCAGAAAATGGGAAGAAGCAAGGGATGAGGAAACAGGTACCCTTCTCTTTTTGAGGATGTTTCCCTCCCAGAAGTCATACACACTTATGCTTACATCCCACTGGCCAATATTATTGATAACTCCATCTAGCTGCAGAGAAGGCTTGCAAAATATATATACATATATATTTTTTTAATCCTGGGAAACCATGTGTGTAGCTAAGAATTGAGTATTTTATAACCGGGGAAGAAAGATATTGGGGAACAACCAGTATCTGCTACCAAGAAGCAAAGAAATATGGCCAACATGGATGTGATAGAAATATTCCAAGAATTACTTACACGTTGACATTTTACTTTGTATGTCATCAAAGACACAGGTAAGGTGGAGAACAAATGTACAATGTACTCATACTTTCAAATATTTAAGCCCTTGGTGTATAGATTCTTCCTTTTCTTAGTTTGGCCCAATTTTCAGCAACCTGAGGCCCGGTTGTTTTGAAAGGGAGGAGACTAGATATAACACACAAATGAAAATTAAATTTAAATTTATCATTTTAAATAATAGCATCCACACATCCATCATTTTGTAATTATGTACTAACTTAACTATATATTTAAGTCTTTGATAGTGTTGTCTCCTAATACAAGTGCTATTCTGGACAGAGAATTATGAAAAATACATTATCCTTAACTGTGCTTTTCCCAGTTCGACTCACAGGAACTAAGTATGGCTGTGGAGGGGGAGGCTGTGGTGCCTGCACAGTGATGATATCACGATATAACCCCGTTACCAAGAAGATAAGGTACCTGGCAGCCAAGTGCAGATATGGTTGATTTTTTTGTAGTTCTGAACTTTGTTTTATTCCTTTAATTAGTAAATATGCATTGAGCAACAACTACAATATGTTAGATACTGGAGACACTGTGACATATCCCAGAAATATTAATGCATTATTAAAAACGTGCCATCAGTGAGGATAACAAAGAATCCTCCACTGAAAGTTAAAAGGCTGTCTGACACCCTTTGATGTCTGAGAGGAAAGGAAGGGCTCAAATGGCAGGGGAGAATAATGCCATCATCACACTCTTATATCACTACTGCAGCCTACCAATGGTCCCCTTGCTCCCACCCTTGTCCCCAATACAGTATCTTTTTTAAAAAATATATATTTTATTGATTTTTTTACAGAGAGAAAGGGAGTGAGATAGAGAGCTAGAAACATCAATGAGAGAGAAACATCGACCAGCTGCCTCTTGCACACCCCCTACCGTGGATGTGCCAGCAACCAATGTACATGCCCTTGACCGGAATTGAACCTGGGACCTTTCAGTCCGCAGACCCACACTCTACCACTGAGCCAAACCAGCTTTGGCTACAGTATCTTTTTTATACATCACTCAGAGAGATCTGTTTCAAGTATAAATCATATTGCAACACTCATACTTCAAAATCACCAATGGCTTCCCATGACATTTAACATCTTCCCTTTCATGTTTGCCAAGTTTCTTGGATTTATGGGTTGATGTCTTCTATCAGCTGTGGAAACTTCTCAAGTTATCTCTTCAAATGTTTATTTATTCTCCCTCCCCCATTCCCCCATCTCCAATTATGCACATATTACACCGTTTTACATCATTCCATAGATCTCAGATGAGGGCAGAGGATCTGAGCATGGTCAGACTTCAGAAATCTGTCTGTGTTCCACAGCCAAGCCATCTTGTCTGTATACATAGGTATTGTCTACCTTCCCTCCACTAAACTATACATTCTACAAGGGAAGGGGTTTTATCTAATGAATCCTAGTATTTGGATACTGCCTGACACATGATAGGCACTCAATGAATATTTATATTTATTTATAAATGAATAATATCCTTCTGATCTTTCATGAGTGCACATGCAGAAGCATACTGCATATACTGTTCAGGGAACTGTATATTTTGTTTAACTTCTCATGAGTATCTTTTGAAAGTAATAAATATAATTTTAATGGTTGTGTATATTCCATTGCTTGAGTACACCAAAATCAATCCTCAAATACTAATCACTTAGATTGTTTTCAATTCTTCATTGTTATACGCAATGCGTCAATGATATAGACATATATTTGTGACATGGAATTTCAGAATAAAAGAATGTGCATGTATCTGAAAGGTTTTTATGCCACCCAGTGAAATGTCTCAGGAAGAGCTCTATTAATTTACATTGTTATCCAACAGTACATGAGTTTCTTTTTTCCGAATTTTTGCTAATGGTGCATGTTACACTCTTTTAAAATCTTTGTCATTTTCCTTGATTTTTAAAAAAATGGTGTTTCTCATTGCTTAATTTGAATTTCTCCTGGTTATTTTGAACATATATTCCATGTGTTTATTGGCCATTTGTAGTTCTGTTTGGTAAATGAGAACATTTTAGTTGTCATTTTTGAGTCAGACATGTTCAAGCAGTAGGTTTTATGGGACTGAGGAGTTCTGTATCCCACACCCTATTTCTTCTGAAGCACAATTTCAAATTCACTCTATTCCCCAACCCACCCGTGGCTCAGCACCTGCCCAGAAGATGGACTATAGCTGATTAATCACAGGTGACTACAGAGGAGAATGTCAGCCCCTTATCCATAAGAAAAACAACAAAAGTTAGTGGGACCTATTCTGGAGTCAGAATTTGGAGGTCTAGTTGAATCCTGTCTCTGGCACTCGAGCTGTGTCCCTAAGCAGATTCTACTTTTGTAAAATGAACGTGAGCTAAGGATAAAACGTATATGCAAACAAAGCCTGAAACAGTCTTCCAAACTTTGCCCATTGGAGAAGCTCAGTGAATGTCCAGTCCCATTTCCCATTGGCTACGATTAATCTGTGCTTTTCTTCTGCGTTCTGAAGACATTACCCAGCCAACGCCTGTCTGATGCCCATCTGTTCTGTGTACGGCGCTGCCGTCACCACAGTGGAAGGCATAGGCAGCACCAGGACCAGGATTCACCCCGTTCAGGTGAGGATGGGCCTCTTCAGAGGGTTTCTGGGCTTTGAAACCATTAATGTCATGATGAGCCCCTGAGATTAATGCTGTTGACCAGCCTGGGTCCTCCTGCTTGGTCAGCTGACAGATGAAATCAAGCTGGGGACCAGGAGGGGAACTGACCACATGGATGTTTTGTGACTGACTTCCTGGAAAGATGCTTTCTGAAGACTAGAGGACTTGGTTAAAAACAAACAAACAAGCCAACACTGACCTCACTGGATTTTGTTTTTAAGAGATAGATAGATAGATAGATAGATAGACAGATAGATTTTTTTAATGTTTAAATTATCTTTATTGTTGAAAATATTACAGATATCTCCCCCTTTCCCCCCATTGAGACCTTCTAGCCCACATCCCGCTGCCCCCTCCCCACCTTCACCACCCTATTGTCTGTGTCCATGGGTTATGCATACAAGTTCTTTGGTTAATTGTTTTCCACCCACCCACTCTCCCCCCACTTCCCTCCGAGACTCATCAGTCTGTTTTCTATGCTCTAATTAAATGGCACCTATCCACTGTCCGCTTTGCATCTTCCAACCTTACAAAGACACAAGAGCTCTGTGCATTGAGGAATATAATTTTATTGTGTTTTTTATAAAATGGAAAACAACATGATTTTAAAGTGGAATGGAAATCTCAGCTACCAAAAGGATTTGTTAAATTTAGGACTTGTTCAGAAGACAGGTTTTAGGAATGGTCGATGAATTTTGAGGGTTTTTTCTCCTAAGGCAGCACCTTCTTAGAACTTTGCCTCAAGTAAAAGGGCACCTCTGACCCCTAAGTCTTTTGGTTATTTATGCATTTGCCCTGAAAATGCTGTTACTACATGTTTTCCTCTAAGTTGATAAGCGTCACTTATGGGGAGAGGGCTGAAGAGGGGAACTCTTGAGGTGACAAATAAAATGGCCAAACTTCAAATTCTCTGGACGTGAAGGATTCGTGGGTTCTGTTCTGTTTATGGTCTATGAAACCCCAATACCTAGAGGGAGTGAATTCTGCCCGGATACCCTGGGGAGACTTCCCTATTCACAGGCATGACAACACTTTCATTTAGCCATCGCTGTTCCTCTCCTGGCTGCAATACAGCCGGAAGACAGCTTCCAAAAGGAGCTTGCAACTTTGAAGTTAGATTCCAAGGAGAACATGCTGGGGCAGGAAAGGGTTGGAAGGAAAATAAAGGCAATGCTTTCTTCTTGATCGCTCTCAGGACCAATAATAGTACTTTGTAAACAAACTCCTGTGTGCCACAGCATTAGGGCAGTAGTGGGCAGGTTGGAAGTTTGTTTGTTGTTGTTTGTTTTTCACCCTCAACTTGAATATAATTCAGTTCATTTCCCTGAAAGACTTCCAAGGAATAACCTTGGGATCACTTTATCTCAGTGATTCCCATTCAGGACTATAAATTGAAACCACCTGGGAATCTTTACTACTACTATTCAATATTATTATTATTATTATTAAATATATTCTTATTGATTTCAGAGAGAAAAGGAGAGGAAGAGAGAGATAGAAACATTAATGATTAGAGAGAATCATTGATCGACTACCTCTTGCACGACCCCTACTGGGGACGGAGCCCACAACCTGGGCATGTGCCCTGAGTGGGAATCAAACTATGATCTCCTGGTTTGTCAGTTGATACTCAACTATTGAGCTACACCAGCTGGGCGGGCAACCTGGGAATCTTTATGTCTGTGTCACACCCCGAGGGATTCTCAGTTAATTGATCTTGGGTGCTGCTTTTGGACATTTTTAAACTCCCTTGTTGATTCTGAAAGCTGAGAACCTTGAATGAAGCTCAAAAGCTGGTGAGGGCTGAAACTGGTTTGGCTCAGTGGATAGAGCGTTGGTCTGTGGACTGAAAGGTCCCAGGTTTGATTCCAGTCAAGGGCATATATTTTGGTTGTGGGCACATCCCCGGTAGGGGGTGTGCAGAAGGCAGCTGGTTGATGTTTCTCTCTCATCAATGTTTCTAGCTCTATCCCTCTCCCTTTCTCTCTGTAAAAAAATCAATAATATATATATTATTGATATATATATATTTTAAAAAAATATATATATATGTGTATATATATATATATATTTTTTAAGCTGGTGGGGACCGGTATTCCTGGCCACTCAGCCCAAGAAAGGGTGACCCCCAGGCTGAGAAGGATCTTCTGGGGCCTCTTCTCCAAACTCAATGTGCACACAGTTCACTTGGGGCTCTTGCCAACAGGCAGGTGTGACTCAGTAGGCCTGTGGTGGGGCCCCAGATTCTGCATGTCTGTGCCTCCTGTGCCTCCAGGAGAGGATCGCCAGGTGCCACGGCACACAGTGTGGCTTCTGCACCCCTGGGATGGTGATGTCCATGTACGCGCTGCTGAGGAACCATCCGGATCCCACCCTGGACCAGTTAACTGATGCCCTTGGTGGTAGGTTATGTGTGTGTGTGTGCTTTCGTTTTTGAATGATGATGATGATGATGATGAACACTAATGGTGGACATCTGCCATGTGCCACGTGCAGTATTAAATGCTATTACAGGTGATCTCCTTTGCTCTTTGTAGTAACTTTATATATCAACCAAATATCCCAAGTTGCTGATAAAGAAATCTGACTTTGTAGAGTAGATGCACTGAAATGTCAAATAGGACTTCCTTCTAGGATGGAGGCCTTATGGCCATCATGATTGGCTGTCTGTGCCTCTCTCTAGGTTCCCTGATTGACAGAGCGGGGTTTTTCTCCTCTAGGTAACCTGTGCCGTTGCACTGGATACAGGCCCATCGTTGATGCATGCAAGACCTTCTGTAACGTGAGTAGAAAGGAACATGGTAGTAGGTGTATTTTTCCCAATGAAACAGAACAGTAGGGGCTGTGGAGGAATTGCCATTTGTAGGTTCAGGGCTATTTTTTACCTCAAAGCCTGTACTGGTGTTTGTTATCTGATCTTGGACACGGTGCTTACGCTCGTTCACCGGCCTGGCCCTGCTACTCATGTAATGAGCACTAAGCACTTTGATGTTGGCTGAGGGTCATTGTCCCTGAGCTGTCTGCCTGAGTCAGATACCCTGCCATGGTGCTCCTGTAGCCCCTTGCATGCATGCCCCTGTCACAGCGTTGGTCACATGATAGGGCAGTTGCCCGTTTGCTTTTCGGTCTGTTCATCAGACTTTGGTCTACCTGACAGTAGAGGCCATGTGCCTCCAGACTGGACACCATTCACCCAGTGAGTAAACACTCAATCAATATTTGTTGAGTGAGTAAGTGAACAAACAACCTTTGAAATGAAGGACATAAGATTGCCCTTTGGAAGTTAAACTATGACATCAATACATCATAAATAAGGACAGAGTAATAATAACGCTTTGTATTTTATTAATAAAATATTAATATTAAAAACCATTGTTAATATTTATTGCTATGTGCCAGACTTTGTTATATGATCTTTAAATTATGATGACAATAGTTAATAACACTGTGTTGTGTGTTTGAGAATTTTTAAGAGACTTGACCTTAAGTGTTCTCACCACACACACACACACACACACACACACACAATGGTAATTATGTGTGATAATAAGTGTGTTAATGAACTGACTGTGATAATCATTTAACATAATATACATATATCAAATCATCACATTGTACACTTTAAATGCATACATTTTATTTATTAATTATACATCAAGAAAGCTGAAAAAATTCTTAGTAAAATCAGGAATAAATTCTCCATTATTTGTTTTTCAACCCCCTAGACTTCTGGCTGCTGCCAAAGTAAGGAGAATGGGGTTTGCTGTTTGAATCAAGGGATAAACGGATTCCCAGAACCTGAGGAAGGAAATAAGGTCAGTGACATGTGCACTTTTTATAAGGGTTTCTCAGGAGATTGTCAGAGTCCAGCTGACTTCTAGGAAGAATAAATGGCTGTGTGAGTTAAATTAGCTGGAGGTCTATCAGCATGGCCCCTGCTCCCACGCTCACTCCATCTCTGTCACACGCACACACAAATCTATCCTAACAATGCATTCCTCATACAGATGTTAGTCTCATTCAAAGCACAGCGGTCTGTAGGAGAGAAAGCACATTGATACCTCAGTGTTTTTAGTCTTCTTTTTTTTTTTTAAGGTATTTTATTGATTTCAGAGAAGAAGGGAGATAGGGAGAGGGATAGAAACATCAATGATAAGAATCATTGATCGGCTGCCTCTTGCAGGTTCCCCACTGGGGACTGAGCCCAAAATCCGGACATGTGCCCTGACTGGGAATCAAGCTGTGACCCCCATACCAGCCAGGCTCTTTCATAGTCTTAAAAAAAAAAGCCTCCTTCAAGTCTTTTTTCAGGAGTGAGAAGCACAGTGGAGTGTCAGGGTGATGAAAGAACAGGTGGTGATTCAGGGAGATGTTCTTGGTCTCAGCTGCATCCTCTGCTTCCCCAGACTCCACGTGAACATGCAAGGGTGCAGGGCCTGGGGGACCAGTTCTGTGTCAGAGCCCTTGACTCAGGACCCAGGGACTGTGGCTGGCCAGCTGCTTTCTGGTGTGTGTGTGTGTGTGTGTGTGTGTGTGTGTGTGTGTGTGTGTCTGTCTTCTTCTGAGCTCATTCCACACAGGATTTAAAGTACTGTAGTTCAAGTTGATGGATGAGTTACTTGTTGTATTTTCTCTTTTTAAGACAAGTTCAAAACTCTTCTCAGAAGAGGAGTTTCTGCCACTGGATCCAACTCAGGAATTGATTTTTCCTCCCGAGCTAATGGTAAGTGAAGGCAACGCTGGGGTTGTCCTAGAGGAGTTCATGGGGAAATGGCAGGAAGGGTGTTTGCTGACGAATCCTCTCAAAGGCCGATTGCAACCAGGTAATATCCATCTGTTGTCCTCCACTCAAAGTCTAAAGAGTGTGGGACCGATGCAGAGGGGGGCGTGGAACGAAGGTGGGGGCATATCGCCTAGAGGAGACAGTGACTGTAAGAAGCAGCAGTTAGTGTCCATAAAAAATGCTACAAAATAATATCACATTTGTAGACTTAGACATGTTTTCTACTTGTAGCAGAAACCTGAGTTTATTCTTATGTAGAAAGTTGTAACAAAATTAAGCATGATGAAACCTCTGTAAACATTGAAATGAATTCCTTTGAGATATAAAAGCGCCAAGAGGAGGCACTGGAACAGATTCCAGAAGGAGTGAAATATTGCCCATTTTTATTCTGATTCCTAGTGAGGCTGTACCTTTAGATCATTTTTATTTATTTGTGTTTTAAATCTCCATTTCCTTCCCCTATTTATACGAAGACAGAGCAAACCCAGGTGGAAACATGGTCACAAAGTAATCTCAAATCCCTGCTGGTTCTGCCACAGATCCTGGCTGAGAAACAACCACCAATGACCAGAGTTTTTGCTGGCGAGAGAATGACGTGGATTTCCCCGGTGACCCTGAAGGAACTTCTGGAGGCTAAAGCCAAGTACCCCCAAGCCCCTGTCGTCATGGGGAACACCTCTACGGGTACGCAGAACCCTGGGACTGCTTAAGGGGAAACCTAGGAGGAGTGCTTTGGGGAAAAGAAACTCAAATATTCGTGTCTCAGGAGCATCAGGGGGAGTGAGTCTTGGCTTCCTCAGCATTGCTCACAAGAATCTCAGAGCTTTCTGACGTAAGTGATTCCTGTTGTCCCTGTTGGGAGCGGTGCACAGAGCTGCACCAGGTTTTGTGTGGAGGGTTAAGGGGGGTGAGCAGCAGTTCCGGGGATGGCAGTCCTGTCCTTGTTCCCTGTGAAGGCTGATTTGGGGCTTGTGTCTGGAAAGGCTCTGTTTCCTCTGAAAGGTGTCTCCGTAGGTATATGCTGCAGTTACGGGTCCTCCTACTGTCTGCTCTGTAAACTCTGTTTGACCGCCTGCTTCTTTGAGAAGGCTCCCAGGGTTCTTCCAAAGGGATTTTTAAAAATATACTTTTATTGATTTCAGAAAGGAAGGGAGAGTGAGAGATAGAAACATCAATGATGAGCCTGGCTGATATGGCTCAGTGGTTGAGCATTGACCTATGAACCTGGAGGTCATGGTTTGTTTCCGGTCAGAGCACATGTCTGGGTTGCAGGCTCAATCCCCAGTAAGGGGGCATGCAGGAGGCAGCAGATCAATGATTCCCTCTCATCACTGATGGTTCTTTCTCTCTTTCTTATCCTTTCCTCACTGAAATAAATAAAAGTATATATCTTAAGAAAAGAAACATCAATGATGAGAGAGAATCATCGATTTCTGCCTCCAGCACACCCCACACTGGGGATCGAGCCCACAACCCTGTCATGTGTTCTAACCAGAAAAAAAACATGACCTTCTGATCCATAGGTCAATGCTCAACCACTGAGCACCACTGGCCGGGCCCAAAGGGAATTTTGAGTTGCCACACATTGTCTTGGATTCATCAGCCAAGTTTTCAGGCTGACAATGCAAAGGGTCCCCTGTGCGGTGAAGATTCAGCTAGCTGTCCTCTGTGCCATGCACAGACCAGTAGGAGGATATGCGGTTTTTATATATTTAAAGACATCAGTTTGAATCCCAATTTCACAATATACAAGGCGGTTCTTCTTCTTCTTTCAATCCTTTAGGGCCCGAAGTGAAGTTTAAAGGTGTCTTCCACCCCATTATCATTTCTCCCGATAGAATTGAAGAGCTGAATGTTGTAAACTATGCAAATAATGGTAAGTTCTAAAGGCCCCTGCTTTCTTAGTTAAAATGAATCAATCAATTGATTTTCTTTGCCCCTCAGATAACGAGAAGAATTACTCCAAATTATAACAGACAGAGAGATTCCCTTCTTAGAAGAAGGATAACATTCTGGAGGAGGCTCAGGGAATTCTCTGTAATTTTATGAGATACTAACAGTCCAAATAGTCAGCTTTTCATTGGGGAACTTTCTGTGTGTACCAAATCAGAGAAATGTAACAACTCTTCCACAAAGGGCGCTGTGTAAGTGCTGGGCGGAAGACAGAGACGAGTGAACACAATCTTTGCCTCCAGAAGCACAGGAGTAAGCAGAGCAAGTTTATGCATCAAGCAGCTTACATATTCTTTTCATTCTGATAAAGGAAGTTGATTTCATGGCAAGGATGAGAAGTGATATAAATGGGAGTTTGAAGTCTGGCTCTGGAGTCTAATACTTGACTTGACTATTGCTATAATAATAAAAGCATAATATGCAAATAGGCCAAATGGCCACCTGGATGTCCTTCCGGACGACCTTCTGGAAGAAGCCGGGCTGCAACTGCCGGGTTGAGGCAGCTGCTGCGGCTGCCAAGGCCTATTCTTGCACGAAATTTGTGCATCAGGCTTCTAGTGTTGTATAATAGCTGTAAAATACTAGTCGAGTTCTTAACTGAGTCTCAGTTTCTTGACCTGTGAAATAGGGCTAATAACATCTCAAAGCCTTGTTAGGGTGCAAGGCGATTCTGTGGAACATTCAATAGAGTGCTTGACACGGCCAGTGTTCAAAACATTTAGCCACCATTACAGCCATCATCACCAACACCATTTCTATCGCCATCACCACCCACGGGCAGGGCAGCAGGACGCAGTATCTGTAACCTGAAACTGAATGGACATCTCCGGCCGGCAATGATCACACTACATGATGCACATGTGATTTCATTTCAGGGCTGACTTTAGGTGCCGGCCTCAGCCTGGCTCAGGTGAAGGACACGTTGGCCGCTGCAGTGCAGAAGCTCCCGGAGGAACGGACGCAGACACTCCGTGCCCTCTTGAAGCAGCTGGGAACGCTGGCCGGGGCCCAGATCCGGAACGTGGCTGTATGTATGCAGTGACAGTAAACTGGTGTGTGCCCCTTTCATGGCTGTCTCACAAATCAGAACATTTTCACTCTATGGGACAGGCCAAAAGGATAGTTCTCCAAAGCCTTGCTTGATTCTTATTTGATCCCTTGTGTTTCGATGATTGTACAACTGGCGTGAGACTAACTCACTGTTTTAAAAAAGTCCTTAGGAGGCCACGTCGTGAGCAGGCATTTTGATTCTGACCTGAATCCCCTCCTGGCTGTGGGCGGCTGCACCCTCAACCTGTTATCGAAAGGTGAGTGTCAGCTCCTTCGGAGGCTGATGGAATCGGCTCCTCCTGACCTTCGTTTCTCTGGGGGCGATGGAAGCCCAGTTTTGAAAGTGACCTTCCTTTATACTATTAATAACTCTCTCTGCCTTTCTGGAAGCTGGAAAGGTGACCAGTCTGGTCCTCATTCTGTTCATTTCCTGTATCTGCCTCCTTTTTTGGGGGGTCTAGTGCTAGATATTCACCCTGTACTGGCCACACGTGGTGGTGTCCGGATGTGACCCAGGTGTGGAGAGACTGCGGCTGTGAGAATGGCTGGGCCCCTGCCGAAGGCTGTCCCCAGGAGTTCAGGAGGGGGTGTCTCCCACATCATGCTGTGGGCTCATACCTAATTCATCGTGAATGGAAGCCTCCTGACCTTTTTCTGTTGAACAATGGTTTGGCTAAGTTCTGTATTTATTTACTTGAGTTTTGTTTTTGAAACTAAGTTCATGACTTTTAATTTATTTCTCTTATGCTAACATAGTCAACAGCTATTGGGAAATTCCAACTGGTCCTCTATAAACCTCTTTTTAAAATTTTAAAAATATGGACTAGCTTTCTATTATCTGCATTATCAAAGAACTACTCTTCATATCACTGAAACCACAAAATTATTCTAAGGAGGAAGATTTTCATTCAAAATGATCAATTTATGTAACATCCCTTTTAGAAAAATCATATAGTGAGAAAGAGACTTGTGACGTGAATATAAAAATCATAAGCTTCTTAGCTTTCATCCCTGCATCATATTTCATTATAGTTTTAAATATATTGATTAAATGAGTTCTTTTAGGTGCTGGAAAAAGATATAAAAAAAGATACCAGATCATTAATATAAGAATTCATTGAAGGTAATTTACTTATTTACTACTGAATCTACTAGGGGTCCCAATGATAAACAATAAATGTTTGTTGAATGTCTTGATTAGAATATCAAAAGGTACATTAATATCTATTTTCTATTCACAAAGCCCAGAATGAATTATGCTGTTCAGCAAGGGGACTAAGGTCCTGTTCTTCCTGATCTCTGGCCTTCTCTGCTAGGAAAGAAGGAATGAAGGAAGGAAGGAAGGAGAAAAGGTAGAACCTAGATGCAAAGAAACGTTGCAAAATGCCATTATAGGGTGAAAGATTTGTTAATGGTAAGAAGATCACTTCTTTTTTTAAAAAAAAATATATTTTATTGATTTTTTTACAGAGAGAAAGGGAGAGAGATAGAGAGCTAGAAACGTCAATGAGAGAGAAACATCGATCAGCTGCCTCTTGCACACCCCCTACTGGGGATGTACCCACAACCAAGGCACATGGGAATCGAACCCGGGACCCTTCAGTCCACAGGCAGACGCTCTATCCACTGAGCCAAACCGGTTTCGGCAGATCACTTCTTTTCCCGGTTCCCTCAGATACTGGTAGAATTGTCGCCCACGTTTTGGGAGTTTGATTGTTTAATAGTACAGATTCCAGGGACAGTGTTGTTTCTTTTCACAGAAGGGGCACGGCAGATTCCTTTAGACGAGCAGTTTCTGAGGAAGTACCCGAGTGCGGACCTCAAGCCTGAAGAGATCTTGGTCTCAGTGAGCATTCCCTACTCCAGGAAGGTGAGACTGCCCTCTCCGCTCCCGGGGCTTCCTGTGAGCTGCAGCTGGGAGTTCCAGCTCGCAGTGGGTTAGGCCCTCACCTTTACGGGAAGGTGCACAGTGTTTACAGGAGAGATTAGGAGGACTTGTGCACACATTAGTTCCTCTTATCTATGGGTTCCCTTCGCAGTTTTAGTTACCCATAGTAAACCGTGGTCTGAAAATATTAAATGGAAAATTCCAGAAATGAACAATCGCAAGTTGTAAATTGCATGTCGTTCTGAGTAACGTGATGAAATCTTGAGCCATCTCACTCTGTCCTGCTTTGGTGGTGAGTCAGCTCTTAGTCCAGCGTCTCCACATTGGATAGGGTCCTGTTAGTCACTTAGCGGCTGTCTAGGTCAGTGGTCTGCAAACTGCGGCTCTCGAGCCACATGAGGCTCTTTGGCCCCTTGAGTGGCTCTTCCACAAAATACCACAGCCTGGGCGAGTGTATTTTGAAGAAGTGGCATTAGAAGAAGTTTAAGTTTAAAAAATTTGGCTCTCAAAAGAAATTTTAGTTGTTGTCCTGTTGATATTTGGCTCTGTTGACTAATGAGTTTGCTGACTACTGCTCTAGGTTATCTGATTGTCTGTTGTGGTATCACAGTGCTTGTGTTCGAGTGGCCCCTATTTTACTTTATAACAGTCCCAAAGCCCAAGAGTGGGGATGCTGGCACTGTGGATATGCCAAAGAAGCCAGGCAATGCTTCTTTTAAGTGAAAACGTAGAAGTTCTTGACTGAAGGGAAGAAAAATAAGGTAGCTATTTTTGAGGTAGCTAAAATCGATGACGACTACTGTAGTTGCTTTTTATCTGTGTTATGCAATCTTCTGTCACTCCTAGAATCAGGAAACCTTTGTCTCTGTCCCTCTCTAACTTTCCCACTACCCCAAACTCTAAAGTTACTTTCTTACTAATTAAAAAATACATATTTGTTCCATGAGTGTTTTCCCTCAATAAAGCTTGAAAATATATCTCTACCAAAATCTGGAGGTTTGAAAGAGGCTTAAAAATTACACTTGTGATAGAACCTAGGAGGAAAGGGTCTTTGGAGTTAGACTCAAGTTGAATCCTCTTTAGAACCTACTGTGACCCTGAACTGATTACTGACCCACTCCGAGCCTCAGTTTCCCTATGAAAAGGGAATAATTGAACCTGCCATCACCTAGCACCACAGACAGGTTGCCTTAAACAGCAGACTTTTACTCTCACATGGTGCTGGAGGCTAGAAGTCTGAGATCAAAGTGTCAGCAGGGCTAGTTTCTTCAAGGACTCTCTCCTTGGCTTGTAGCTGGCCATCTCCTCCTGTGTCTTCACGTGGTCTTTCCTTTGTCATGTATGCGTCCAAATTTTCTTTTCTGATGAGGACACCACCCTGTTGGGTTAGTGTTCACCTTAATTGCCCCATTTTAACTGAGGTGCCTCTTTAAAGATCCAATTTCCAAATGTAGTCACGTTGCAGGTCCTGGGAGCTAGGACTTAATTGTCTCAACTCAGGGAGGACACAATTCAGTCTAACAGAGTGGCGAGGATGTGTGAGGCCATTACCAAAACTGTCTAGAAATTCGGTGTGTTTCCACATGCACCACTTCCCTTTGGCTTCTAGTGGGAATTTGTGTCAGCCTTCCGACAAGCCCAGCGGCAACAGAATGCTCTCGCGATAGTCAACTCTGGGATGAGAGTCTTTTTTGGAGAAGGGGACGGCATCATCAGGGAGTTGTCCATCTCATATGGAGGCGTCGGCCCAACCACCATCTGTGCACAGAATTCCTGCCGGAAACTCATTGGAAGGTACAGCATCATGGCCCCAGACCCCAAGTAATGGGGCAGCTCTTTTTTTTCTTTTTTATGACATGAAATTGTAAGAAGCAGCATGCTGACTACATTTTTACTTAATGGCATGGAATTCCAATATGATTTTATAATTGTTTCCATAGCTCTTGATTTTAGTGAATTCTAAAGTGAGAATCATATAGTCTGTGTGTCTGTGTGTGTAAGAGAGAGAGAGAAAGAGAGAGAGAGAGAGAGAGAGAGAGAGAGAGAGAGAGAGAGAGAGAGAGAGAGAGAGAGAGAGAGAGAGAGAGAGAGAGAGAGAGAGAGGGAGAGAGAGAGAGACCATATCCCAATAGCACATAGATTCAATAAGCAAAATGAATACATTATTCTTTATTGAGAAAATAATTTACTATGATGAAAAACAGATTATTGTAGTTTGTTTTATCATCAGTTGCTAAATGCATTTGCTTACCTGACTTTTTATATCTTTAGGTGATACTGGTAGCCAATATTTCTTGAATACTTTCAGGTATCAGTTACCATTTCCTAATAGACAGTTAAAAACATGAGCTCGATTGAGCCAAATTGCCTAGGTCCGAATCTCAGTTCACGCCCTATTAATTATGTGATCTCAGTCAGTTTGCTTAACATTACAATACCTCAATTTCCCTATGTCAAAAGGCAACAGTCACCCCCACTGTGCAGGACAATTGAGGGGATTAAATGCATGACTACATATAAGATGCTTAAACCCCAAACCTGTCTTGCAGTCAACATTCTAGCGCTACTGGAGTGAATTGCTCCTGGGCTGAGTGAGGACTTAACACAGGTTGTCATTTCTACTTCATGACATTTCCCGAGGTGGATCCTACCATTATTTCCCTTACAGATGACAAAGAGGGGGCCTGGGCCAGATGCCTTGAGAGGGGTGTGCTGTGGTTTGAATGTGGGTTGCCTGACTTCAAAGCTTGCACTAGATTGTGGCTATTTGTCTCACACACTGGCTGAGCCTATGAGATAAGGAGTCCTCTTTTTGACCCTCACAGGCCCTGGAATGAAGAGATGCTGGACGCAGCTTGTAGGCTGGTCCTGGACGAAGTCTCCCTCCCAGGCTCAGCTCTGGGTGGGAAGGTGGAGTTCAAGAGGACTCTCATCATCAGCTTCCTCTTCAAGTTCTACCTGGAAGTGTCACAGCTTTTAAGGAGAATGGTAAATGAACTGACCATGTATTTCCCAGCTTTAGGGGTCGTGAGGATACCCACAGTGGAGGCAACAACCCCCTGCCCAATGGCTGTAGAACAGAAAAGAAAACTCAGATTAGAAACTTGTGGGCTTGCTGGGCCTACTTGAGGCTGTCTATTGATGGATTGTGTTTTGGGCAAGAGTTGCAAGGAGAGCATGGAGTTGTGCAGGATTGTGTTTAATGCCACCCAGTTATTTTGTTTCCGACCCCTTGTTTGTTTAGGTGGGGTGTAGAAAACTTGTTTATGATTTAAATATACTTTCCCTCAGGAAAGCATTTCTTCCTCCGGTTGGGAGTTACCTTCATGAGTTTGGCTTTTTTCTCTGGTTCACCATCATTTCCCTCACCTGTAAGCTGATGATGGCAGCCACTCCACAAGGTCATTGTGACATGGGCCATCATGAGAACAGGGCCGACTGTGGTCCCTGTGCAGCCCAGGGCTTTAGAGGAATATGATGAAGACTGCCTGGTACTAGCCACAATAAGAGCAGTAATCATCCAGGCATTCTTCTGCTTGGTGTACCTTTTGACAGACTTTCAGTTAAAAGATTGTTGGCAAGGGAGGGCACAACTCAAAGAATTTCTCTGAATGAATTTGGGGGGCCCAAAGGGAACTGGAGTGATATTGGCCTCATTAATCCCACGCTACAACCAACTGAGCAGAAGCCAAGCACATCCTTTCTGTGATATAGAAATTAGTATGAGCATGTTAAGTGAGAGGCACAACATTCTCTCTTCTCTTTGTTTCTGGGGGTATCTTCTCATCATATAGAGGAACAACTAAGAACCATAACAGTTGTATCAAATTTTTTAGAACAAAAGCTTGAAATCATAGATCAGTGACATATTATCACCAAGCAATCACAAGAGAAAAAAATAAAGCCAATTGTAGACTACTCCAATCAACAGCAATCTAATGCAATTCCTTGGGTGAATTGAGCAATGTAATTTAAATCTTCTGCCTATAGTCTCATCCTTTCAATTCAACTTCCTCCATTTAGTATTCCTCTACTATTAAAACTAATAGCCTAGAATTTAAAAAACGAATGTGAAAAATAACCATTAGGTGTATTGTCAAAGCCTTGGATAATGACCCAAATGGCTCATTTCCCTTGGTTTTAAGGAGCCTTCCTCCTGGGACCCTGGAATGCTTCCTTGGTGGGGCTGCGGCTGGGTGGGCCTCTGTGTTGCCCTTTCTCTAGGAGAGTTGGCGAGCTGGCTGGCAGGGCAGAGTTTTATGCACATTGTTGTGGTGTGCTTGGACTCTTTCTCCTGGCTTAGGCATTCTACCCCTTTCCATTGTATTTACTTAGCTTTTATCTTCCTGAGTTTTTGGGGCCTGGTGCATGTGAGAGAGCCATAGGAGACAGAGCTGTTGGAAGGCAGTGGCCTACTTGGCTCTTCAGCGTGACCTTCCAGCGCATGTGGCCCGGAGGCTGGAGATGCTGTATTTCCAGGGCTCTGATGGGGAGGCCTCTGTAAATGTTAGACTTCAGATTAGAGCTGCTGGTTAAGGACCACGCTAGCCTCCCTTTCGAGGCCACTCAGGCACATTTTACATTTCCACTCTGGTTCTACTTTTCAGGACCCTGTTCACTATCCTTGCCTTGCAGACAAGCATGAGAGCGCTCTAGAAGACCTTCATTCTAGGCCTCGCCAGAGTGCACTGAAGTACCAGGTATGTGGCTTTTTTGTTTGTTTGTTTGTTTGTTTGTTTGTTTGTTTAAATTCTAAGGGCCTGGCTGTAATTCCTTCACGCGGACTCACTCACCCTCAGTGATTCTCAAGCTCAGTAAGCTGAGCTCCCTCTGGTGAATTCACAGCCCTATTTACCAGTCAGTACAGTTTCAAAATCAACGAAGAATTGTGACTGAAGACCAAGCTACCAATGGCCATTTTTAAAAAATTGTCTCCTTTGATCTTGAAGCAGTCTGTTTGGCCCTGCGGCCTTGTGCCATCATGTGCGTGAGCTGCTGTCTTGCCACGTGCTTCTGCCTTTGGCAGCATGGAAGTTGGAGCCCCACAGTCTCATTCCGTGTCAGGGCCCTGGGGCCACTTTGCTTTTATTTCCAGAAAATACAGGCCCTCGTCGTTGATGACGTGACATAATGATTTGTAAAAGAGCTGCTCATTTATTTTGTTTGGATGTGAATCTACTTTGCTCCTCACCCCAACTCACCCAGGGGTTTCTGCGAGATATGTTTTAGAGTTGGATCAAACGTAAGTTCTAAGGGCTACTTCGAGCTCCCCTAGTGAAAGCTGACTATCAGGGAGAACAGAGTCCCTCAGACATTTCAAATGGCATTTTCTGCCACAACATCATAAAAATATCACCCACAGTCATCCCATTGGTAAGCTGGATAAGACTCCATGTGTTTTTCCTTGAAATTATTATTAAGAAACTTCACCTGGAGGGTATTATTAAGTCAAGAGCATTGAATATGTTGTTGGATTTAGTTATAAAATCTTATAGTATGTTGCAATGAATATTGAAGTTGGTGTATATCCTTCAGGGTTTGTTTAATATGTTCAAAAATTCAGATACACTATACTCCATTTAAAATGATTATTTTGACTGTTAAAAACAGCTGAAAAAAAAAAAAAAAGAAAGAAAAGAAAAGAAAGAAAGACAGCTGCCAGCCCGGCTGGGTGGCTCAGTTGGTTGGAGCATCATCTCCTATACCAAAAGGTTTCAGGTTCAATTCCCAATCAGGGCACATACCTACGGGAAGGTTTGATTGCTGGTGGGGGAAAGTAAGGGAGGCAACTGATTAATGTTTCTCTCTCACATCAGTGCTTCTCTCTCTCTCTTTCTCTCTTCCTCTTAAATCAATAAAAACATGTCTTTGGGTAGGATTAAAAAAGAAAGCAGCTGCCACCTTCCCTTGTAGTCCACAAAATCTGACAGCTACAACCTTTAGCTTATAAATGCCTAACCTTGACCAGGGAGTAAACTTTAGGAAGAATCCACAACAAATTAATGGGTATTCCACTCACTCAGAGAAAAGTGGTCATCTTCATGGAGTTGACAACCTTAAAAGGGAGTTTGCTATCAAGGATCGCAGGCCAGGGGTTGGAAGCAGTGCACCTCCTGCAGATGAGTGTTGTTTCGGCTGCTCCTGTGGATTTTCCCGCACAGAGATGTCCACTTTGCTAGAGAGCTCCTGTGCTCATAATGAGCCTTGTCTCCCTGCCGGTTCTTTCGCTTTGAAAGCATTTGTCACGGCTTCCAGAGACCAGCAGTTTGCAGGACAGCAGTCTTTCTTCCATCAGATCGTTAGGTACAGAATAAATAGAAGCAAGCATCAAACATAACCTCTTTCATCACAGCTGACTACCAAACATCAAGTGCCTTCAGCTAAAATAATTCAGTTCAGCCCTAGCTGGTTTGGCTCAGTGGATAGAGCATCGGCCTGCGGACTGAAGGGTCACAGGTTTGAGTCTGGTCAAGAGCATGTATCTTGGTTATGGGCACATCCCCAGTAGGGGGTGTGTAGGAGGCAGCTGATCGATGTTTCTAACTCTCTATCCCTCTTCCTTCCTCTCAGCAAAAAATCAATAAAATATATTTAAAAAAATAAAATAAAATAATCCAGTTCATATTTGATTATAGAATAGGATGAAGATAGCCTTTGAGACTTTTCTTTAATCTCTTGGCAGGCTTCTTTACTCAAAATAGACATGTCCTCTGCATTTCTAATAAACATAGTGACGATGTCATTGTGCTCTTCTGCAGAATGTGTGTGCTGTGCTGTGCTTAGATACATACAGTAAAAATATTTTGATAGTAAAATTTAAAGAAATCCATGAGCATTAGCAAAAAGTCATAATTTTATATCACCAAGAAGGGTTATATTCATTTACTTATACAAATGGGATTTGTATTAGAGATGTTTGCGGTCTACATTTTTAAAAAATGGGAAAAAAAGATAAGAACAACATTATGGCTAGGCATCCATCCCAGGTTCCTGATTGAACTATTAAAATGGGCTTATTTTCCTGGTATTATTATTAATAGTGGTCATTTTCATTTTCAAAAGTGTTCTGGTTTAGATGTTAATTATATAGCTACCATCTTATGGGAGGTGTGTATAATATGATTATAAAACTGATATGCTGATTGTTGATTAAACAGGAGGTAGACCCAAAGCAGCCTCCTCAAGACCCAATTGGCCATCCCATCATGCACCAGTCTGGTATTAAGCATGCCACGGGCGAAGCCATCTACCTTGATGACATGCCTGCCGTGGACAGGGAACTTTTCTTGGCTTTTGTAACAAGTTCAAGAGCTCATGCTAAGATTGTGTAAGTGATCAAGTTCTTACCGGTAGACATGAACGATTCCCTTCTCACCTAAGTCACATGAGGGACAAGTAAGGGTGTGAGGAGGGCAACCTACTTGTGGGTGATATTCAATGAAGATTACAGGTGAGGTGGGATCCAAATGTAGGACTTACTAATTTGTCCCTCCATTGATTCGCTTCCTTATTTCAGGGATTTCCCTGATCATCTGGCAGAGAACAGTGGTTTTGGCGTATCTTGCCTCTCTCATATCTTGCTCCTCAATTGAGCCCGTCCCCTTCAGTCCCCGGGCTGGGGGGCTCTCTGAGGAGCCTGCTCTGTGTCCTCATCCAGGTCCATTGATCTGTCGGAAGCCCTCAGCCTGCCAGGTGTGGTGGACGTCCTAACCGAGGAGCACTTTCAAGGCGTGAATTCCTTCTGCTTTCTGGGCCAACCTGAGAAACTGCTGGACTCAGAGACGGTACTGAACATTTTGCTTTCTGTTTTAATAATAACTTCCTCCACCGTAGCACATCGATTTTCTCAAAGATAACATTGCATTTGGCACATGGCAAAGGATTCCCATATATTTTAATGTTTATTATAAAACACTATATTCTAATGCTGAATGACTTCACATATATTCATTTTCCACATAAGAAATGAAGCTGAGCCGAAACTGATTTGGCTCAGTGGGTAGAGCATCAGCTTGTGGATTGAAAGGTCCCAGGTTTGATTCCAGTCAAGGGCATGTACCTTGGTTGCAGACACATCCCCACCCAGTAGGGGGTGTGCAAGAGGCAGCTGATTGATGTTTCTCATTGATGTTTCTAACTCTTTATCCCTCTCTCTTTCTCTCTGTAAAAAATCAATAAAATATATATTTAAAATAATTAAAAATATATTTAAATATATATATATAAGTATATTAAAATTTTTTTTAAAAGCTGAGTCGTTATGTAAAAGGTAAAAAGATTGTTCAACATTTTCTAGTGGTGAGACAGTGTGCTACTAAAAAATATAGAAGAATAATTGAGCAGAGGAGTGGTCATTTTTATTTGCTAATTTCTCTCCTGAGAATCTCTTGCCATGACCCCAGTCAGTGTGTCCAATGTCCAAGTCCAAGTTCAAGTGGTGTCGCCTCCATTGAAGCCTTTCATTGGCTTTTAATCCAGGAATGCTCTCTCTCCCTGTCTGAACTCACCTTGACTCATCCACTCACACTGCCATGTATTGGACAAGCTCTTGTTCCTTTGTACATTGGATTGGTTATATATGCCCTTGTGTGTGGAACTAATACTGTAAAAAATAAGTTAAACAAATATGCCCTCAGAAATGCACACATATGAAAAGAAACAGATATACACACTTTCCCAAAATCCACACGTTGGCAAAGCACAAATGTAGAACACGTTGATTAAATATTTACAAGACACGTAAGCATTACAGTTAACAATTTTCATATTGGGGCTCACTGACATCTAAGTGGGGACTTAGTAGTAGTTGAAAGTCAATAGAGCCTTAATCAGTAACCCTTGTAAGCAAATGTATTGGTCGCTTTAATAGATTTATCATATATAAAATCTCTTGAGAAAACATTGAGCTAAGTATATCTGTATATTGTTCTAACTAATAGTTATATTTTAAAAGAAGAGAGACACACCCTAGCTGGTTTGGCTCAATGGATAGAGCATCAGCCTGTGGACTGAAGGGTCCCGGGTTTGATTCTGGCCAAGGGCATGTGACTCAGTTGCAGGCTCCTCCTTGACCTGGGCCTTGGTCAGCGCACTTGCAGGAGGCAACCTGTCAATGTGTTTCTCTCACATCGATGTTTCTCTCTGTCTTTCCCTCTCTCTTCAACTCTTTCTAAAAATCAATAGAAAAATATCCTTTGGTGAGGATTAAAAAATAAATAAAATAAAATAAAATAGATGGGTTCCTTGGAGACCCCAGAACAGTTGGTGCTCACATGTCTTGTAATTATTGATTGTTGGTCTAACGTCAGGTGACATTCTGTCACCATCTTGGCGTGCCTGGTGCCCTTACTAGTATGTGCAGGGAACTTTGCAGTAACTGTGTTTTTTCCTCACTCTCTGCATCCTGGGGTGACCTTCAGTTATTTCCCACCGACCTTTACTAGCTCTGTCTTGGCTCTCTAATTCTCATTTTGGGGAGCGGAGGTGGGAGAATAGATCCATTCTATGGCACAAGCAATAAGATGCCACTCTGAAATCACTGAGCCTGACTTTTCTCCGGTTTGCTCCGGCAGACACAGGAAACTGAGCTGGTCTCCTGTTCAGGGGCCTCCAAACTCTTTTGTCCACAGAGGGCAATGCACTCACACAGCCTCAGGTCTGGAGAGCAGGAGGGTTGCATGCGACTTGAGTCCAGCTTTCCTTTGCTCGTTTACTTAGCCATTGATTCCTCCTTCAAGTTTAAGTTCAAGGTCAACAGGCACTTTTTAACTGAGCACCTACCGTGGCTGCTCACTGTAGCTGAACAAGACCTGGGTGGTCCTTGCCCTCATAGAGCTTAAAGTCTGGAGGAGAAGGCAAAGCAGATGTTTCACGAACCTTCTACCTTGGATTAAGCTTATTTATATATTCCCATGCCTTAGATACAGGGTGTGCCCCCAAAATGTATACACACTTTAACTGCTGATAGCTCAGATTTGAAAGTGAAATGTACTTTAATAAACACTGCCTTGATAATTATTCAAAGTGTGTGTGCATGTGTACCCTATGCTTTCCCCTGGCCTGGTGAAAGTCCTTGAATGAGGGTGTAGGTCTGATTCATCTGTATATTTTGCACACCCCTTTCCATGTAGCAGCGTGAATGAGTAGAGAAATAACGCTGTTTGAAAGTTTCAGATGATTAAAACTTTGCCTACCGTATCTCCAGTCGTCAGAAAATGCAGTAAACGCATTTCAACAGGTTTTATGCAGGCTTCTCAGTCCAGTGTTCACCCAAAAGAGCTTCATCATTCGGGGCAGCCCTGGCCTCTGGCTCTTGCTGGCAGATTTGGTTAATAAAGACGAAAGCTTGATGACTTAGAGTTTCAGGTCAAGGTGGAAACTCCCCCAGGAGTGTGGCTTTGGCAGAAGAAAATGAGAATTGTGGCCTTTGCATCGACACTAACTAAACAAGCAAAGCCATTCCTGTCTGCACAACAGTTCCTGCTCTCCGAGCTGTGGCTGTGCTGATTGTGAGCCTCTTGGGGCCAGGTCTGTGTGCGGGTCACAAAGGCAAAACCATGTGTCTGCGGAGAGCAGGGAGCAGAGCCATTGTAAAGGACTGCCTTTGTTAGTTCAACTCCTTTTCCAACATTTGTTATGCCTTTTAAAAAATTTTCATTGCAGGCCCTAACCGGCTTGACTCAGTGGATAGAGCATTGGCCTGCAGACTGAAAGGTCTCAGGTTCGGTTCTGGTCAAGGGCATGTACCTTGGTTGCGGGCACATCCCCAGTAGGAGGTGTGCAGGAGGCAACTGATGAATGTTTCTAACTCTCTATCCCTCTCCCTTCCTCTCTGTAAAAAATCAATAACATATATTTTAAAAATAATAAAAAAATAACATTCTTTCATTGCAGAAAATGTAAACGTGCATAAAAATAGAGATTCAACATTTGTCAACGTTTTGCCATTCTTGTTTCATTTATCACCCCACTACCGCCACCTACCCAAATCCAACAAACATGCTGTGTGTGTGTGTGTGTGTGTGTGTGTGTGTGTGTGTGTTCTGGATTTAACTTGCTTTGCTACCATTTTATTCCTGATGATAAAGCTACTATATGTTCCCCGTAGAAAAGACCTAATAGTCTAACGTAGGTTTTAAAAATAAATGAATAAGTTTTTGTTGTGATCATGGTATAAGATGGGAGAAAGAACAAAAGGTCATGGTGACTTTCTCAATCCTGAGTATTTTACCTTTCTGGAAGCTTGGTTTTGTTTTGTTTTGCATCAACTTTGTGCCTGGTCCCTGTGTCAACTCCCCGCCTACCCACCTGCGGTGACATGATCAGTGTTCGGTGCTTGGCCACTCCATGGCTGGTCCAATCTCATGTCTGTTCATGAAAACCCTATGCTCCCCCACAGTTGGGGGCAGAGATTCGCTCACCAGCAGTGTCACATCATCCCCCTCTCTCCTTCCTCTCTGGATAAGAGGGGCGATAGCCTCCTGGTCCTCCCTGTCTGGGAAGCCAAAAGCTACCTCTCAGAATGGCCCTGCTCATGAGATGGCAACCAGAGGCCAGGCCCTGAGCCTGGCTCTCCTAGGCCAGCTGGCCCTAGGGCAGCTCTGTGGGCTTGGCTTGGATGGAGCCTGAGTCTGCTGTATGAGAGGCAGCATCACTCTCAACCTCTTCGGCCACCACTGCCGATGATGCAGCAAAAAGACCCGAACTTCCCCCGTGCCCGGGGCACAGACTCACTCTGACCAGTGCACTGACCTACCAAAGTCATTTCACATGGCGCAGTGTTTGACTAGTGAAGGGGCCCATGACGGTGTGTCTAGCTCTGTGCCAGGAGGGAAGAGAAGAATGAACCAGAGGAGAGGGCCTGGTGCCTGCCCTTCTGGAATACAAAGGTCTTTTCTGTGTCGCAGGTGTTTTGTGTGGGTCAGCTTATCTGTGCCGTGATTGCGGATTCTGAGATTCAGGCAAGGAGAGCTGCAAAGCAAGTGAAGATTGTCTACCAGGATTTGGAGCCAGTGATCTTTACCATTGAGGTAATGAGTTCAAGGGCGGGGCCAGAAGAGCGGATTTTAGTGGTTTATCAGTAAACATGTTGGTTACAGTAACAGAAAACAACATTTGATTAAAAATGGGGGCTTCATTGGCCCCAACTATATCAGTGTTAGTAAGAAGCCTGACCTTCCAACTCTTCTCCCTGCTGCCCATAGTAGGAGCTTTATCCCCTGTGTCACAGGATGACAGCCAGAAGCTCCCAGAAGCAAGAGAGAACAGTGTTGCCCCAGCATTCCATGCATCCTGAAACCCAGCCTCATCAGGCCCCTTAGTCACATATCCTGCTCTGGGTTAATGACTGACCAGGGGAATGGAGGATCTGTTCGTTACTGCTGGAATGTCAGATTTCTTTGAAGAATAAGGGCTGGATGGGGGGAGGGAGTGTTGGAGGAGACCTGAACAGAAATCTGAGCATTGTTTGGAAGGGGACAGGTGAGAGGAATGCTGGATAGACAACCGACAATGTCCCTAAGAGGAGACACACCCCATAACTCTGTAGAGCAGGTCCCTGAGTAACATTGGTTTGTTCAACGTTGTGTTGTGATGACAATGATGAGATGCCTTAAAAACTTAACTCTTGTTTCTCTCATCAGGTGGCCTATGGTAAACTCGGTTTTGTTATATGTCATTTTGTCAGTTACAAGAGCCTATAGATATTGAGGACTTACTTTATTCACCTTAACCAGATTCACCCAGACACTCTCCACCCAGGTACAGTGAGAACCAACAATATGCTCTAGGGAGCAAACGTTGGAGACACTATTTTTAGATCTTTTCATATCTAACTTAAATGAGTATGAGAAACATATCCTATGATGCCTACAAGTATTTTGGCAACATAAATTGCATTTCCTATCCTATATTTTAGAAAGGAGTTTGAAATTTATAAAGATTTTAAAACTTGCCGAAACGGGTTTGGCTCAGTGGATAGAGCGTCAGCCTGCGGACTGTAGGGTCCCGGGTTCGATTCCGGTCAGAGGCATGTACCTTGGTTGCGGGCATATCCCCAGTGGGGGGTGTGCAAGAGGTAGCGATGACTCTCTCTCATCGATGTTTCTGGCTCTTTGTCTCTCTCCCTTCCTCTCTGTACAAAGTCAATAAAAATATTTTATAAAATTTATTTTTAAAAAAAGATTTTAAAACTCATCTCCATGTAATGATAAATGATAAATTCATTGGTTCTTATAATTTACTGGGTAATCAAAATGTAAAAGTTGGAAAAGCAGCGTGAACAGATTAGATTCAGCACATACAGACTCCTATGCTCTGGGAATGCAACATTATCTTCCCAGCATAATGGACACCTTGCTGTCCAGGCACTCGCACACTCTGAGGCAGAAAATGGGTACATGACTTAGCCAAGATTAGTGTCTCCAGGAAAAGTTGGCCTCTCCAGCTGCTTTATGTCTAGGAGCTCAGGAGTTTGTTTCTAGGTAGTGTCGTCTGTGTTTTAAAATTAAAATAAGATCATATGAAGAAAACAAAAATATGGGAGTTTAATTGCAATCAAAGATTGATTAGTTTTTCTAAATTTTCCTGGCCAGTTTCAAGTTCAAACATGTTGTTCCCTTCTCAGACCCTTTTCAATCATTTCTTGCCTGCTATGCTTCCTTACTTTACTCGGTTCCCCCACACCCCAACATTCTATTTTAGAATTAGAATTACTTCTCCATAAGAAATTGTTTACATGATGCTTCATCCAAAATTTTGTTTGTAATCCTTTGCCCAATACCAGTGGCTATCTTCTCTTGCTTCCCCCTACCTTCCAGCTAAATTCAATTCTAAATAAGCAAATAGATAAAATTCTCTTTCTGTCCTCCCCAACTCCAGTCAGCAGACCTCTGTTGCCTGCCAGAGAACACCAGCATCAAATAAGAAACTTGGACATTGTGGAGTAGAGCCATCTTGTGTTTTTATCAGGGATTACGCTCTCCAAGGTCAATCAAATAGATTAGAGGAGATTTAATCAAAGTCATTTATAGCAGGGAAATATGCCCAGCTCCTACATATTAAAGTTATTTTTATCACTTTCCTGACCAGAAATTTTTCAGGAAATTGGCTCAACGTTGCTCAAAGAGCAAGCAGCAAGTGAAGTGGAAAGAGATTAAATTTTTAAAAATAGGATTTATAGAACTTCCGTTTCTGACCTGAAATAGCTGAGTCTTAGATTAATAAGAAAATCACATGAATTGATTCCAGTAGAAAAGTGTGATATCAGTCAAAATAGGATTAAAAAACTGTGTGTCTGTCAGTAATCTCTAAGGTTTCACCTAGCTTGTGCTTTTTAGAGTTTTTAATAGTTTGAATGGGCAAGTTCTTGGCTCAAAGGGTCAGGCCAATAACCCTGGGGAGAAAAATATATGTTCTTGACCAGAATTTCCCATCAGTCATCATGATCAACAACACTAGCTAATTCCCACACAGAGCCCACTATGCAGTTATATAGTGCTAAGCTGCTTTCCTACATTTGCTCACTACATTCTCACAACAATCCTATGATATTAAAAACTGTGAGTTCCATTTAGGTGAGGAAACTAAATGACAGGGTTGCCTCCCAGGACACACGGCCAGTCATAGAAACAGTCAATAAACATTCTATCAAAGAATCTGTGCCCCACGGAAGTAAAAAAAAATCAATCCCCTTTCCAGTGTAGGAAATGGCAGGATCCCAATAGGACAGCCCTGTAAGGTATTGATAGATACCTACTGGTGTGGCTAAAGGGGAACAAGCGTTAGGAGAATCCCAGCTGCTTAGCAGGCGGGAATCCCATGGATGGGCAGTCATTGTGGGAGATGATGCTGCAGGAGCTGCTGTGTGGCACTGCCCAGTTGGCTCAGGGGTTACAGTGAGATACAGTCCTAAGGATAGGTAAGAAAACCAACCTAGATTATTATCGCTGCATCCCAGGTTATGTGTCCCCACTACTGTTCCCCTTCATTGGGCCCCCGGGGAAGCCAGTAAGAACCAGTGAATACTTTGTGGTTCCCATGCTGGGCTGGTAATGCAACCTTACCTCTGGGACTGGAGGTCCCAGGTGCCTTACTGCCCTGTGCAAATCCGAGCTCATCTCCCCAAAGGAGGAGCGTGGGGCTGGCAGGCAGGGCTCCCGGAACCTTAGCATTAGCGTGTCTTCACGGCTGAGCGCTCATTATGCCATGTGAGCTCTGTAGGTGCCTCATTGCACTTACTCCTCTCCACTGCCCTGGAGCTGTGTGCACAACTGTACCTCCCTTTTGACAGATGAGGTTCAAAGAGGTTTAGTAATAGACCCACAGTCAAACAGCTAATAAATGGAAAAACCAGACATAATTTGACTGGGCCTACAGCCCATGCTCTGTGTGGCCTTGGCTGTGTGTGGTGGGTTGTGGAACGAAGAGAATATTCTGCCTGGGAATTACTAGTTCCATTCTGAGACCAAGTGGGTGCCAGGATTTTTCTGAGCATGCTGTCTTTCTTTTCATGAAACAAGGACGTTTGTATTTGCTCTGTGGGGAGCTCTCTGGAGCCCGGTTCTCAAGCTCAGCTCTGCAGGTGTGCTGCAGGCTCCTGGTGGCAGAGCAAGGGGAGGACGCTGCCCAGACTCAGACCACACCCTGCTTTGGCTTCTGAGTGGGGCTGGATAGCACAACCTGGCGGCCTCACTTTTCTGTTCTCTTCCTAGGAAGCTATACAACACAAGTCCTTCTTTGAGCCAGAAAGGAAACTGGAATATGGAAACATCGATGAAGCTTTTAAAGTGGTTGATCACATTGTTGAAGGTAAAACTGTCTGGGGGGAAATGATGAGAAGGGGAAGCTACCCTGAAAACCTTCCAAGCGTGTCTCTTTTAACATTGCTCCTGGGGAACAGGCACCTCACTCATAAACGTGGTCCCCTCTGTGGTGTGTGTGTGTGTGTGTGTGTGTGTGTGTGTGTGTGTGTGTGTGTAGCACAGCTGGGTGGCACAGTGGGAGGCCTTGGCCATTCCAGCCCCATGCGGTGCTCACTTACTCTGAAAGGAAATTGGAATATGGAAATATTGATGAAGCATTTAAAGTGGTAGATCCGATTGCTGGTGTGGCTCAGTGGATGAGCAGTGACCTATGAACCAGAAGGTCTCCAGGAGGTCCAGGAGGTCACAGTTCAATTCCGGGTCAGAGCACATGCCTGGCTTGCAGGCTCGATCCCCAGGGTGGAGCTTGCAGGAGGCAGCTGATTAATGACTTTCTCATTGTTGATGTTTCTATCTCTCTATCCCTCTCCCTTCCTCTCTGAAATCTATAAAAATATTTTAAAAAAATAAAGTGGTTGATCAAATTCCAGACAGTAAAACTACCTGGGGAAAAAATGATGAAGGGGCAGCCTTGTGGCCATAGTTGTTACATTTCTGTTCACAAACACCTTGCAGGCCGGGAATTGAAGCTCCGAGTGGGTAAGGGGCATGACCTCATACAACAGCTACTAAGTGATAAAGTTGGTCTGGGATTGATAGCTTTTCCCCCCCTTTTTTTTACTTCCCAAGCTCCGGTTCTTTCTCTTTCCCCCTTTCTCTGAGTTTGCCACCCCTTCTTCCTGCTCTCTCCCTTCCTTTCTCCTTCCTTCCCTTCCTCCCAGTGCATACACAGGTCTCAGGGATATTGTGAGTTTAGTTCCAGACCACTGCAATAAAGTGAGTTGTAATCTTTTGGCTGGTGGGAGGTCTCTTCTTTACAAAAAGAAGAAGAAGACTAAGACGAAGAAGAAACATCTGTTAAGAGCAATAAAGCAAAATGCAATAAAAATGAAATATGCCTCTATATGGATAAAATAATACTGATTTCAAAGATCCACTGTGAAGATTGTAAGAGAGAATACATGTGTGCTTGGCACAGAGTAAGAGACGGTAACTGTGAGCGACAATCACTATTAGTTAAGATGTTTTTGCTCTTCTCTAAAAAAGGTTGTCTGTGGTTGAGCTCACACATTGGCTTAGCTGACGTGCATTTATCAAACCCATTTGCTCCCCAGTTTTCCTCACTAGAAGACGCTCATGAAACCAGCCTGGAGGTTCCTGTGCCCCTTTCTCGAGATTCTAGAGTTGGAGGATCCAGGGGACCCCAGGAGTCTGTTTTCTGACCAGTCTTTTCAGTGCTCGGGTGATTCTTATGGTTAATAAAGAGGCAAACACTTGGAGGCTGAGTCTGTTTTGGGGGAGAAGACGGAGCATTTAGCATAGGGAGTCCATGGTGTGAACCTCTTGGATATACCAATATTTAGGGGTTTCTCCCACTGGTGGTGCCACAATATGTTTTTGTGGAAGGTCCCGGCATCTTATTTAATTGTTTATTTCAGCTAGGTAATGTGCTCATTCTGTCTCTTACTTGAATTTTAACTTGCTACCTGCACCACACCCTGTAAATAGGTACACAAATGATACAGGAAGGTCAAAAAAGGGACTTTTAAGTTTTCATTCTCTTAACTCACTGGGTTTGTTTGTTTTTCTCACTCTGCAACCATCATGTGGGTGAAGATATTTGGACTACTTGTTTCAATGTGAGATCATTAGAAGTGATTGTCAAAATAGCCCTCGATCTGCCCCTTGGGAAAATTGGTGCTCCAAGAACAAAGAGTATTTTTACAAGATAAAATGCAGGCAGGGTTATATCGGGTCTTACACTGTGTTCTGGAAGGGGGTGATATTATTGTTTGCCTTTGCCGGCTGTGGAGATAGATTTCAGCCCTCCTTAACCCCCGGGGTCACAGGCATTAAAGAGCACCTCGCACAAATGAGCCAGCCGTGGCCAGAGAGGCGTGTGATCAATCAGCAGGAATCAAACCTAAGTTCTCCAATTCTGAAGTTAGCACGTTCTCTCGTCTGCATGAAGCAGATTCTCGTTTATCTCTTCCCATTTTCCAGGCTTTCCACTGGAGAGGGAGATGGTGATCTCTGTAGCTAGATTTGCGAGAGGCCTGAAGCCCCGAGACCGAGATTACCTCCCCTAGCCGGTCCTGCTGGGCACAGCCCAGATAAACTTCCTATCTGGACGGCTTTGCCTTCTTTAAGGGCGGGTATTAAAATGTAAATATGCCTGGAGGAATCACTCCTAAACCCATACTGGAATGAAGTTTTATCGCAGGGATTAGTTGAACAAATTGGTTTCCAGACTAGAGTGTTGAGAGCAATGCCTAGGATGGAGGAGGGTGTGGGGCTAGAGGGGTGGGCAGCAGAGCAGCGCCCTACAACTGGCTCTTGTCTAGTATTTATTTTAGCTCTGCATATTTTTAAATGAAGTGCATATTTAACAAGATTGATTTTGAGTGGATAGGTGTAATCATTAATATTGCAAACCACGAACTGGACCCTGCTGACAAGTGGGGTTTTCAATGCATAGGCCCTGATAAAAGCTTACATTGCAACCAAGGCCTGAGTTCTTGACACTTTAGTTTTTGCGTTTTAAAAATGAAGCAGAACCTGTCCATTCTTTTTTAGTCTTTCTTTACTCAGATTGTGGATGAGCTAGGAAGTCCAGACTCTATTACAAAAGATTTCCTTGGGAATCTTCCTCAAACAATTTACAAATCACTATTATTTGGGTATATTTTTAATTTTTAAAAATCCTGTCTGCCGTAGCTGGTTTGGCTCAGTGGGTGAAGCATTGGCCCTTGGACTAAAGGGCTGCGGGTTCAATTCCCGTTAAGGGCAGGTTCCTCAGTTTCAGGCTTGATCCCTGGTCCTGATTAGGGTGCGTGCGGGAGGCAGCCAATCGATGTGCCTCTTTCACACCGATGTTTCTCTCTCTCTCTGTCTCTTCCCCCTTTCATTCTCTCCAAAAAAATCAATGGTGGAAAAAATATCCTTGAGTTGTTGCAGAAGCTTGGAAGAACCAAGCAACACTTAGAGAGATTGGAGTCCCACTTTATTAACATCGGTGGGCCCAGAGAAAACGTCTTTCAAATTCTGAGCAGAGCAACAAGCAGACGTTTCTTTTTATTAAAGAGCCAGACCTATGTGTACTTAGTAGTTATCTCGCTGGAAGCTTGTGGCCTTGAAAACAACACAGTTCTATTCAATTAAAAAAAAAAAACATCTGGCAGAGCATGGGGGTATCTAGTCTCTGCCTGCAAGGTCTGACAGCTAAGTTTATCTTCCTCATTATTCAAGCAGGCTAGAAGGCAAAGTTATTTTTTCAGAATAAGGGGCTGTCTAAAAATTGCAGCCTTGACTTTACAGAATAAGGGACTATCTAAATAGCAGAGAATTTCGAACAGTAGTTTTACAAAATAGGAGTTAGCCTTCTCAGGGTGAGGATTGGGGGGGTGTGGGGGAAGGTTTGCCTCCCCCGAGCATGACTGTCATAGTTGTGCTCTGTGGTTGTTTTTTTTTAAAAATTTTTTATGAGTATTTTTTTTAAACCTTTGTTTTTAATTTTTTCCATGACCTCTAATGAGTTTCTTAAAATTCCATTTTGATTTATCACTAATGTTGTTTTTGTTTTATAACTTTATTGGACAATCAGCGATCAGTTCTCATCCATGTTAACTGTTTGTAGATTTTTGGAAGTGATGACAAGTACACAGGTTACTAATATATGGAATGAAGTGGCGAATCTTCATCTTTATTATATTTACTGGACAAACACACTTAGACATGGTATGGGACAGTCCTTATTCCTTTGGCCCAGATATGTTCTCCCTCATTTTCAACATAATTGTCTGTAAAATGTTCTCTACATACATTGAAAATAACAAGAGACAACGTGGTAATTCTGTATCAAATACCATTTAAAAAATTCAAGAGGAAAGGAAAGTCTATTGTGTTTACCTGTACCTTTAGTATTTCCATTGCTCTCTTGCCTTCCTGATGTTCCAAGATCTTTTTTAATCACTTTCTGTCTGTTTTAAGAACTTACCTTAGCCATTTGTTATTTTAGGATAGGTCTGTTGAAGACAAATTCTCTTAGTTTTCCTTCATCTGAGAATATCTTTATTTCTTTTTTATTCTTGAAGTCTATTTTATCTGGATATAGAATTCAAAACTGACATATCTTTCAGCACATGAAGAAAAATGTGTTACCAGTTCCTTTGGCCTTCATGGTTACTGACCTGCTGTCTTTTGAAGTATCTTTCTCTAATAGATGAGGGAATGTTTTTTTCTCTCTGCTCTCAGGGTATTTTCTTTGCGTTTAGTTTTCAGAAGTTTGACTATGATGTCTTGGCATGGATTTCTTTGGTTTACCCCTTTGGGATTTACTCTGCTTTTGGAATCTGTAGGTTTGTGTCTTTTTACCAAGTTTGGGAAATGTTCAGCTATTACTTCTTCACCTGCTTGACTTCAATGACACAAACCTTTTATCTTTTATTTAAGTTACAGAGGTTTCTTAGGTTCTGTTCATTTTCTTTTCAATCCATCTTCTCTCAGTGGTTCAGGTTGGAAAATTTCCGTTGTTCTATATTTTTTGTTCATTGATAAATTCCTTTGTTCTGTTATTGAGCTCAGCCATTGAGACTCTTATATTTTGGTTGTTGCAGTTCTAAAATTTCCAGTTGTATATTTTATCTTTGGTTCCTTTGTTGAAATTTTCTTTAAGTGTTCATGTCAATACTCATTGAAGCATTTTTTTTTTTTAAATGATGGCTACTTTAAAATCCTTATCAGAACATTTCACCTCCTGTGTCCTCTCAGAGGTAGCATCTGTTCATGGTCTTCTCTCATTCAAGTTGGATTCTTGTTAGGATGAGTGATTTTTTTATTGTACCCTGGTCATTTGGGGTATGATGTTGTAAGACTCTGGATCTTATTTAAACCTTTTGTTTTATCAGAACTCCTCTGGCCCAGTGCATGATATTCGTGCACCAGAGGGGCATCCCTCAGCCCAACCTGCACCCTCTCGCAGTCTGGGACCCTTAGGCGGATGTCCAACTGCCAGCTTAGACCCGCTCCCTGTAGCAATTGGACATCCCCTGAAGGGACCTTAGTGCTGCTATGGAGGCAAGAGAGGATCCCACCACCTCCGCTGCAATCACCAGCCATGAGCCAGGCTTCTGGTTGAGAGGTGCTCCCTCTATAGGAGTGCACTGACCATCAGAGGGCAGCTACTGAGTTGAGCATCTGCCTCCTGGTGGTCAGTGCATGTCATAGCGACCTGTCATTCTGCTATTTGGTCGATTTGCATAGTTGACATTACATAGGATGTCCAGGCTGTTAGCAGAAGGAACAGAAGAAGATTTACACCATCTTGTTTTAGAACTAGAAGGCTCCTTGTCATAGTATTTCTACTTGAGACTCCTTTCCTTAGGACTACAGTAGTATTGGCAGATATGACAGATTCCTCTACAGAATTGTACTTCAAATCTGCAGGTATAATGACAGCTAAAGATTATTGTCTGTCGCCCTGTCAACAGAAGCACTGCCAGTAGACTGTCTCCATAATGAGAAGACAGTTGGGGGATGCTATCTATCTGATCTGATAGCCTTCTTGATTCTGGTGTCTTTTCCTCTTACAGGTGAAATACATTTGGGAGGTCAAGAACATTTTTATATGGAAACCCAAAGCATGCTTGTTGTTCCCAAAGGAGAGGATCAAGAAATGGATGTCTACGTGTCCACACAATATCCCAAAGGCATACAGGTATCATAGGGCCATTGTGGAGAGGATGTAGTTAAATGGTTTCTACCAGCAAAGTATACCAAGAGCAATTACTAATAAAAATGTCATTTCAGAAACTGAATGTCCATTTGTGTATTAATAACCATATGATTTTAAATCTTTTAAGTTAGTATTGTAAGAGTAGAGGCCTTCTGATTGCCCAGTGTGGCTCAGGGGTTGAGCCTCCAGCTATGAACCAGGAGGTCACAGTTAGATTCCCAGTCAGGGCACATGTCTAGGTTGCAGGCTCAATCCCTAGTGTGGGGTGTACAGGAGGCAGCTGATCAAAGATTCTCTCTCATTATTAATGTCTCTGATGTTTCTATCTCTCTATCCCTCTTCCTTCCTTTCTGAAATTAATTTAAAAATACATGTGGTTGCTTTTTTTTTTTTTTAAGAGTAGAGGCCTTCTATTGTGGACCTGTAACTGTAAAATGATAGAGAGTCTACAGGTCTCTTTTGCTATACTCTTATTATTTTTTTTTTAATCCTCACCCAAGGATATTTTTTCATTGATATTCAGAGAGTGGAAGAGAGAAAAAGACAGAGAAATATTGATGTGAGAGAAACATATTGATTGGTTGCCTCCTGCACATGTCCCTACAAGGGCCCAGCAACTGGGGTAGGTGCCCTTGACCCTGAGGAGGAGCCTGCAACCAAGGTAGGCACCCTTGACTCTTGACAGGAATCAAACAGACCTTTGGTCCAAAGGCTGAAGCTCTATCCACTGAGCCAAACTGGCTAGGGTTTTTTTGCTATATTCTTGACACTGTTAAGAATATAAAAGAAGTGATGACTATCACTTAAACTGTTGAAAGATAATGTAGGAAAGTTGTTAAGAAAGTAAATCCCAAGAGTTATCCTCCTGAGGGGAATTTTTTTCTATTGTATCTATGAGATGATGAATGTTAACTAAACCTAGTTGGTAATCATTTTACAGTATATGTAAATCAAGCCATCAGGCTTTCTGCCTTAAACTTACACAGTGACATATGTTAATTATTTCTCAATAAACCTAGAAAAAAGAAAAAAGAGGAAGGCCTGCCCTCAAAGTCACATGGAGCAGTTAGGAAAACGTGTTGATGAGAATGCAACCTGATATAAACCTGCTAATTTAGATATTAGTATATGGAAGAACTAAGAGAACAGGGGCTGCTAAGAACTAGAATCATCTAGGAAGTCCCCTGGAGGTGAAGTCTTAAGTTTGGGTTTATACTGAGAATGAGGTTTGTCTAGATCCAGGTGGGGAACCTTTTTTTTCTGCCAAGGGCCATTTGGATATTTATAACATCATTCTCAGGCCATACAAAATTACCAACTTAAAAATTAGCCTGCTGTATTTAGTCAAACATCTCATTAACTCATCTCTAATGCCTTGGCAGGACCAGACCAAATGATTTCTGGGGCCTCATAGGGCCTGTGAGCCGCACATTCCCCACTCTTGGTCTAGATTAGGGGTGTCGAACTCAATCAGAGAAGGGGCCAAAATCTAAAATCCAGCCTAAATCCCGGGCCAAATGGTTTACTGAACAGCCATAAACTGTCATTGTGATGGAAACGCAGCGGAGTTCAGTGATGACAGCGCGGTGCGGGCCACATTGCAAGGCCTGGCGGGACGGATTTGGCCCGCGGGCCTTGTGTTTGACACATGTGGTCTAGATGGTGAGAAGATATGCCATTTCCAGGCAATTTCACACCAAAATCAAATACCACTCATCCATCCATCCATCCACTCACTCACCTACCCCTTCTGCAAACACTTATTGCCTATATATCAGGCAGCATGAATATAAAACAGAAAGGATAATATAAGGACCGCCCAAGTTGGGATGAAGGATATACCTTAGAAGTGAATAGTTTAAGCATCATGGTGAGAGTAAGGGAGACAAAGCAGAGGGGTCCTGATTCAGGTGTGTTGTTACCAGAGCAGTGTTGTTATGGAGCAAGTGGGAATGTGGGAATGTGGAGAAGGGGGCCTGTAGAAGGTGGAACACTAAGAAGGGTCAAGCAAACTCCCTTCCCGTCCTGTTCTGCTCCCCACTTCCTGGGTGACGTTGGGCCCCTCCCTTCATCCCTTTTGGGCTCCCTCTCTATAAAAATGAGCTGTGAAGATCACATGACCTCTAAACATTAGGATGTAGAAAAGAGCAAACTTGCATCCAGGGAAGACCTACTGGCCAACTACAGCAGTAATCCAAACAGGAGAAGAGAAAGAGCATTTCCCAGAGGAGAGGGGTAGGGTGCAGGGGAAGACCCGACCTGAATGAGGTTTGGAAGGCTGCAAAACCTCACTGCTAAGGGAAGCGTATCCCCAGAGTTCAGTGTGAAGGATATTTGGAGTATGGTTCACGGGGAAAATTTGTAAAAAATTATTAGCACAAAAATATCTCATTGCTACAGAACAGACTACTCAATATTAATGGCAATGTCACGGTGGCCAAATCCCACTAGATGAGCATGGATACATGCCTGGGTCATTGGAAAATGTCCTGTTACTCAGTATAACCGCAGTTATACTAAGTGTACCATGTACATTATAGAATCAACACATGGAAGGGCTGTCCCTCCTCCCTTGCTACTGATAGGCTAGATTAATGAGAGCTGTTATCATTCCCAGGACATCGTTGCTTCGGTCTTAAAGCTCCCAGTGAACAAGGTCATGTGTCATGTGAAGCGTGTTGGGGGATCATTCGGGGGGAAGGCATTTAAGACTGGAGTCTTGGCAGCCATCACCGCGTTTGCAGCCAACAAGTAAGTGGAGAAAATCTGCAAAGTAGACTAAAAATTAAACGAGGGTGTGCTGAATATTAGCAATATCAGAATTATAGAGAAAGAACCAGGGTGAAGATTATTTAAAATCACAGACTCTATACCAGTTAATACAATTTTTTAAAAATATATATTTTATTGATTTTTTTTACAAAGAAGAGGAGAGAAGGATAGAGAGCTAGAAACATCAATGAGAGAGAAAAACATCGACCAGCTGCCTCTTGCACACCCCCTACTAGGGATGTGCCCTCAACCAATGTACATGCCCTTGACCGGAATCGAACCTGGGACCTTTCAGTCCTCAGACCGATGCCCTACCACTGAGCCAAACCGGTTTCGGCATTTTTTTAAAATCTTATATCTTACATACTAAAAGAACCAAAATGAGAATCAATTACTGAAAATAATAAAAAACCACAGTGAAAATTCTGAAGTGTTTACCTGGAGAGCAGACAGAAACAGGTCCTGAAATGGTGGAGCTTACTTAGGCTGTGTGTGTGTGTGTGTGTGTGTGTGTGTGTGTGTGTGTGTGTGTGTTCCCTTGACTTAAGTGGAAGTTCTGCTTTTGTTTTGCTTACCTTTGTTTAAATTACCATCTGCCTTCAAGAAGCTCAACCTATTTCCATAGGAATTGGCTTTGAGCAGGTCCTCCTGAAGGCTCCCTTTCTGTGCTGCGAGTATAGGTCAGGTCCTTTATCCCGTGACACAAAAAGGCCTTGATTCCAGGCCTGTCCTCTCCGGGAGCGCCTCCATTGGGAACTGGTCTTCGGACGCTTTGCCTCTGTTGGAGGTTGTGGGCACGGGGGAAGTACCCCCAGAGCAACACTGTGGAGCACCCCTGAACCCGCCTCCCATAAGCAGTGCACGCCAGCCAGCTGACTGGCTGTGTGCACTTGAGATGGACACAGCCTGGGCTCAGGGAGCAGCTCTGCTCTGTCAAGAGTGTGCATGCCCCTCAAGCCGTCAAGAGGGGTTCCATAAACCCTGGAGGATACCTACGTGGCATCAACATCCCTGGCTTTTTTCTGTGTTAGACATGGCCGTGCCGTCCGCTGCGTCCTGGAGCGGGGAGAAGACATGTTAATAACGGCGGGCCGCCACCCTTACCTTGGGAAGTACAAAGTGAGTAGAAGGAGGGAGGGAGGAGCGTGTTGTATGTTTACTCACGTCGTAACGTTCCCTAAGTGCGGAGGGCAGCACATGGCTACTCTGTAATGGGAAATAACAGTGAGCAAACCAACTCACTGGGCTTCTGTTTAATCTTTTCTTGTGCTAATTGCTTGGTTACTGGCTGGTAGGACTGGAGCTTTGCTGCTTCGCTCATAGATGACAATTTGTGAAAAGTGCTGGCTAGTCCAGAGGGAATAACTGGGAAAGAATATGAGTGTATAAGTCCATGAAAGTAGATCTGATAAGCATACTATTCCCACCCATAAAAAGAGCTAAAAATAGAATGATTCCTATAACAAGAGTGCTATGTGAAATTATAATGATTTGCCAACAGGTTCTTCATTTTTAGGCATATCAGGGTAATTTCGTAGAACTGTCCCAGAAAATTTTCCATAGCAGAAAATAATTATTATTTTGCTTTGTAAGAAACAAGTTTGTCCATTTTTTAATCGGGTTGTTTGTTGTTTTGCTGTTGTGTTGAATTAGTTCTGTATACACCCTGAATGTTAACCCTTTAACTCATATACGATTGACAAATATTTATCACTCCCTCTGGGTTGTCTTTTCACCCTGTTGATTGTGTCCTTTGATACATAGAATTTTTAAATTTTGATGTCGTCCAGTTTACCCATCTTTTCTTTTGCTGCCTCTGCTTTTGGCGTCATATCCAAGAAATCACTACTGAATCCAATGTGATAAGGTTTTTCACAAGTGACAGAGCACACTTAGACCTGGCCCCCCACACGGCCAGGTTGGGGTGTCAGAGGCCAGTTCTCTCTCCGCAGGCGGGGTTCATGAAGGACGGCAGGATCCTGGCCCTGGACATGGAGCACTATGGCAATGGAGGCGCCACCCTGGACGAGTCACTCCTTGTAAGTGTTTTAAGGAGCAAGCTCGCCTTCTGGGAAGTGTTATATAAAGCGGTTTGATCTAGAAATTTTCCAGTAGCCACCTGTATTTCAATCTGAAAGCATAAAGACCCTCCTTGCAGGGACAGCCAGATGATATTGGTGCCCCACTGTGAGCCTGAAGATATTGGCTAAGTCTGCACCTGTGTGCCATCTCCATGTTTCCGAAACTCCCAGCTCTTTCCCCAGATGCGAGCATTAGACCTCAGCCCTCCTGACACGTGGGACTGGATAGTTCTTTATGGTGGGGGCTGTCCTGTGTATTGTGGGGTATTTGGTGGTATTTTGGCCTCTACCCAGCAGATTTCTGTGGCACAGCTACCCTCCTAAGCAACCAAAGATGTCTCCAGACACTGCCACATTCCCAGGGGGAAAGAAGGCCAACTTGCCCCTCATTGAGAACCAATGCATTCATCCAAATGCCCAAACATTTTTTCCCCCTGTTTCCTAGGATACTATTCATATTCAGTACATTCTAGGGGTTCAGGGGTTTGGGCCTATGCATGCTTCACAGACTTTTGGAAATGTTTGAAACCTGGGGGGGAAAAATGCATTTGCTCTAAAATATGAAAATAAAAAATGATTTCAGAAGAAAAATTATCCAAATCCCTAAATATTATTTTACTGCAAAGATGCATTGAAGCTGAGCTCTGGATCTGTTTGAGCACGTTTGGTGTGATGGAGAGGGGGCTGGACATTTCTGAGCTCTCAGGATGGTACAACAGGGACAGAGGGCGAAGTCTCCTCACATCAGCTCTGTGATTCCACAGGTGGTGGAAATGGGACTCCTGAAGCTGGATAATGCTTATAAGTTCCCCAACCTGCGCTGCCGAGGGTGGGCATGCAGAACCAACCTGCCGTCCAACACGGCTTTGCGTGGGTTCGGCTTCCCGCAGGCAGGGCTGATCACCGAAGCCTGCATCACCGATGTGGCAGCCAAGTGTGGCTTGTCCCCTGAGGAGGTAAGACTAAGTCAGTCCCACACACAGAAGATACCTACTTTTCAAGGTAGGAGGGCCATTGGGGGTCATTCATGCTGAGGAGGACGAGGCCTGTTGGTGCTAAGTGATTTGCCCTGCATAACCCAACTCACCAGGGACCCCCAGTTCAGTGATCCTTGTTCCACTCAGGGTGCTTCTCAAAAATCCTGGGGACAGGGCAAAGTGGGTAGAGAATGGGAGACATCCGTAATGCTGTCAACCATAAAAAAAAAATTTTATAAAAAAAAAAAGATTTATTTTAAAAATTATAAAAATCCTCTACCCATTTTTCTTAGTTATAAAATGGGGAATCCAGAAGGTTAATCATTACTGTGTCTTCCAGGCATAAAGCCCAAAATTCTATTAGAAGTTTTAATACAACAAGGAAATCTCCTTTAAAATGTATCATATTTCTGATGTATTATTGCAACCATTTTCTAACCAATAAATAAATCCTGGGGCCTAGGAGATATTGAAAAGTGAGCATTGGATTCTAACTCATTTAGTGAGAAGTCTCCGCTGGTTGGGGTGTAATTGTTACCGACAGGTTCTGTCACCCCTTCTTTCCTCGCTCCTTCAGCGTCTCCTCAGTTCTCCCAGTCTCAGTCTCAACTCCTCATTCCAGCTCTGTGCCCTTCCCTGCAACTCCCCCACCCAGGGTCCTGGAGTAGAGTGAGATGGGGGACTTGGTGCTCTCTGCCCCTTCTCCCTGTGTCTCATGCAGCAATGTTGGGGCAGGAGGAAGGAAGACCCAGGGAAACAGGCAGCATCTGCTCCCTGCCAGCTCTCTGTCTTCTCCTTGGTTAGATGCAACCACTTCTCAAGCATCTTGTATCTGGGCTCCATTTCTGCCAGATCTCTTGTAAATCGACAGTCCTCGGTGAGGAGGAGTTCAATCTCACCTGCCCTTTAACTGCCCCCTCATGTGGCATCCCATCATGCCCATGTCCCTTTGCCCCATGCTGCAGCCATCCTTAGAAAGCCCATAACTTTCTCCCCCCCAGCCTGAGAACCTGTGACACAGGCAGGAGTCATCTTCATGTCTCTTGAACTTGTGGGGGACCCTTCCTGGCCATCGGACAAGAGCCTTTTTCCCCGAAAAAGGCTCTGTCACACTTGGCAGTGCTAGGGAAGAACATCAGATCATGACTGCCTTTCATCTCCAGGGGAAGTTGAAGGAAAGAATAGCTACTCTTAAAAATACTGCCTTAGCCCTAGCCTGTTGGGCTCAGTGGACAGGGTGTCAGCCTGCAGACTGGAGGATCCTGGGTTTGATTCCGGTCAAGGGCATATACCTGGATTTTGGGCTCAGTCCCCAGTAGGGGGCCCATAGGAGGCAGCCAATCAATGATTCTCTCTCATCATTGATGTTTCTATCTCTCTTTCCCTCTCCCTTCCTCTCTGAAATCAATAAAAAATATACATTTTTTTTAACTGCCTTGCCCAAAATGGCACAGCTCACTAACTTCCAGTGATCTTTTTATAATGATCCGGGAATTTTTTAGGAGTATGGGGAGACTAGATGTATGTAATGGCCTTGTCAGCTTGAGGCCTCAGCTGCAGAGTTTTCTCCATTGAGAACGTGAAGTACTTGACCTTTCATTCTCAGCTGTGGGTCTTAGTCTCCAACTCTGGGAATTTGGGAAGAATTCTACTCGGTGCTTCAGATATCCTGGGGTTGACCTTTTCACTGATTTTTCACCCTAGTTGTGGATTATATGTAAACAAACTTTCACATTTTCCTTTTGGAAGGAAATGATCTTATCTTGCCATAGCATCTCTATCATCTGAATCATATAGATCATTCAGGATTACCCTTCAGCAATTATTCATCCAGTATCAAAAGTCCACAGTGCACCTGCATTGGGTTAATTCTTTGAGAAGCACAAGGAAAGGATGCTTTCCCTTAACTTATATAAGAGCAACATGGGCAGCATGGAAGTGCTAACATTTGACAGAGGCTCTGAGTAGAAGAGACTGTTATATGTTGGGAAAGGCTTCAATGAGGCATACATTGAACTCAGTCTGGGCCTTACGGGATGAGCAGATTTTGACTAAAAGGACAGTGGATGGAAGAGTGTCTGCCAAGTCCCCTCACCCTCATCGTTTTCATCTCCTTCCCTTTTATAGGTCCGAACGATAAACATGTACAAGGAAATTGATCAAACACACTACAAACAAGAGATTAATGCCAAGGTCCTGATCCAGTGTTGGAAAGAATGTATGGCTATGTCTTCCTACTCCCTGAGGAAAGCAGCTGTGGACAAATTCAACTCAGAGAATTCCTGGAAGAAGAAGGGGCTGGCCATGGTCCCCGTGAAGTTTCCTGTCGGCCTTGGCTCCAAGGCTGCTGGTCAGGTCAGTTCTCCAAACAGACAGATGAAAAGGTGTTCGGGAAACTTTCCGTGGAGGTGAATTAGCCATATGGCTGCACTATCTGCTCGCTAAATGTCACCAAAGTTGTGCTCAATCAAGCTGGCTTTTCTCTAGAGGAGACCAGAGCCTCTTTGCCCACATCCCTAGAGTTAGTGACAAGCACCCCTCCTGGGAAATTGGGAGACCCAGTTTCTACTCCTGGCCCTACTAGGAAGCAGCTGAGTCAACTCATTTGGCCCCAAAGGTGCCAAGACCAGTGACTGCCAAGACTCTTCTTTCAACTCCTCTGCGATTCGGTGTCTCTGGGCTGTGACATAGAAACAGGCAGCTGCAAGGCATTTGTTTTGGTGGGTTGGGATAAACTAAATGATAAGCAGATCATTTAAATAATTTTTAGAACACAATTTTAGCAATTTATTCACTTCATAGCCATTGAAAGTGTGTAGAGGAAGACTGAAAATCTATTCTTATAGTTTAATTTCTTTCATTACTATATAAACTCCCTGCTTGGTTGCTAGATCTCACTTACTATTGCCATCTCTTCCTTCTTGAATGCAACTTACCCTGAAGAACTGAAGAAGGACTGGTCTCTCTATGCTCATTCTATAGATGTGATCTGGGACCCTATTATCTATATTCCTATAGATAATACACTAGTATATATATGAATAAGATGGCAGAGCCCTCAATATGATTGTCACTCCCCTTTGCGGTTATTAACCTTTGGCTGAGGCCTGATGAAGATGTGGCAGGTGTGCTGAGTGATGACAGAAGACTGATAAATGGGGGTGGGTCTGTGAGGGGCACTAGTGTGTAGGCTGGGAGTTGAAGGAGTAGAGGAGGCTAAGAGAAGTGTGTGGGAAGGTCCTTCCCTCATCCCCATAGTCACCCGTTCACCTGCCCATCCTGGTTCAGATTCGGTGTAAATCATTAGAACGTCTCATGCAGTTTTTGATTGTAGCTGGATTCTCTCAGAGGAGCAATGTGACACGACAAGGGGTGATCTTATCACAGCTGAACCATCACTTGTCTGTCTGTGATGACAAAAACAACACAGAGTCGTTTACTCATCTGCACCCAATTTACCCAGATGAGGGGGACAGTCAAGAGACTGAGATTGAGGAATAAAGACAAAACCAAGATCATTCGAAAGGGGGGCAGGGAAATTGCCACTAGAAAAGGAGTAGCAAGCAGGAAGTCTTGGTACAGTTTGGGGGAAACTCCAGTAGCTGGCAGCCAGTCTGGACTGCTGTCCTGGTGCAGGCTGGCTGGGATCCCAGGACAACAGCCGCCTCGTTTGTGGGTTGTAGGAAGATCTGTGGGCTATAGCACATGTGTCAAACACAAGGCCCGCGGGCCAAATCCGTCCCGCCAGGCCTTGCAATGTGGCCCGCACCTCGCTGTCATCACTGCACTCCGCTGCGTTTCCATCACAATGACAGTTTATGACTGTTCAGTAAACCATTCGGCCCTCGATTTAGGCTGGATTTTAGATTTTGGCCCCTTCTCTGATTGAGTTCGACACCCCTAGGCTATAGGCTGTGGTGGGCACGGCAGCTGTCTCTGCTTAATGGCTGTCATCACTTAACATCTGGCCTCTGGTGGACCAGGTCTGTCTCATTTCCCTCATCAGGAATTTCTCAAAAAAGTAGGTTTAAAAAATAATGAGGATGGCTGAGCACCCACTACTGTCAACCATAAATAAGTGCTTTCAGATTTTATCGCATTCAACCCTCAGGTCAACCTGTGGGATTTGTAGCCTTATCTCGGCGATGAGAAATGGAGGCCCAGAGCTTAAATGAATTGCCTGAGTCCCACAGCTGCTGGGAGGAGGGCTCGGGGCCAGAAGCAGGGCTTTCTCAGCCTTTCCGTGGAAACTGAGGTGGGATTCGGCTCAGCTGGGAAGAAACCAGACAGCAGCCAGCAGTACAACTTCATTCTCAGAGGCCACCGAGAAGCTGGCCCACCTGCCAGGCCCTCCCCAGCCCCCGGAAACTAACCAGCGCCCATGTTTAAAACATCAGTCAGGGCTCACTCACAGCATCGGGATCAGCTGGCTGCTTCCCAGTGCCAGATGCTGAAGGGCTACCAGCCAAGCAGGAGGGAGCTAGAAGTGATGTACCAGCCCCTTCTGTGTGTCAGGCCTGAGGCTGAATGATCTGTAATTTCCCACTTGACTGAGCCCCTGTCTGTTGGGCAGGTGTAATCATATTTTATAAACGGCGTCCATAGAGGTTCGCTCTCTGGCCCGAGGACATCCAGCCAGTGAGTGACAGAGCAGGGATCAGACTTCAGGATTGGGGGTGTGGGGAGAGAACAGGAATGCCTTTATCATTCATCCCTGAACAGAAGTAGCCTGTGCTCCCCTCAGCAGAGGGCTCAAGCATACCTCACCTGCATTATGTTTCATCACGAAGGACACACGGAAGCTAAGTGACCTCTATCTTCCCTGTGTCCTGGGATGGAGCCTGGCGCAGAGCAGGAACTCAAACTCACATGTTTGAATGGCTCAGACATCTGGGGATCTGTGGGACCAAAGCAAGCGTCTCACCAACACCGGCAGTCACAGCTTGAAGATTTAAATGTCACCACACAGTCCCATTTATCCTGCAGAGCCATCCGTTCTAGCTCTCCAGGTGTGCCGATTGCGTGGGTGAAGCTCCGTGGAATTATCTTTTGCCGGCTCACAGTGAACCATCCGGTGGTACCATTTCACCAAACCAAATTTGACATTTGAAAAGGCTCTAGGAGCCTGCAGTAGCACGTGGAACCGGTAATTCGGCAGTCCCTGATGGGAACGCTGCCCTGGGCCCACGGGCAGAGCGCCGCTGCCAGCAGGCCACACAATGTGAGAGAGGCACCACCCACTCCTCAGCCTTAGGCGCCAGCTGCGAACTTCTCTCACCATGTCTGACATGCCCAGCGGAGCCAAGGACACCAAACACAGAGCCCACAAGCTCAAGAAACAGATAGTGACGGCAACCATTAAGCAGAGACAGCTGCCATGCCTACCTCAGGCCATGCTGTTGCAAATTCACTTATCAAACCTTTATCGATTGCTGGCGGGGCGTGAGAGGCCGTGTTGCATTCCAAGGGCTGCCCCAGGACCCCGGTTCTTCTTTCAGAGCTCACGTTCCAGCAGAGCACAGTGAGGTGCCATAGGATGGAGCCCCGGAGCAGCCAATGTCAGGCACCAGCTGGCATCCAATGCACACCCCCAGGGCAGCCAGCTCTGGGCTCTCCATAGAGCAAGCCACACCTTGTCTTTATTATTTGGAGAATAAATGGCCAGGAGCAGAAGACAGCATTCCCAGGAACGGTGTGTCGACAGACAGTAAACCATACTCTGCTGTACCTCCCCGAGGCCCTGGGCTGTTTATTATGGCACCATGCCTTCCTTAAGGCTCCAGAATTCTCCCCTGGGTTGGGAATGTAGGTGCCTATGTCCCCAGAGAAAGGGTAACCGTGTCCCTTTGTCCCCATGCTTCCCTAGTTTACACTGGGACCAGGGGATGGCCCATTCCCACTGTCAGGATTGCAGTCCTCTCCTTGGGAGGGATCTGGTGATGGACACATGAGTCCATCGACTTTGGGTAGGACCAGGGTTATTTATAAGTCATCTCAGTGAGTCATAAAGCCTTCCTCAGATTACAGCTTCAGTAGATGGGAAAGAGTTTGTTCCAGAATTTCCTGAAATTCTGCCTTTACAAATCCTAGGTAACTGCACCCCTCTGACCAAAGCTCAGATGCTAAGACACTGGCCGATAGAGCTCTGTGTGACTCTGGCCACTCCAGCCCGCACCCGAGGAGCCGCCGCACAGGGTGCCTTGCAGGCCTTGCTGAGCACAGCGCTCGGGGCCTTTCATAAAAATGATTCGCATTAATATTGCTCTTACACTGGAGATGCAACCCAAGAATGCTGTCTTGTCTCCTGTGCTGTCTCCATGCTTCCTGGTTTAGCACGAGTGGACTTGCAAGACAGCATATTCCTGTTGATTGTAAAACACGTTTAGCATAGAGTTTGGATGTTTCTGACTGCAGCCGCCTTTCATTCTGTTAGCAGTTTGCTTCCTTCTGGATCGCCTCGGGGAGCTGTGATCTTCATTTTGGCTTCTCTATAGAAACCTACACCTGTGGGACTATGTGTTCACATAAATAATTCCTTTCCCGGTTCCTCTATCTACTTTTAACTTTGCTTGTTAGAACTGACAAGCCCCCTCCCCAAACCTATGTCATCACTCTACCCACATTGGGGGAATCCTTGAAAGGCACCAGCCTGTAACCTCAATTGTCCCACTAAGGACATAGTCGCTCAAGGAGCAGGGTCCTGCCCCAGACTCAAAGCTACCCAGCAACACTCTGGCCTCTCGTGGGTGATTCTGAGGGCACCCAGCATTGTCCTGGCTTTGCGCAGTGCTCTCGGTGTGACGTGAAAAGTGTCCAGGAAAAGTGTCTATGTATATTTTTGGCAGGTGATAGAAGGGAAGGGAACATTTCCAGAGAAAATGTTTTCATTGATAAGACATACAATAATGTCAGATCATGGGAGCTGTTTGTATCTTTTTTTGCTTAGGCTGCTGCCCTGGTCCACATTTATCTGGACGGGTCTGTGATGGTGACTCATGGAGGAATTGAAATGGGGCAGGGGGTCCACACGAAAATGATTCAGGTAAGGACGCAGATCACTGGGTGAAGTAGGGTGTGCCTGCGAGAGAAACTGTGCATACACATTCTCAGTTCCAAAGTCAAAAGGAGAGGGGGCTGTAGCTTCATCCATTTCCACGGTGAAGCTCTGAGCAGAAACTGGGTTAACCATCCAGTTTGTAACGGGCCCTCTTAAAAAGAGGTGGCAGAAGGGTCCTGAGTTGTCTCATTGCTGAACAAGGCTGTGTGGTAATTGGCCACTGTCCTTTGGACATAAGAACAAGTGAGCTGTCTTTTTTTAAACCTTTGCTGGAAAAAATAGGAAGATGTGTAAATTCTGATGTGCCACATGATTTCTGGCTTTTTCACAGTAAGGACTCTTAAAAAATGGATACTATAAATCACATGTGATATTTCTAATCAAACTTTACCAGTTTTCTCATGGCTCATTTACTTTAGATTAATTTTTAGGTACTGTTTCTATTTTGCTAATCAGACCAGCAACAATAGAGGTTATAAAACATTTGTAAGAGGCAAATAATTCTTTTTAGAAGATCTTACACAATTCCATCATTTAGCAATAATTACTGTTTTGGGTCCTTTCCCATCTTGACTTTTTTTTAAAGTAATATTTTTTTATTGATTTCAGAAAGGAAGGGAGAGGGAGAGAGAGATAGAAACATCAATGATGAGAGAAAATAATTGATCGGCTGCTTCCTGAATGCCCCACACTGGGGCTTCAACCCTCAACTTGGGTATGTGCCCTGACCGAGAATTGAACTGTGACCTCCTGGTTCATAGCTCAACGCTCAACCACTGAGTCACATTGACTGGGCTTGACCTATTTCTTTTTCTGGTAATTGCCAACATGCTGTGTATAGACTTTTGTACCCTGGTTTTTCACCTTTCTTTCCACAGAGTGAGCCCTGCTTCCTGGCATTTGAATCCTTTGCCTCATGACTTATAATGGCTGCATGGGGTTGTCTATATAATTTATTTAACCTTCCCCGATTGTTGAACATTTCAGTGAATATTTTTACATATTTTGTGATCAAATCAATGAATGTTTTCTTAGATTCTCAGAAAAGGAATTACTGGTCACAGAGTGTGCCTTAAATCATTTGACACATATTACTAACTTGTTTTCTAGAAAGTAGCCATCTCATTACACCACTAACCAACGTTATATGCTATGGGTTGTTTTAAAATTGTAGATAAACTGATAGGTGAATGATAGTACCTCATTATTGCTTTAATTTGCATTTTCTGAGTAGAGAAATATTGACTATACATTTTCTTTCATGTGATCAGTCACTTGAGAATTGTCTGGTCATATCTTTGCTCATTTGGGGGTTGTTTTGTTTTCTTCAATGGGCCACCAGACCTTTACGTCTGAGCTGATGCATTTCATGTAGACGATCTTCTGAAAGTCAGTGGTATAGCAGGACTCCCTGTGGCCATGGCCTTATCACAGCTATGAGCGAATTCTATGAAGCTATACTGCTTGCAGGAAAGAGGAGAATTTTGGATGAGCTGCAGCTAGCAAAATGATTTTGCCTCCCAGCACTAGAAACAAAGGAAGAACACAGCAGCCAGCTAAGTCCTGTGCTGGCCAGTGACCCTGGCGCCATCTCCTTTGAGATCATGTTGGTGCTGCTGCTTTATCGAGCCTCCATTGTTCTTTCTCAGAAGTGCTCCTTCCTGCAGCTTCTCCGAAAACTGGGGGGAGGGCAGCTCCCCTCTGTGAAGGTCAGCTCTTCTTCAGTTTTGCAAAGTGCAGCGTCGGAGAGGCCTCAATGGTGCTGATTTCATGATGACAAAGACATTAAGCACTTCTTCCTACCGGGCATTGCTTCCCCTTCCTGATGCTATTGCACACGAGACAGTCAGAGACAAAGAACATGTGCACAGGACTTGGGGTCCAGACTAGCCATTGGTTTTTATACAGAGGAAGTTCATGCAGCTGGAAGGATTTGTGTTTCTGCCCTCCGGTCCCCAGTGGGCAAATCAGGGCTTCCCACCAGGGCTACCCTGTGGGCACGTGCAAGGGTATATGACTCACCAAAGTATGTGGGAAAAACAAAACCACTCTCTTCTAAAATCCAGGTGGCCAGTCGTGAGTTAAGGATGCCACTGTCCAATATCCACCTGCGTGGGACCAGCACGGAAACCATCCCCAATACGAATATCTCTGGGGGCTCCGTTACAGCAGATCTCAACGGGATGGCAGTAAAGGTAAGAGTTGTTGCTGTGCCATCCAGATCATTAGCTCCATCAGGACCAATACGCGGGTGGCACTCGGAAGATGCTGGGAATTAATCCAGCTCTGATCCGCTCCCCACACCCTCTTGGTGGAAAGTTCTTTCCCGTTTCAGTGGTGAAGCTCCGGGCGCTCTGAGCTGGAAATGCCGCCTTTTCTCCTCACTCACTCCTGTCATCTCACTGGTGTTCAGGTCATTTTAATTCCACACAAAAACCGCCCTGGTCTGATGACACAGACATCTCCACCGCCCTGATCTGCTAACATAGCTGCTGGGTTCAGACTACTGCCCCTGCCATGGCCACTTAGGGCTCCTTCTGGGCCCCAGTTACATGCCTTCCACCTGGGTTCATGCTGCCACAGAGTAAACCTGACCAGGCTGGGCTTGAAAACAGTGGCTGGTGGTCTGGCAGCAGTTTTCCTGTGAAGCCCTGACTTCTTCACGTGGCCCCAGCCTAGGCTGTCACACGCCAGCCCACTCCCTTGAGGCCTGTCACATCACCTCTTACAGGATGGGTCTCTTCCTTCTCTGTGATCCTTGGGCCTCTCAAATAGCCTGTTTTTATACAATGCCATGAGGTGTTGATGTTGGTGTGTGCGTGAAATTACGATTATAATTTTAACTAAAAAATAATCCCTAGGACGCCTGCCAAACTCTCCTAAAGCGCCTGGAGCCCATCATCAGTAAGAATCCTCGAGGCACTTGGAAGGACTGGGTGAGAAGCACTTTGCATTTTTCGTTAGAATGAAAGAGGGGGCATGAAGGAGACATGTATGAACTACATAGCAGTAGGAAGAGCATATAGCAGGTGCTGTAGTTATGTAGGGTAAGCAGAGGCCCGTGGGCTCCTGGCACGTGGAATCGTAACACAGGATGATGGAAGGACTACATCTGGGAAAATCCTCTATCAGAGAAAAAGATGGTTTTCTACCTAGAACTCTTTTTAAGATGTTTTAATATGTTTATTATTTTTATTTTAAATATCTTTACTGATTGAGGTATGATTGACCTATAATAAACTGCACACATTTAAAGTGTACAATTTGTTAAGTTTTGACAGATGGGGACGTATATGTAACCATTGCCATCGGTGAGAGAGTGAACATACCCATCACCCCCAAAAGACGGGCAGTGTTCCTTTGTGCTCCATTCCCACTAATCCCTTCCTCCCATGCCCACCCCCCATCCCCAAACATATCGATCTGCTTTTTGTCATTGGAGATCAATTTGATTTGTCTACAGTTTTATAAAAATGAAATCATATAGTCTAAACTTTTTACAGCATAGTGAGTTGACATTTCTATAACTTACAAAGTGATTATCCTGATAAATTTAGTATTCATCTGACATCATTCATAGTAATTACAATTCTACTGACTCTACTCCCTATCAGAACTCCTACTTTAAGCAAGAATTAAGGTGTTTTCTAGATAATAGCTGTAAATCTGTTTGTTCCCCTTCTTCGGGTTCTGCTGTTCCTAAAATAGGAAGAAAACACTTCCCAGTTCCCCTTCTATAAAGCTAAACACCATGTGAACACTTACTTAAAATAGGAAAGCAAGCCATTGGCTATAAAACTCAATCAATAGTTGATATGGAGTGGAAATATTTAACTGCTTCCTTTGATCTATGTGTGAGGTAGTTGGAAGAGAAAACACCCATTTAGAGTCAACCAGCAAATTTTCCTGAGGAATAGGTTGTAAAGCACCAGGTGACATGGAATGGCTATCAACAAAGACCTGGAGTGTGTGCCATGATGACAGCTCTAGCATGTCACATTAGAAGCATAGGTCTGGAGGAAATAACATTTGGGAAGTCCTACTTAGAAATGGCTTCTTCTATTCCATCGAGTTAGGACTCGCTCTATAATTCACATTTATGGGAGCGCTCGGTCCCTTTGGGAACATTTATTCTGCCCTCTTGCCTGTGCTGCCTGGGCCCGGAAGGCTGGTTGGAGAAACGCCATCGCACTGTGGTGAGATGCAGGGCAAGAGGCTCACTTTCTGCCAGTCAGCCCACTTTCTGCTGGATGGTTGCACTTCTCCTATTTTCTTTCTCAGACTTGGATCTAACCCCCATTTTTCCATGTATTAGTCACCTGTGTGCGCTGCAAAGTCAGGAGAATGTTTGCTTCAAATGGTACAACTTAGCACAATATCGTCTCTCTCCTAGGACTATTATAGATACATGATTTTAAAATGAAACATGCAACCACCCATTGGTTCCTGAAATGTTCCATGTTAATAGGCTTAGTCTTTCCAGCTGACTGAGCGAAAGTCTTTATGAGCAGACTATGTGCTGCCCAGCACAGTCCAGGCTATACGTGCCTGGCATCATTGATGACAGTGACATACATTGAACAGGTGTTGGACCACAACCAGTGAACCACACATGCTGGTGTAGATGGAGGATGCCGAAAAAAATAAATTGATGTTGGTTCTTCCTAGTTATTACCAGTGAGAGCTTTATTTAACATACTGAAGTTAAGATGGAAGTTTCCAGTGATTCTGATTGAAACAGCCTCATTGTGTCCCAACACCCCTCTTCCCCAGGCGCAGGCGGCTTTCAATGAAAGCATCAGCCTCTCGGCCACCGGATACTTCAGGTAACCGTCCTTTCTGTCTCGGCTCTGGAAAGCGGCAGGGGCATCTGGAGGAAGCGGTTCACTTCTGTTTGCAGCTGTGGCACCAACTGTACCTCCTAGTGGCCCACTGTAATAAAGAACGTTTAGCTGCCACTTCTTCCAAATGCCCAGAAAGGCTGTTGGGGAAAATAGGCCCGGAAATAAAATACAGCTGAATCAATGATTCGGATCCTACTGGGTAATTCTAGAGCAGCGGTTCTCAACCTTCCTAATGCCGAGACTCTTTAGTACAGTTCCTCATGTTGTGGTGACCCCCAACCATAAAATTATTTTCGTTGCTACTTCATAACTGTAATTTGTGTTTTCTGATGGTCTTAGGCTCTATAGCATTGGTTCTCAACCTGTGGGTTGCTAGCAGGGTCACCTAAGACCATAGGAAAACACAGGTATTTACATTATGATTCATAACAATAGCAAAATTACAGTTATGAAGAAGCAACGAAAATAATTGTATGGTTGGGGGTCACCACAACATGAGGAGCTATATTAAAGGGTCGCAGCATTAGGAAGGTTGAGAACCCCTGCTCTAGAGGGTTCTCCGGGGGTAATGAAGGGCACTGACAGGAACCTACAGCAGTGGCTGACCTTTTGTTGAAAACTCAGTGTATTCCTTAAGTTCAAAAACAAAAGTGAAAAAAATGCAAATCAAAGCCACAATAAGATAAACAGCATTGACGCTTTCCAGCTTGGCAAAAGATCAGATGTGATAATAACTTTGTGTTATCAAGATGTGGGGAAAGTGGAACTCACATGTTTTGGAAAAACAATTTATCTGATTATTCAAATGGAAAGTGGAAGCCATCAGAGAGCAGGCTGGCCTGATTTGGACGCCTGGCCAGTTTTCTGGGGAGTCCCAGGCCCTGTCTGGCTATGGAGGCTGAACATGGAAGCACCTGTAATGGCCACCTCCAGGTTGGGAAGGCAGGAGAAAGGGGTAGGAAGTCCTGGAAAGCTGCTGGCTCTTCCTCTCTTCCACCAGCCATTCACTTGGTGTCCTAGAAGATGGGTTGAAGGTGGACATGTATTTGGTGTCCTAGAAGATGGGTTGATGGTGGGAGACGGGAGTAGTCTCAAAGCAAGAGAGAGATAGCCGAGGTGCCTTATCCTTCACACAGGAAGCTAATTCCTGGGGCCAGAAAGACAAATAAACAGGTCAGTGTGAACCTTTAAAGTAGTGTGTTGTGTAAGAAGCAGGTGGAAATCCCCAACCTGATGACAGTAAGATTATCTGAGCCAATATTAGCTCAAAGCAATGGGGTGGATAATCATACTTCAGCAGTTAACTTCCAGGCCTACAGAGTCATTGGTAGGGAAAAATTGGATGTTTCAAATTTGGAGTCATTGGTAGGGATAAATTGGCAAAACAAATTTAATTAGGAGGAAGTAAATATTGATTTATTCAACGTATTTATTGCATGTATGTGTGGGCACATCATTGCACATGCTATTCATCTAGTTGGGCATACAAATCGAGCTCAGCTCTAATTACAACATTCCTCAAGCATTCTCTTTCCTCCAGGGGTTACGAATCCGACATAAACTGGGAGACAGGCGAAGGCCATCCCTTCGAATACTTCGTTTACGGAGCCGCCTGCTCCGAGGTTGAAATAGACTGCCTGACAGGTGCTTATAAGGTCAGTACCGATGGGGAGCGTCTCAGGGCTGCAAGCTGGATGCACCTCAGTCCCACATACCCCTCTACCGAGCACCAAAAAGCACCAGGAATTTGGCCTGAAGACAATTCTCTGTATTATCAGAGGAAATTAGAAGCTCAGCATTTCCCTTGGTGCTATGATTGCTCCCATGGAAAACAACCAGTGGCCTCTCTTCTTTACTTCCCTGGCCATTTTACTGGACTAAGGAAAGAAGCTACTTCAAGGGACTCCATGTAGACTGTGGGGACAGCTGGCAATGGTGACCATGTTGGTGAAATGCCATCATATGACATTCTTGAAGGATTTCATAAGCACCCCTAATCTGCTAACAAGACAGAAGCCACAGTCTTTTATAGCCAAATATTGGGGTGGCATACAATTACTTCTGCCATATCCTATTGGTCACGTAAACCCATCCTGGTAAAATGTCAGAAGGAACCACAGAAGGCTTCATCCTTATGATGCCAAGGTGTGGGGGTCATTTAGGGCCATCTTGGAGGCTGGCAACCACAACCTAAAGCCACTCTTTGAAAATAAAGCTTTGAAAATAAGTTCACAGCTTTGAAAATAAAGCTTCACTCACACGGCAGACTTGAGAGTACCCATCTCCCCTCCAATGGGGCCACTAGTCTCATGGAAGGCCAGCTTTACTGACTGATGTCAAGAGAACTTGACACTTCATTCTGTCTTTATATAAGAGAGATGAGGGCCTGATGTTTTATTATAGTGGGACATTCCAGATCACTCTGATTTTCATAAGAAAAATGTCAGCTGAAAGTCCCTCTTCAAATAAGGACACTCTTGGGTTTCCTTCGTCCAGTTAATAGTTATGAGCAGAATCTGTTAGCCATTATGAAACCACCATGTCCCATCAGAGGCGGTGCAGGCTCGCCAGAAAGCCAAGGTGTGCCAGCAGCCCGGCTCCTCATTGGTAGGTTCCTGGAGAATTGTTAGTCACCAAGTTTCAATGTTAGGTTTACTGTCTCTTCAGCTCTAAAATTGAAAAATCTAGAAGAGCAGATTAACAACTGAAAGACTCTTTTTGCTGATGCAACCTGAGTTCTGTGATCCAGGACACAGCAAGCAGCCAGCTGGGTGTTGGGTTGTACAGTCACCACAAAGTTTCACAACAAGGACCCTGAGGGCCATAGAGGGTTTTCTGTTTTCTGTGTTGTGTCTCGTGTCATGCACTGGCTTGTACTTGGTATGTTACATCACTCAGCTGGAACCAAAGCCAAGTCAGCATTTCCCTCTCCTGTTGTTTCCAATAAAAACAATCGGTGGTTAAGCGGGGTAAGAGTATTTGTAGAACTGAAATTCATACATAATACACGTGGTGACATACAATGTTGCTTCTTTCTCCTGAAGTATAATGTGGTGTTCATCACAGTAAACATTCTAACTTTTTTTTAATTACTAGAACATCAGGACAGACATCGTCATGGATGTTGGCTGCAGTATAAATCCTGCCATCGACATAGGCCAGGTATGTTTGCCTGACTTGCCTCACTTCCTGTATGTACAAGCTAAGGCTGCTATGGAGATCTTCAGGGGAAACATATTCATTCATCCTCCTAACTTATTCATCATCTCCCTTTTCTACCCCAGAGTCAGAATCTTTTATTCAGACAGGCCACACAACTCATATCTCTTACTGTTTAATAAGGGGAAAAAACAAAGGTGTTTAAGGTTGTGTTTGAAGAAACATGCAGCCTGGGACGAGGGAGGGCTAAACTTACAGGGGACAGAACGAGCCCCACATTGAGGGTGGAGGTAAAGTAGGGTGCTCAGTGCTGAGCCTCGGCCTACAACAGGCTTGAGCTTTGAGGAGTTTGAAGCTGAGCCAGGATAACAAATGTCACATAACTGCGGCAGTAGTGATGGAGAGGCAGCCTATGTTGCCCCCAGATGATTTTTATTTAAATTTGCAGTAACTGACAAGATTGAAAAATCACAAGCTGTTTTCCATCAATATTGAAATGTCTAACCCAGCTAAGAGCTGGAGCATCGCAAAGCTGTTCGGGAAGCTTGAAGAACACAGTTTAAACCTTCGATGGTGCAAGTGGGGAAGCTGAGTCCAGAGGTGTGAGGCCAGCCAGCTCATGAGCGAGGACGTTAGGAGGGGTGATTTGGTTCCAGAGGCCAGAGAGCCTTCCCTACTGGGCTGGGACCTGTGGACCCGTCAGTTAGAATTTCATCTGGAAGAAAACACGAGGGCGTTGGAGCTCCAGGCTTCTGGAAGCCTCTTCCAGGGCCCGTGACATGCTAAGGTCAGGCTGAGATTTGAACTCAAGGCCTTTGACATTGAACTTAGCGCTCATACGGTGTTTAAAAGGCTTTTAGGCAAACTTTTACGTAAACTTCATAGACATTTTCCAAGACATACTGAATACCCCCTCTTGCACTGTATTTTTAAAATTCAGGCAAACAGCATGAAGCTGAAATGCTACTGTTGACTGTATTTTCTCATACATGGAAATTCTAATCTTTTTTTTTTTTTCCCCCTCAGATTGAAGGTGCATTTATTCAAGGCATGGGACTCTACACAATCGAGGAACTGAATTATTCTCCTCAGGGTGTCCTGTACACTCGTGGTCCGGACCAATACAAAATCCCCACCATCTGTGACATCCCCGCAGAGTTTCACATTTCCTTTTTGCCTCCATCTCAATACTCAAATACCCTGTATTCATCTAAGGTAAGTTATGCTCCATGAATAAATGCATGTTGATGAGATACTCATGCAGGGAGTGAAGGGCTGCATTCATCTTTTGGTTATTTGGAGTTCTTACCAAGATTGCAGAGAAAAGGCCTTATTAAACATTTAAATTGTAAAATCACATAACATTATAATTTTTTTTAAATACTCCAAATCTTGGAGCCTAATGCAAACTACTATTGCCATCAGGTTGCATTTGAATTTTCACCTTGCAATACTCATCTTCATGCGTCTATCTCCTTACTCCACTTGGGATCATTTCCTTAGACTGGAATCCTAAGAATGGGAATATTAGGATTAAATAGTAAATTGCTTTTTTTAAAGGGAAAAGTTACATATTTAATGTTTTATATCTTATACGTGCACACATGTACCTGGAGAGAGAGGAGGGAGGGAGATAGGGAAAGAGAGAGAGATAAAGAGAGAGAGAAAGAGAGAGAGAGAGAGAGAGAGAGAGAGAGAGAGAGAGAGAGAGAGAGAGAGAGAGATGAGTGATGAATCTGGTTCCAGCTGAGTGATGAATGTGGTTTACTTGTCCCCTTGCAGGGCCTGGGAGAGTCTGGCATCTTCCTGGGCTGCTCAGTGTTCTTTGCCATTCATGACGCAGTGAGTGCAGCGCGACAGGAGAGAGGCCTGCATGAACCGCTGAGGCTCAATAGCCCACTGACCCCAGAAAAGATTCGAATGGCCTGTGAAGATAAGTTCACAAAAATGGTATGCTCTGCTCATCAAATTCTGAATTTTTGTTCCCTGTCCTGTGGTCAAGTGTTATTAGCCCACCATGGCGGTTTTCCGTGGAAGAAAAGGTGACAAGAATCCCAAGGGCACTTGAGCAGGAAAAGAGAGCATGGCCTTGAAGTGCACTTTCCATTAGCCTGGCCTGTTACCAGGAAGGGGACCCAGGCCTGAGCGGGACTGCCTGGGGCCAGCTGCTGGTGTGTGGATTCTTGACTTTGTGCAGGAAAGATTTCACATTGCGAGTCTTGAAGCTCAGTTCTGCACTTCTTGAAAAGAGGTTTCTGTTTTATCATCAATTACGTTCCTCCCTTGTTTTTTGGTTTTTGTTTGTTTGTTTGTTTGTTTGTTTTTCCATAACACATTGGTCCAGGATAGAAGTTCAGGAGCTATGCCCTGAGCCTCAGAAAGCAGGCCAAGACTATGGGCCATTCCAGCAGTCAGTCTATCTCAGTCCACTCCTCCCAGGCATTGGCAGCGTACAATTCCTGATCTGAGTTGCACACACTCAACAGGCCCTTTCCCAGCCCTCAGTAGCAGGAATCCTGCCTACATCCACAGCCCTGCTAGGCAAACATTTGAACTCTTCTTGGTCATTTTCAGTGATAGGATTTTTTATTGTGGGAGGAATTCCTAGTGACCTCTCAACTATAAACAAGTTATTCCTTGTTTATTTCTGTATTGATGGGAGATCCCCCATATCTCCTCACATGCTAGCTCTTTATGGCACCCCTTAATTACTGATATAGCTCTTCACACCTCTTCTTTCTGGAGAATCACATACTGATTCCACTTTTTATTTGTTCCTCTTCAAAATGGGATGAAAACTCTCGTAGTTGCTCTGTCCCACCTGACCCTGAGTCCTCGCCTGGATTCCTCCTCATTTCTCACCCTACCATTGCCAGACTTCTCATTGTCCTGGTCACCCTTGGGGTGGTCTTTATCCTATTTTATATTCTGCTGTATTTCACTTGTCACAAATGTTTTCCAAATGCAAACGTACACATTTGTCCTTTTATTCTAGATTCCAAGAGACAAACCTGGATCCTATGTTCCTTGGAATATACCCATATGATCAACACCAAGTTTGGGAGAAAATCCGGTGACTCTTCCAATATAGCAATCTACCCCGTTTCTATGCTCTAGGATGCTCGGTCTGAAAGACAAATCTCCACCATTCAGAAATCATTTCACAGAGTATTGCTTTTATATGACGCTGACTTTACGTTCCATTTAGATTTTGATAGATATGCTTAAGCAATTTAGAAATCATATTTTAAATGGTGTAAACACTAGCTGGCTTCCTCCAGAAGAAATTCCCCATCACTCTGCCCCTTAAGCCTTTCAGCTGAATGGAATAGAAGGTGATAACTTATATGTGATTCACATCTGGCTTGTATCCAACTGAAATTATGCTGTCTAGTGAAAGGAAGCTTTCTAAATGATTTTATTAGCAGTATAAACTGTAAAAGGATATTCACTTTTTAATTTATATGCTTTGTATATTTTAGTTTTAAAAAACATGCATGAATTTTGTCATTTAAAGCAAATTAATAAACAAAACCCATTTAACACTTATAGAAATAGCGTCTGAATTCATTAAGTCTACATGGTTTAGTTCCATTTCATTGACTAAAGGTCTTTGTTGCTGACTGCAGGAAATTTTACTCCAGGGGGTCACCCTCAGGGCAAGGAGAAGTGTGCATTGAGTAAGAATGAGAATGAGTTGAAATTTCAAATTGGTTGAAGAGAGGAGGAAACTGGAGTTAGCAGAGAAAGGTGGGGACATGAGAGGGTTGAGTGCATAGAGGCAGGAAGTGACTGAAGGAACACACTCAGAGAACAAGCCAAAATCACCTCCCACCTGGAGGCTGCCTCAACCAGCTGTCCGTCCTCCTGGGAGATCTCAGAAAGTCCCTCAGGTGGACACAGCAACAGTGCTTCCTATAGGACAACTGTCAGCCAATTGCTGCAGCATAACGTGTAGTCTAAGGAGTTAAATGAAGTTGTTTTCTTTGTGAATGGAAGAATGTAAATTTTCCATGTTGTTATTTCTACATGTATGTAGAGAAAGAACCACAGTAGAAAGTAGGTGTTCAAGTGACCAGTGTGTGAGCTGAGGATTTGCTCTGATTGTGACAAACCCATATCAATCTGTATTTGTAGTTCTCTGGGGGGAAAGAGAGAGAGAAGAAAGACTGAGAATGAGAGAGCAAGAGAACAGATACAGGAGAGAGAATCTACTCGTGAATGGTCTTAGGATTCCTCATGGAAAGCACTTGGTTATATTGAGCCTTCAGACTACATTTTGTAATTGCGTTTGTATTCATCTATGTGTTAGGCATCACCTTCTCTTTATTATTATTTTCTTCATCTCTCTCTTCCTCATTCCCTTTCTCCCCTCTGTCTCCTTGAACCACCACCGACCCCACAAACAAACACACATGAGTGTAAAACCTTTAGGTTATGCACAAATAATTATAAAATTTTGACCAGCAAAAAATCATACTGGAAAGGAATACATTTCACAGTTAATTTACATTTTTATATCTTGCTCCTTTAAGCAGATATTCTTTTTTTAATATATATATATATATATATATATATATATATATATATATAATTTTTTTTTTTCACAGAGAGGAAGAGAGAGGGATAGAGAGTTAGAAACATCGATGAGAGAGAATCATCCATCAGCTACCTGGTACATGCCTTTGACCAGAATAGAACCTGGGACCTTTCAGTCCACAGGCCGACGCTCTATCCACTGAGCCAAACCGGTCTCTGCTAAGCAGATATTCTTAAACTACTTAACAGGATGGACAAAATAATTTTTTGGCCCTACCTTTGTTTTGAGTTCATGAATGGAATGTGCTCTTTGATTTTCACTGTCCTTAAAGCTGCACCTGAAGGGCAACCCTGTATCAGTGTTTTCTGCACCACAAGCAAAGAGGAAGAGTTAGTCAAGGTTGAAACAAAGCCCACACCCCCACCAGGCTGTGCAAAGAAATGGTGGCTGCAAGTGTATAATGTACCCAAGATCACTCAGCTGACAGGCATTAGAAACACCCTGCTTTTCATCTCTCTGCTGCCCAAGTTGCATACTTTTCCTCTCCTAAGGAGGAGCGAGTCTTCTAGAATCCTTTCACTAACAGGAAGAGAGGTGAGTTGTGCCAGTGTGTTCCTGTGAGTGCTGAAATAATGACATTTATTTATGGCTGCCAATGTCTTATTTCCTTAACTTTGCAAATATGAGTAAAGAACAAAGAACACGTTTTGCAGGTAGCAGTGAGAATTAAAACTATTTTATTCAACTGTGTGAACTCAAGATTTTTTAAATTTGTAACTATTCAATATTTCATAACCTTTTATGATTTACCCAAAACCAGTGTTGTGTTAGAATATAAATTCTTGCTGATTTATCTTCTGAAACAAAGCCAAACATTTGTCCTGCTGAAATAAAACAAAGTACAAACAGTATTACATCATTTTATAATTGCAAAGAGTGATGTTTGATCAACTGAGGCAAACAAGATCAGAAAACATATATTCAATGACTTCTAGCTATTCAGAAAGAATGGGCTACAGGAAAACTGCCTCAATCGATAGGATCATTTCCTCCACACAAGCCATTGAGAGGAATTCAGACCCTGGAATATATTTATTGTTCTACCTACAGGGAAACCATATCCTTTTGTTTGTTTGGAAAAGCAAAGCAAATAAGAAATTCTGGAAACTTGCAATCTTTCTGGCATTTACATAACTTTTTTCTTCTATCACTCTTTATCGCAAAGATTTTGATTTAACTCCTGGGCACAAAGACATGAAAAGGGAAGGATTCACATTTATCTTGGTTCCTATAATAAAATAAGAAAAGCAAGGCTGCATTGTCAATTTTTGGTATAAATAGGCATGCTGCTAATTCTAGCCAAAAAAAAAAACAAAAAACAAAAAAAAAAAAAAACCATGAAAAAAACAAAAAACAAACAAAAAAACACTTTTGTGATGTAGCTATTTTGGCATGTTATGTTAATCAAGACTATCTATGTTGAATATTCTCCATACTAAGTTATAAACACTTTTCGGGTAAGGATTGTGTCTTGTTCCAAAAATACCTCCACACCAGAGGAATTGGTGTGCCATAAAGGTTGGTGGCAGACCACTGGGCCAGAGACTGGGAGGGCAATAATGCCAGAAGTTACTTCCAGCATGTCATAAATGCAAAGAGTTTCATCAAAAGGTTATGGGATATGGGGACTCAGCAAGGGCTGAATCACATATGTTATTGCCTGCTGGAAATGGCTAAGGGCATTTCCCCAAACCTGAAAAGGATGCATAAATGATTGCTTGCTGCCAGACAGCTGAGGGCATTTCAATCTACATGTTATTGCCTCCTGCTGGCCAAACAAACAGCTGTAGGCAGTTTCCCCCAATCTAACAATGCCTCCTGTATACCAAACTGTACCCTTTGATGTATATAATCTATCTTGCTTTAGGACAATTTGTGTTAATAAAAAGCAAGGGGTCCAGAGAGATAGAGAACTTGGTTTCTTCAGCTAAGTTTTCTCTGGCTCTCCAAAATGCCTTCCAAAACTATGTTTTGTCTCTGGACTCTTTAATAATTTATACTCAGTGCCTTTTCCAGATTTCTGAAAACCTTCTAGATGCTGAATTAAGACCCCCGGCACAGTAACATCATAGGCATATGTGTCCTTTTGCCTCACAAAGCCCCTCACACCATCAGATGCACTCAGCTGGGCATGTTAGACTTGGGATTGAGTTTGTTTTTTAAACTCATGTACTAAAGATACACAAGTTAAAAATGTCCCAAAGTGAATGAAACTACTGCTCATTAGAACAGAAAAAGAGAAGTAGGAAAACTAGAGCTTTCTTGGTAGACAGAAGACTTTTCAATAAATCCATACAATTTAATCCTCTCCCTCCCCCTCCTCGCCTATAAAGTGGTAGCATAATGAGGGAGAGGACAAAGTAAAAGCACGTGATCTCATTGTGGTCTTAGTTGAATCCAAGCTGTGCCCTTCAAGTCAAGTCCCAGGTTGACTGTGAGAACTTCTTCTCTCAAATACCTCAATGCAATCTCTTCCCAGAAAGCTTCCCTTGGCATCGTCAATGGGAACCAATCACAGCACTTCCCATTGAGACCTGACAGGCCTGTGCTCCCTTTAGCTGCACCAATCAGAAGCCCCCATTAATTTCTGAGAGCTTCCTATCCTTCAGTTTTCAGGTGGGATCCTCTGTGTTCTTTGCTTTTAGGAAAGAATTGCTAAAGGCCAAATTGCCCAGTGCAGGTCCTGCATCCCAGATGGTGATGAATATTTACACTCCCCTAGGAAACTAGAGAGCAGTTCACGGGAAGCTTGGGTGGTGAGTCATGAACCTCTTACACTGTGGAGTGAGGATTGGCTTTAACAAGAGAAGGGGAAATACTTGAGTATTTCCGTCCGAGGAATTAAGCCAAAGGGCTTGACAAACATTGATTTGTGGATCTTCCCGGTCCATGACAGCAGTGGGAGGGGAAATTGAGGCAGCCATCCAGAACGTAAAGTGAATTTTCCATATGACTGTTACATTCTTGGCACCAGACGATTGTTCGTGATCTTCATAAAGTAAATGTATGTTGGGGTAGCATATGCCTATGGAAACAGTCATTGTGTGGCTGTCTTGATGCAATTTCAATGCTATTGGAATGGTATTTGGAAATATTAGGACTTTAAAAAATCTTTTAAATATGTACTTAGCCAAAAGAAGCAATAACTTTTTGGTTTGTTTATATTTTTTGTTGTGGCTGTTGCTGCTACAGTTAAGTACTATTAATGCTCATGAAATCATAGACTCTTAGAAATGGTGAACAAGTCACTTATGACTCATACATTTGCAATTACTTGAAATGCCTTGAGACTTTCAAATTGTTGTTTTTCCTTTTTGTCCTTTTAGAAACTTTTAACTTCATACTAAATTTTACAATACATTCTATCCTTTCAAGATACTTTTAAACTTCTATTCTATTACTTGAAAATCTGATTAAACATTGCTTTCTCTCTGTAGGTCACTGATTAAAATATTGAGTAGAATAAGCCAAGTAGAGAACTATGAGAAAAATGAATCAATATCATTAACATCAATCTGTTGTTCAGTCAAGCACCAGCTCTTCTGTGGTATCATACATTTACCTGCTCCATTCCCTTCACAGAGGGAGCAGACACTGTCAAGTGCCATGTGAAATCCCCTCCTATTGTACCTATGACACTGATTAGTTTCTTCTTTTTTAAAATTCTTTATTGTTTAATGTATTACATAAGTCTCCTTTTTCCTGCATTGACCTCCCCCTGGCTGCCCCCAACCCCATCAAACATTAATTAGTTTCTCAGTCCAGAAATCTTTTTTCAAAAGAAAAGGAGGTTGGTTTTCTTGCATACCCAGGCCCCTCTTAGGGACCAGTGCTCTAGGCCCTCTCATCAATAATTCACTCCGGAATAAAACCAGGAAGTTGCCTGAGAACAAAGTTGAGCTCATGTATAATAAGTCCATCTTTTTGAAAATCAGGATCAGTGGTTGCCTGTCTTCAGTATCCTAGCACGGCTCTGGGATGTGTGTCCTTTTGCCCCACGAAGCCCCTCACACCAGAAGATGCACTCAGCTGGACATATTAGACTTGGGATTGAGTTTGTATATGTTTTTTAAACTCATGTACTAAAGATACACAAGTTAAAAATGTCCCAAAGTGAAGAAACTACTGCTCCTCATTAGAACGAAAAAATAATTAAAAGTTTGTGTAAAATATGTACATATTCACATGTGATTTTGAGTGTACACTCACAGAATTGTCAGTTCT